TATATAATAAAATCAATTAAATCAATTGAGATGGTAATGCCCTAATATATTTTAATATCATTAACTTATTTAAATGCTATAATTTAGTTAGTTGTACTAACATCAGGAGAAGTATCAAAAACCTAGTTTATAGCTAACATAGCATAAAAGATTTGAGTCTCAACCACTTCATTTAATTTCTCCAGTGAAAAGCCTTCAGTAAGATTAATAAGTATAGGAACTAACTAGGATTAGAGAGAAATTAGAATATTATAATGAAAGTAATCGTAAAAAGCCTTTCGAACAAGTTATTGAAGAGATGGATTTTAAATACAGAAATCAACCTATTCATTTAGATCCTACTTAAACAACATTGAATGAAATTGATAGATTACATAATGATTATATGAATACAGGTATGCGAGATCCAATTTATTTGAACAGTCTTTAAAAATTAAGACATGATTTTCTAAAGTAATCATAACCGATAGGATATTACATACGTCCACCTATTCAACAAGTGTATAATCCTTCTTCTAAGAATCATCCAATAAATGAATACTAACCAACAAGTATTAAGAGAGAATTGCATCAATAAAATTCTTTACCTATATTGTAACACAACAGACACAAGACAGAATTATCAGGAAGTATTAATGATTAGTTGCTAAATTATATGAGAAATGAAGAAAATGTGGCTATTAGACAAGTATCTATGGATAGATTGTCTAATATTCAAATGGTTAAAACTTCTATTGAAAATGAAGTTGTTAGGGAACGAATTAATAAAATGGCTCAAGAAATGACAATGAAAAGATAAAGAAGATATGAATAACCTGAAGAAATTGCTGTTCCTTATAGTCATTTAGAAGGATTAACGATTCAGTGGGATATCATTTCAAAATTGCCTATTTAATATATTAAAACCAGATTATCTTTTGGAATATTTTAATAATCAGAAGAATACCATGCTTATAAATTAACTAGTGATTATTTCACTTAACCAGAGACTTTTAGAACAAATAAATGTATATTCAATTAAATAGAATAAATGAGAGATATTTCTGCAGATGATAAGACAATACTCTACATTGAAATATGGGTATTTGAAAGTGATGGTACTCTATCAATGCTTGGTTGGACTATTTTTAAATTGTTTGATAGAACTGGATCATTATACATAGGTAAATTTAAATTACCTTTCTATTAACAATAATATAAACCTCGTGAACTTTTAGAGTTAAACAAAGAGTATCCTTATTATGGAAATTTATTTTTATACTTTCGAATATTATAATAACCCTCTCATATAGATGAAATTATCTTTGTTGAAGGCGATTATCATATTCCATATTATCATATTCATAAAGAATCTAAAATTATAAGGTCAGAAGTAAGAGATTAAATAAAACTCTAAAAAGAATTTGCTTAGGCTTTTGCTTATGACAAGCCTTTAAGGGAAAGAGAGCCACAGTTATTTGGAGATTTACCATTGTCTCCTTCAAAAAAAAAAAGTTCAATAAAACCTAATTTTTAAATAGCAGATGATGAATACTTTGGAGATGAAAAACAATAGGAATCACCTACAACAAGTATCTAATAAAAACATTAAGTAAAAAGTCGATTCAGTAGGAAAATGGAAAGTTTGGATCATTTACCTACTTAAGAGAAATATAGTTAATAATCTAGTGACGCTATAATCAAACTTGAATCTATAAAACATTTTGATAATGGATCATAAAGGGGATCCAATAAAAATATTAGAATATAATTGATTAATGAAGATTAAGCTGAAAATAAAAGAGATGTAGATATAAAAGAGTAGACAAAAAGAGCTAATGGAGACAATACAATTAGAGGAGGAGATAGAACAATTAGAGGAGGAGATAAAACTAATAGAGGAGGTTAAACAAATAGACATCTTATACAATTATAATAGTAAGATGGATTTTCTAATCAAATTACGAATGTGAAGTACTTTAATAGATTGAAACGTAAATTAAAAGCTATTTAAGGAGGAGATTAAACAGTAAGATCTTCAAAAAATATTGATATTCCATAAGAAGTAGATTTGGGCACCACTAAGAATAAGGTTGTAATAAGTGGAGCAGGGATTGTAATAATTGATATTTTAAAGTTGAATAATTTGGATGCTAAAAAATATAATGAATTAAAATTAAAAATTGGATTCTTTATTAATGATATTATATTAAAGAATGAAAATGATACAGATTGTGTGATGACATAAAATTTAATACCTAATGAGGTTACTGATAAATCTTTAAAGTATAATTTACATGCTGAATTCTCTTTAGACTATGCTAATATATTATCTATATTAGAATAGGAAGGGTTTAGTACTAAGGAAGCCTATGTTTATATTGCTATCTATTAGAATAATGCTTTATTAGGATGGTATGTGGGTTAATTATTTAAAGATACAGAAGATCTACAAAATTTATAAATTGATTCAGGATTGTTTTAAATAAATTTAATTAAACCACCTGGTTAGTAAGCTCCATTTCATCAAAAAGATATGGTAAAGAGCAATATTTAGTTAGATTTTGTATTGATGAGTAAAAAAGAATAACTTAAGAATTTACCAACTATAAATAAATATGAGATTTAGGAAGAGGATAGAGTGAAAAATGTAGAGAATTCAGAGTGGAATACATAAATTATTATTTAATTATTATAAACATATAATTTTGTATCCAAAGATGAATTATAGATTACAATTTCTATATAATCTGAGTAAAAGGTTATTGAAGATGTTTTATAAAGATAATGTTAGGTGATAGATGATTTGGACATATTTTAAAGTGATTCAAAAAATATATATAATTCTCATTATTACACAACATTTAGAGTGGGAAGGAAATATTTATAAGATAAATTTTTAAAATATGATCTATTAAATTATGTGTTTATGATACATTAAAATAATTAGTTTATGGGAATAGCTTAACTGAATGTTTTTAAGAAGACATTAATTTAGACTGGTGAATTTCGGTTGAATTTATACACAATAAACAATAAAAAACTAAGTTTTGAGATAAAACTATTAATAAAAGAAGTACCATTATAATTAGATATTTATGAAAGAACTCCAAGTTATCGAATGAGTAAATCTAAAGGTGGGTATACGCAGTAAGAAGAGATTGATGAAATTAAAGAGAAAGAGTAAAAAAAGTTATCAAATGTATTTCGATACCTACCTATAACAATTTAGATTTAGGAAGTGGAGTTAAAAAATAGGAAAGTAGTTTTGAAGATTTTGAAGAATAATGAAATAGTAAAGTAGCAGAATGAGGATGATTGTATTTAGGAGATGATAGTACCAAATTCTGCAGTTTTTTAAATAGATATGGAAGATATGTTGAAATGTAAGGAAGGATATTATGTAATGATTGAAGTTTATGATGATGTTTTGACAGGTTGGTTTGCAATGAATATGGTGTTTAATAAGAAGTTGTATACAACAAAATTGTTTACAGAATTATACAAGAGTCCTAGATTGTAGACACCTTTAGATTATAAGTTGATAAAGAAGATGAAAGAGAAGATAGAATTATAGATGCATTAAGGAGATGTAAGAACAGATATAAGAAAGTTGAATCAGAAGTAGAAGACAGGATTAGACATTCATATTCATTAAATATCTAATTTGCCTAATAATGGAGATAATTAAATAGTAATTCAAATGATAAATGATGGGAAGGTGATTTAGGATAAATTGTTAAAATTGTGTTAAATAAAATAAAACATGAGTATAGTGAATGGTTATATAAGAGATTTAAGTTTTAATTTTAATTTGAATAAAGGAGATGTACCTAAAAATAGTTAATTGGGAATATATATAAGTTAAGAGAAAGTAGAATTGAGATGGTGTATAATATCTTTGTATAGTTTGGGAAAGTTGAAAGAAGGGAAGGTAGAGAAGAAAATGTTTATGGGTCCATTTGATAAAACTAATAAGGTATCAAATACTGATATTAGTTTGGAAATAGAGTGAAAAAAAGAGTAGAGTTTGAAAAATAAATTGAATATATTGTAATTGAATAAAAATTTAATTTTAAATTATAATTTATGGGCAGAGATTTCAGAGGTGGAAGAGGAGATACACGAGGAGGTGGAAGAGGAGGAGATAGAGGAAGAGGAGCTCCTAGAGGCAGAGGAGGTGCAAGAGGTGGAAGAGGAGGTCGTATGGGTGGAGCTCCAAAAGCCTTTGTTGTTCCTCATCCAAGATTAGCTGGAGTCTTTGTCGCTAAGGGATAATAAGAAGCTTTGGTTACTAAGAATATGGTACCAGGCGAATCAGTTTATAATGAGAAAAGGATTTCTGTAGAAGATAAATAAACTGGAGAAAAAGTAGAATACAGAGTTTGGAATCCATTCAGATCTAAGATTGCAGCTGGTATCATTGGGGGAGTGAGTGATATTTTCATTAAACCAGGCGCTAAAGTCTTATATTTAGGAGCTGCTTCAGGAACCACAGTTTCTCATGTTTCAGATATTGTTGGATCAGAAGGTACATAATATATATAATATATAATAGGTGTCGTTTATGCTGTTGAGTTCTCTCATAGATCAGGTAGAGATCTTGTTAATATGGCTAAAAAACGAACAAATATAGTTCCTATCATTGCTGATGCCAGAAAACCTCTTGAGTATAGGATGCTAGTCGGAATGGTTGATGTAGTATTTGCTGATGTAGCTTAACCAGATCAAGCCAGAATTGTTGGTTTAAACTCCCAATATTTCTTAAAGAAGGGTGGTCATTTCATGATCTCCATTAAAGCCAATTGCATTGATTCCACTAATAGAGCTGAAGTCGTATTTTAACATGAANTTTTTAAATAGATATGGAAGATATGTTGAAATGTAAGGAAGGATATTATGTAATGATTGAAGTTTATGATGATGTTTTGACAGGTTGGTTTGCAATGAATATGGTGTTTAATAAGAAGTTGTATACAACAAAATTGTTTACAGAATTATACAAGAGTCCTAGATTGTAGACACCTTTAGATTATAAGTTGATAAAGAAGATGAAAGAGAAGATAGAATTATAGATGCATTAAGGAGATGTAAGAACAGATATAAGAAAGTTGAATCAGAAGTAGAAGACAGGATTAGACATTCATATTCATTAAATATCTAATTTGCCTAATAATGGAGATAATTAAATAGTAATTCAAATGATAAATGATGGGAAGGTGATTTAGGATAAATTGTTAAAATTGTGTTAAATAAAATAAAACATGAGTATAGTGAATGGTTATATAAGAGATTTAAGTTTTAATTTTAATTTGAATAAAGGAGATGTACCTAAAAATAGTTAATTGGGAATATATATAAGTTAAGAGAAAGTAGAATTGAGATGGTGTATAATATCTTTGTATAGTTTGGGAAAGTTGAAAGAAGGGAAGGTAGAGAAGAAAATGTTTATGGGTCCATTTGATAAAACTAATAAGGTATCAAATACTGATATTAGTTTGGAAATAGAGTGAAAAAAAGAGTAGAGTTTGAAAAATAAATTGAATATATTGTAATTGAATAAAAATTTAATTTTAAATTATAATTTATGGGCAGAGATTTCAGAGGTGGAAGAGGAGATACACGAGGAGGTGGAAGAGGAGGAGATAGAGGAAGAGGAGCTCCTAGAGGCAGAGGAGGTGCAAGAGGTGGAAGAGGAGGTCGTATGGGTGGAGCTCCAAAAGCCTTTGTTGTTCCTCATCCAAGATTAGCTGGAGTCTTTGTCGCTAAGGGATAATAAGAAGCTTTGGTTACTAAGAATATGGTACCAGGCGAATCAGTTTATAATGAGAAAAGGATTTCTGTAGAAGATAAATAAACTGGAGAAAAAGTAGAATACAGAGTTTGGAATCCATTCAGATCTAAGATTGCAGCTGGTATCATTGGGGGAGTGAGTGATATTTTCATTAAACCAGGCGCTAAAGTCTTATATTTAGGAGCTGCTTCAGGAACCACAGTTTCTCATGTTTCAGATATTGTTGGATCAGAAGGTACATAATATATATAATATATAATAGGTGTCGTTTATGCTGTTGAGTTCTCTCATAGATCAGGTAGAGATCTTGTTAATATGGCTAAAAAACGAACAAATATAGTTCCTATCATTGCTGATGCCAGAAAACCTCTTGAGTATAGGATGCTAGTCGGAATGGTTGATGTAGTATTTGCTGATGTAGCTTAACCAGATCAAGCCAGAATTGTTGGTTTAAACTCCCAATATTTCTTAAAGAAGGGTGGTCATTTCATGATCTCCATTAAAGCCAATTGCATTGATTCCACTAATAGAGCTGAAGTCGTATTTTAACATGAAGTTTAAAGATTGAAGGTATCCAAGTATTCTATTATCTTCGCAGGATGAAGGCCTTACACCCTAAGAATAATTGACTCTAGAACCATATGAAAGAGATCACGCTATCGTTATTGGAGTATATAATGTTTGACAATTTAAATATTAATATTTTATAAGTCATTATTCAATTATCTTTTAGTTACAATCTAGAAATCCAATAAATACTAATTATTATAAATAAAGAAAAGCTTATATACAACAATTCATCTCATAATCATCAATTCAAAATAAACAATTTATAGAAAAACTAATCATATCAATATTACAAATTAATCAACCAATAATTTAACCTTACTATTTCACAAACTGATTTATTATTTTTGGATTATAAATTTACCATTTTTTAAATTACAACATATATTATTTTTTATTAAAGAATTTTAGTTTGGNATATCTTTGTATAGTTTGGGAAAGTTGAAAGAAGGGAAGGTAGAGAAGAAAATGTTTATGGGTCCATTTGATAAAACTAATAAGGTATCAAATACTGATATTAGTTTGGAAATAGAGTGAAAAAAAGAGTAGAGTTTGAAAAATAAATTGAATATATTGTAATTGAATAAAAATTTAATTTTAAATTATAATTTATGGGCAGAGATTTCAGAGGTGGAAGAGGAGATACACGAGGAGGTGGAAGAGGAGGAGATAGAGGAAGAGGAGCTCCTAGAGGCAGAGGAGGTGCAAGAGGTGGAAGAGGAGGTCGTATGGGTGGAGCTCCAAAAGCCTTTGTTGTTCCTCATCCAAGATTAGCTGGAGTCTTTGTCGCTAAGGGATAATAAGAAGCTTTGGTTACTAAGAATATGGTACCAGGCGAATCAGTTTATAATGAGAAAAGGATTTCTGTAGAAGATAAATAAACTGGAGAAAAAGTAGAATACAGAGTTTGGAATCCATTCAGATCTAAGATTGCAGCTGGTATCATTGGGGGAGTGAGTGATATTTTCATTAAACCAGGCGCTAAAGTCTTATATTTAGGAGCTGCTTCAGGAACCACAGTTTCTCATGTTTCAGATATTGTTGGATCAGAAGGTACATAATATATATAATATATAATAGGTGTCGTTTATGCTGTTGAGTTCTCTCATAGATCAGGTAGAGATCTTGTTAATATGGCTAAAAAACGAACAAATATAGTTCCTATCATTGCTGATGCCAGAAAACCTCTTGAGTATAGGATGCTAGTCGGAATGGTTGATGTAGTATTTGCTGATGTAGCTTAACCAGATCAAGCCAGAATTGTTGGTTTAAACTCCCAATATTTCTTAAAGAAGGGTGGTCATTTCATGATCTCCATTAAAGCCAATTGCATTGATTCCACTAATAGAGCTGAAGTCGTATTTTAACATGAAGTTTAAAGATTGAAGGTATCCAAGTATTCTATTATCTTCGCAGGATGAAGGCCTTACACCCTAAGAATAATTGACTCTAGAACCATATGAAAGAGATCACGCTATCGTTATTGGAGTATATAATGTTTGACAATTTAAATATTAATATTTTATAAGTCATTATTCAATTATCTTTTAGTTACAATCTAGAAATCCAATAAATACTAATTATTATAAATAAAGAAAAGCTTATATACAACAATTCATCTCATAATCATCAATTCAAAATAAACAATTTATAGAAAAACTAATCATATCAATATTACAAATTAATCAACCAATAATTTAACCTTACTATTTCACAAACTGATTTATTATTTTTGGATTATAAATTTACCATTTTTTAAATTACAACATATATTATTTTTTATTAAAGAATTTTAGTTTGGTATAATGATTTTTTTAATATATTTTTAATAAAATAAACTATAATAACTCCCTAAAAAATACAAAAAAATTATCATCATTAATAAAAAATGAAATCCTGTGTATTAGGGAGAATTATTTGAAAGAATAATATTTAATTATTATTGAGATAATTAGAAAAATGAAAATAAGATGAAGATTATTAATTTTATTTTTTTATAATAGATAATAATAAGAATCAATCATATACTTTGAGAATAAGGGAAGAGAGTTTAATTTAGATTTGAAAAGAAATAAAAATTAAAAAATAAATATGAATGATAAATAAATAATTTATATAATTATAATGATCTAAGAGATTACAAATTTTTAGATTCAAGAGAGTCCTAGTTGTATGGATATATCAAAAGAGTTTATGGCTATTGGGACATTGGATGAAAATATATATCTCTACTCTCAACCATTTCAATTGAAATCAAATGAAACCATATTACAAAATCATCTTTTAGGAGTCATAGATTTATCCATCAATGCTGATGAAACCTAAAGTACTTAATTAAGATAATAATAATATCAGTTGTGGTCTCTTCATTAGATAATTATCTAAGAATATGGGATATTGATGATAAGAAGTTGATTTCTGAAATATAATGTGATGCATTTGCCAATTGGAAAGTGAGATTTGTTGATTCATCAACAGTTGTAACTTCTGGAGAGATGGGAATCATAAACTTTTATCATATAGATACAAAAGAGAAAATATAAAAAATAGAAACAGATCCAATATATTATAGTTGTTCCTTATAGATTAATGATTAATTATTAGCAGTTGGTAATGAAGGAGGTGCTCTATATTTAATTGATTAAAGTTCATAGAAGAAAGTTATTAAACCTCATTCTAAAGCAATTAAGACATTATTATTTATGGATAATAATAAAATATTAACAGGATCTGATGATGGATTAATAAAATTAATAGATTTAGAAAAAAGTGAAATAATTCAATAATTTAGAGGACATAAATATGGTGTTATGGATTTGAGTAAAATAAATGAGAAAGTATGAAAATTGTAGATTATTCAGTCTTTTGTCAGTTGCTCAACAGATAGAACAATACGCGTTTGGGATATGAATCAAATCTATTCTTAGAAACATATATAAACAATGAATGACAAACCAGGAGGAATAAGTGGTATAAGATACAAGAATGATTAAATCATAGCTGCTCATGATTGTGGCATAATATGTTTTTATGCTATATGATAATTGTTATGTGTGGTATATGTGGTATATGTGGTATATATATCATTTTACAATTCTATCTCTTCTGTATTTGAATGGATAACTTGAAATATCTTATAATGGAGAAGCTCTTTCTTCACTTGGATAAAGGATATTTGTTAAGAAACCATGTCTATTATTATAAGCTTCTCTTATCTATCTATGAATTTCTTATGAAGTCCAAGTACGAGGGACTTGTTCATTCAATGCCTTCATATTTAATCCTACTCTTCTCTCTATCAAATTTAACAATTACAATTTCTCACTATTATTATTTTCAATTATTCTTTTTACTTCTATAAGGAATTATAAAATGGATTAAAGTGTAACCAACCCAACCACAAAATACCTGATATTGCTGCAGGAATCAATCTTTAACCTGACAATGAATATTTTGTTGCTATGTATGGTTACAAAGCTCCACTATAGTGCAATAGAGCATAACAACCTAATGGAAATCCCCAATATGCCCAAGTATTTAATCTATCTCTCAAAAGAAAAGATTTTATATCCTCAGAAAATAACACTCTCTATTTATATGCATTTAGAAGAGTTATTGATTTCTCTTCTTCTGTATAAAAGTGCCAGATTCTTAATTCTAAAGGAGATCGCTAATCTTATGCCATTATTTCAATTAAAATAATTATAAACCAATTTTTATTCAAATTTTATTAGACTCAAAGCTAATCAATGAAAGTAGACTAGCATGTCTTTAAGATTCTAAATTAAGGATGGATTAATATGCAGTTTTTTCTTTTATTTGATCTTATTATATTTGATTCTTCATCTTTTGTGGATATTCTCTCTCTTTTTATTACACCTTTTTAAGGTTCAATAATAAGGACTTTATCACAAAAACTTACTTTTTTTAAATTTTGTCTCTAATTTAATTATTACATCTAATCCGGATTATCATTATACTAGATCAGAGTGTTATACTTAATTGATGATTTCATTTAAATATGGTTATTTGCTTATGTAACAATTTAGAATTCTTAAATAGGTTTTAATTTAAGTTTCTAAATCAAAGAAGGTGTTGATATGAATATATTTCTTTCTGATTGAAACATTGGCCTCATTTAATCACTTTATTTTGGTGAATCAATGTTAATTTAGAGTTTTTTTGTTATTTTAAAAGATTAGAACATAATTAATAAATTATACGATACTGTTTTAATAAGAATTGCTCAATTATCCAGAAATAATAAATAATTCTTTAGAAAAAATGAAGATTGAAATTGATAAGGTAAAGAAAAAATTAAATTTAAACGAATTCATAAGATCATTATAATCTAATCTGATTGGAATTGAAAAAATATCCATTTCTTAATTTTGATTCTTTTTCAATTAATTTTTCTTTTTTTTTTGTTCCTACATCTGTATCTATCACAAGAACAAGGTTCTAGAAGCTAACTTTTTTATGAATTGATGAAGGTCTACTAGATTCCTTAATACTATGTGCATCACTTTTTTTATTAACTAAAATAGATGTCAGAGATTTTTCTGATTAAGTTAACCGATGAGATCGCAAATCGAATTTTTTTAAGCTAGGTTGACTGTTTCTTTTAAGATTCTCCTTCTGTAACTTACTTGTGTCTAATCTCTAATTGAAATTGTTAGATTTTGATAATTCCAATATAGAGGATTTCTTTAACTTGTTTTAGATGTACTTCTCAAAAACCTAAAAATTCTTTTTCGAACGAATGGAATCAATATCCCTTATTGAGTTTACATTAGAAAATGTAAATATCTTAGACATTGGTAGAGTATTGTCTAGATTAAATATATATTATTTAGTGGATTTAATTAAATAATTTACTTGTACATCTCTATAATTCTGTTAACTACAAATTAATTATTGGTAAATTTAATTAATAATAATTCTTTGAATCTAAATGTAGAGATGATCTATTTGGTTAAATTAAATCAATAAAATATTATGAAAAGAAATTAAAAATAAAGAATCTATATTTTACTGGTAAGAAAGAAAATTTATATTAATTAATAATAATAAGAGAATTTTATATTCATTAATGCAATATAGTCCATACTTCTAAAGACATAATTTTGAACTTTTCTTAATTAGTAAATCTAATATTTTCAAATGTTTCACAAGGATTTGAATATCCAAAAGTTAAACTTTAATCTATAAATAGACCAAATTTATCTCCACAACCAATCCCTATTCCTGTCTCATCACAATAAACAAAATCTCTATTTTTTTCAGTCCAAAAATATGGTCTTATTTCATTTTTCTAAAATAACTTTTAATATATATTTTTACCTCTTAATCAAAATTAAATAAAAATGTTTCCCCATTACCTTTAAATCCATAACTAAATTAATGAACCTCAGTCGAAATATATGTTCCGAATATAAAATTATTAAAATCCTTGATAATTATAATAATTGGAGATTTATTTTTTATCTCTTATAACATATTTGAATAACTTGATCCATCTTAGTCTATATTATAGTATTTAATCCAATCTGCTAAACGATATACTGCTGGAATTAATTCAATAATTTATTTATAAGTAGTATTACTAAAACAATTTGAAGGTTCTTTTAGAACTGGCACATATTCTAAACAAGCCCAAAGTTCTAAGAATATTTATAAATTACACACTTCCCATTCTCTCTCCTATTACATCTTATATTTCATCAATTTCCAATTATTTTTTCTATTTAGAATCTTCAATTAAATCTATATATGGTAATTTTGTTAATTAAGATTACTCAGAATATTCATTACAAGCTTCATTGATGAATTTAACAATAAATGCACAATTAGACTTTTTAATTTCTTCAGTGAACAATTTTCCATCTTTATCTCTTTCTGCATGCTTTAAATTAAAATAATTATCTTACTCTAAAAAATACAGTGGCAATGCTTTTTTTTTATTACTTATATTTTTTTAATTATTTATAATACTTTTTCTCAAAATTTGGTTTGCCAATCCCAGATAATAATATTTAAACAATATAATCTTAACATCCATTTTAATTTTATAAAATATATGTTACTGCTTCATTAATATCAATCATAGAAATGCATGCATTCATTCTAATCTTATTTTATTTATTTTGCATTTATTCTTATTAAATTGGATCAAATAGTACAATATCATCAGTTAAGGTTAATATTCCAATAGAATTTTATTTGTTATTACAATAAATAACTTCAACTAATTAATGTATGTGATAAAATATTACACTTCTAACTAATTTTATTTTGTTCCCAAATATCCTCAGTTTATTTTATTTAATCAGGGATCTTAACAATTGAGAAACGAGGCTAATTTGTTATAGGAACTTTTAAAACTTAACCTTTAAAAATCATGTCACTAGAAAGATTATTTATTCTCATTAAATAGCCATCATTAACACTAAATTTAAGAGCAATCCCAAAAAAAGAATCATCTTCTTAAACTATATAATCCATTAGTTCTTCTTGTTATTTAGAATTTTCTTCTTTAGCTTCAAAAGATTGACTTCTTTATTTTTAATTCTATGTTTTTTCGATATTTTTTATAGTCTTTTCATCTACAACTTAAAACTCTTAAGTTTAAGCTTTTATAATAGAAGGAGGTTCTACTAATTATGATTAAAAGGATTAAGTATTAGATTTCTTATTCTTTGAAAATGAACTCTTAAATTATGAAAACATATTAATGTTTTTGTTTTTAATATATGGCATTTTTGGATAAGTAATAGTAGAAATCAATGATAGTAAAGCTTACTTCAATGTTCACGAAGGAGTAAGCAGTACTATATTCTAATTACCACATGCATGGGATGGATAATTGAATGGAACAGGATGTGAATTGAAATAAAAATAAATTTTGGAAAGCATTAGCTAATATTAAATTATAGAATTCTCTGAAGAAATAATGGAATAATTAATACTTGTTAGTCAGGATGATTATCGTATTGCTATAATGACTTCAAACTATAGATTAATAATCATCCATAAAAACAACCATTTTTAAAAATCTTCTTATGATCTATCAAAATATGAGATTGATGATATTCGTTAAATCATTTTAAATAATAATATAGTGTTAGTAATAACAGATACAAATGCCTATGTTGTATATTTATTACCAATAAGTATACTTGAGTTTGATGAATGGATTCCTCGGTAAGAACGTTGGCTTACTAATATATACGGTGACTTTATATATACAGCTGTAGGTTTAAATGGTATAGATATATATCATTTATCTAATCTAACTTATTATAGAACTATAAATCATGTAGATATTGGATAAAGTTAATTATGTGTCAAAGATTTTACAATATTTAAAACTACTTTATATATATTAGATTGTTAAATAGGTTTGATTATTGCAAAAATGAATAGTTATGAAAATGTAATTGATTTTAAAGTTAGAAAAATAGATGTTCAAGAAGGTGGAATAGCAGTTGATACAAAGAATGGAATCAATATTTTTGTAGGTTATAAATGGAGACTTAGATATGCAATTGTAGAATATGTTGTAGATGATATAGATTGGAGAGTATAAAATCTTATTTACACAAATAAAATAAAAGATGTTGATGTTAATAATGAATATGCAATTATTTAAGGTAATAGCAGACATATGGTTGCATTTAACTTTGGAACTTCGTTATCAAATAATATAATAAAATATAATTTGAGAGATTTCGAATTAAGAAATAATGAATTAATTGGTATCACAATGACGTAGCTCTTTCGTAGTCATTTGTAATTGATACCATTAAAAGTTGATTGTTAGCTTTAATAAGGCAGTTCTCACCAATTTTCTCTTGTCTATAATGTCTCTCATAATGGTACTACAATAGAGAGACACCATCTCAAATTTTAAGTGAATTTGGTTTCAACTTATTTATACAGAAATTAATCGTATTTAGTAATTATATTGATCACATTATTGCTTTTTATTTTTTCATTGATAAGTATGCATTATCAAATTAATAATAGTCATAATGATCATTAAATGGTATTATAATTTAAGAAAGGAAGAAAAAAAAATAGCAAAAAGTATTAGGGGATATAGTTTATCATTACCAACCAGTGGTAGAACAAATACACAATAAAGTTCAAGACCATTTTCACCCACCAATTAATAATTAATTATCAATAATATACAATAGTAATAGTGACTTTTATTATTAAAATCCTTTTAAATTAAAATACATATCTTTAAATTTAGGGTGAGCGTTAAAATTTTAATTTTTTGATAAATGTTTATTTTTATTTTCTTAATCATTAATGTTTAATCTTATAGAGTCAGATAAATTCAAAATGAATCACTTGAATTTTAGATTCCAACTGAAGAAGAGACATCAATACTTTCTCTTTTTTAAGCTAAAGACTCACAACTAATAACAAATGAAACATTACCATTTTGTTATTTGAAAGAAGTCAACCTAATTTTTGAAACAAAAAGATAACATTTTGAGAATATAGTAACTATGGTACATATAAGAGATGGTGTTATTCTAATTACTTCAGATTATTAATTGTACTTGTTGAAATTCAATTATTAGAACTTTAATGGGGAGTTCGCTAAAATTTCATGGAAGGCAGATTTTAAATAGCTGGGTTTAGATTCCATTACAGAAATGCCTCAATTGCTCTATTGCAGTACTAGTAATCTAGGAATACTGTTTTAAACGAGAGGGGCTATTTTGTTTAGTGTGTAATAAATGGAATAGAAGGCATAAAAAGTATAGTTTAGAGATTTAACAGAAATAAAATATAGGAAGGAAAGAGGAGTTACAAAAGAATATGATAATTACATCTTTTCATGTGTTGGACAGGATGGCCTGGATATTTATAAAATTATAGGAAATGAATTACATTTTATTGAATCAATATCAAATACCAGATTCAAGGATCTAGCTATAATTAAAATTGAGAACATCATTTATCTTATACTTTTAGATTAAAAACAATCAAGTATTTCTGTTTATTAAATGGATATGATCAAAATTAAGATTTCACACAAATTAGAATATAAATTTGAAGAAATCAAATTAGAATTTATTGCAATTGATAATCATAAAAATAATATTTTCGTTGTTTATGAATAGCATCATAAATATATTTGTATAGAATATTTATTTACAGAAAAAGAATTAGTAGAACTAAATTCATATGAAACATTTAGTAAAATCAAAGATGTTGATGTTACAGAGGAATTTGCAATATTATAAGGATAAAATAAACATCATATAATGTTTGTCACTAAGTTTGATGGATTTTAAATTATGCATGTTCCATAATATACATTATTAGGTGCTATAGATATAGATTTCTTTTATTTGACAAACATAGATCTCACTATGAGTCATTTATAGGATTAGAACAACTTTTCAATGGAAAACTTCTTTTTTGGTTCTTCAAAATCTGGATTATTTTTTACTAAATTTAAATATCAAGATCCTTATATTATTTGTAATCCTAAAGCCTAACATAAAAACACAAAATAAAATTATTAAATCATCTAGAATGAAACTGTTGTTATTTAAAATAACTTACAAAATAATGTTATCTTGCAGAGATTAACAAATATAACTATATAGGTTCTAGATGATGATGAATCATAATATTCAAAAATATTTATGTATTTTGTAATTCCAATTGGTTTATCAATATTATTATTTGTGATTAGTTTATGGTTTAATTCTAAAAATAAAGAAATTGAAAAATTAGAGACAGAGATATCTGCAATTAAAATTAAGAAATCTTCTGGACTAGCTGTTGCTGTTGAACTAAATAAGCCTTAAATGATATAGATTATTAATTCTCCGATTATACCTAGTCCATTCTCAAACACAGAAAGAGCAAATATAAATGTAAATTTTGCAAAAGATAGTAGTATAAATGTAGACGTTTGAAAAGTATATAGATAAAAATAAATTAATTTACATTGAGATTTTTTTTAAAGTTTAAATAAATCATTACATTTTTTTTTGAAATCTCTTATACTGTTTATACTTATTGCTATGTTATTAAATGTATTCCTCTTATCTTAAACGTTACTCTTCGTTGAATTCTTTCATGTTTTCTGATATCCATAATTAACGACCTATTAATAATTCTTTATCTACGGTTTCCCATCTGCTTTTATTTATACCTAATAACAATTATGTTTTGTATTCTTAATCCTTCTTGCTTATTTCTATATTGCTTTTTCCATCTTTGTAATAATATTTCCATTTGATCATAAAGTATAATCTATAAAAAATGGAATATATAAAATTTAATATAGCAATTATCCAAATCTCTTCAAATTTAGGATAAGACCAAGCCCCAGTAATTTTAACTTCCTTTAAAGTCTCTTAAATGACTTATTCTTTACTTAATTTGGATCCCTTTTATCTATCATTAACAACCTTTTTGAAATGTGTTGTTTCCATCACTCTTCCAATTGCATTTTTATACATACCAATTCTAGCTACATATTAAATAATTGATAATAAAAAAGTTGCAACAGAAACCACAATATAAGGATTAGTTTAAGGATGATACACATGTTAATAATATCTATAGTGATAATAAAATTCACTTCTATTTGGATTTTCAAGATACTCATCATAAGCAGTTTTTGTTTCCTCATTACTTAAAACTTCGTAAGCTTAAACTATTTTAACATATTAAAATTAATTCCCTTCATTTTTATCTGGATGAAATGTTCTTGACAATTCTCTAAATTATTTCCTGATTTCATTTAATTAAGCTCCTTTCTTCAAAAATAAGAGTTAGTAACAATTATCATCTCCGCAAAATTTATCTTTAATTGAGTAGGAAAAGCAAGAGTAAACTATGCAAAAAAATATTATTTATGAATATTTCATAAGTATAAAAATTACTATAAATTAAAATTTTTATTTTTCAAAATAATTCAATATTTGTCTAGATTAACTTCATTTTATATTTTATTTCTTTGACAAAAGCAAAGGAACTATAGCTTAATCATAATCTAAATTGAACTAAGATTTATAGAAATCAGAAATAATTCTAATCATTTTTATTGATTAAGAATTAGTAAATATAAAATAATAAAATGAATAAACATAAGTAAACTATATTGAATTTAAGATTTTATTTTATTCTTTATTTGTATTAAGGATATTCCCTAAATGGTGGAAACAAAAATCCATTTATACCTTACATTAATTTCCAACTTAATTGATTATAAAATATTAATCTAAGAAAACTGATTCAACAACACTTATAACTATTTATTTATTGAAATAAAAAAAAAGACAAACTGACCTCTATTGTTAAAAATATTTTTAATAAGTTCAATTATAACTCCATAAAATTAATTCTTATAAAGTGATTTCTAAAAATTATTTTTATTAGTTCTGTCAAAATTTGACTTAATTTAAATAATAATATTAAATTGATAAAACTAAATATGTTTTGAAATTGTACAAATGAGTGATGATAAAATATCTTATCATAAAGCAGCGCATTACTTTTGATAAGAAAAACAGTTAAAATCTATATTATATAAAAATTAATTTATTCAAATTATGCAATGAAAATTTAGTTTTATCATATTGGGCAATTTTTATTTTTAATACTTTAAGAAATTATTCGACATGGACTTATATAGAAATTTTGAATTTATAAAAAGTTTTCCTATTAAAAAATTAATTTATTTATATTATAGTATGCAAAACAAATAAGAGTAGGAGGTTATAGAAAGAATATCAAAATTTAAATAAGCTGTTCGGATAACAAAATATTGTGGTATCAGATGCAATGTGATTAAAGCAAATAGTGTGGATGTAGATTGTATTCAAAATTGTGTGAATAATTATAAGAAGAATTTTGAGATATATTTTAATTCATGATAAACTTTAAAAAAATTCATTTAGTATAATGATTGGATTCTTTTTTTTTGATATAATAGTTATAAATGAATTTTATAAGGGATAATTGAATACGACAATGAAAAAAAGTCTAAATTATATAAATTTAATTCGTTTGTAATAAATAACTTTTTCAAATTAACTTTACGCAAACTACAATAACTGCCACAACAATAAGAATAATACATATAGCTCCAGCAAGTTTTTTCATATATTACTTATGTTCTACTTTAGCCTAAATAAAATAGAAATGTATACTCCTTCAAGTTCAACAACTGCTTCTTTAACATTAGTGTTTGATTTATTGATATTATTCTCAGCAACATCTAACATCTTACCTTAATCAACAACTACTTGTGCTACTTCAGTTTAGATCTTGAGAACTTCTATAGCATCTCTTTATATTTCTCAAATATTATAGTAAAATAAATATACAATCTATTTCTTCTTATTATTCTTAAATTAACATAGCTTTATGTTAAATATCTGGATGCACTTCCATTTCTGATAATTAATCTAAATTGGGTCCTTTTTCTCCAGAATCTTCTTCGTCATAATTGGTTTCTTCATCATAAACATATGTTGATTTTCCATTAGTTTTCTCTTAATTAAAGTAAGAATTTTACTTGCATTTTACATTTCAAGTTCTTTTCCATCATTTGAATTTATCTATTTAGGATTTCTGATTGATTTAGTGATTTCGATAAATGTATTTTATTGCTGATTTAAAAATTTAATGTACCTTTGTAAATTCTTTTTTGAGCATTTACATAGTCATATTTTCAGATTTATTGAATTTCCCTTATTTAAATTTGATTGTTATAGCATCAATTAACTTTTGACATTTTTATTTATTCTATATTTTGTATATGCATGAATATTTACTATTTAAATTTATTCTTGGTTCTCTAAAAATGTATATCAATCAATACCCTTTCCCTAAAACTAATTTTAAAGCTCTTAAATGGTTTTAATAAGAGTTTACAAATTCTCTTACACAAATTCAAGATCTTAACTACTCATAAAAATATAATTAATTTATTGATGAAAATATACATACAGTCTCCTATGTTTCAGAAATTTATATTCAATAACTAAAATTAAAGAAATAAATTGTAAATACCAATATCATCAGAGAAGATAGAGAAACCCTCACCAATGTCACGATCTTTAAATATTAAGTAGTATTTTAGTTTCATACGATTTAGTAGAAGAAAGCAAACTTATAATACAGTTGAACCAAGGGGATTGTCATTATCAATATCAAGGGAAACTCAAAGAAGCTTTTTTAAGGATACAATATAAAATAGAGTATTACCTACAGATTAATTTCAAACTATGATAAAAGAGATTTAAGTAGGAAATTCAATTCAAGTTATAACAAAGTTGGAACAAGGTCCATTTTCAAAAAAGACTTATTTAATTTTAGGTATTGCATATAAACAATTAAATTAATTTGATAAAGCAAGGAGTTGGGTAATTTTGTAATATTATAAAAGTTCAATAAATGTTTGTCTGAATATCCCAATTATTTGGATGGCTATATTTAATCTGCAGCCCTAGAATTTAAAGCCTAAAAATACTATGAATCTCTCAAATTCATAGAATAAGCTTTACTTCATAATCCAAATGATAAATAAGCATTATAATATAAAGCACGATGTCATTCTGCTTTAAAATAACATCAAAAAGCATTAGAAATTTATGAAAAAATAAACAATACAGATTTTTTGGGAAAATCACGTCATTGTCTTTCATTAATTAAATGTAATTATTTTGATCAAGCACTCATTAAAATTGAAACCATTTTATAGTAAGATAGTGAAAATGCTGAAGCTTTATTACTTAAAGGAATAATCTATTTTTAAAAACGTAATTAATAGTAAAATATTTTAGAAAACTTTGTTGAATCTTAGATTTATATTGAATAAGCAATTTAAATGTCAACATCCCATTAATTAAGTGCTAAGGCTATTTCCTATATAATTAAATCTAAAATATGTCTTATGGATTTTTATGAAGCTTAATTGCATCTAATGAGGGCAGAATAACTAAAAAAAAGTTTTAAATGCATTTAAAAATTAAAACCATTTGTTAATGGAACTATTAAATTAATGAAAAGATAATTTGCATAAGGACTTAAGTTAATTAAAGAATTAAAACCAATTAGCAAATTTATATAGCCAATTTATTATAAATTTTTAGCTTATGCATAATTCTGTACAAATGATTATGTATCAGCCCTTAAATCTTATGAATTGATAAATCCTATAGAAAGAGGATAACTTTATAATAGACATCTAGCTGAAGCTTTGATTCTAATATAAAAATGTAAATTATATGAAAATAATCAGGTTAGTATGAAACATCAATTAGGTTGATTGATAAAGCTATAGATATATTTCCAAATAAATTAGAACCGTTTTACCTTAAAGGTGCAATTAGTTTACTTTATAAATTGTATGATGGAGCATAAGAATGTGAGTAGATGATAGAGTTAGCTTTTACTAAATAAGGAAAACAGCCCAACATGTTTTTTGCAAGAGCTTTGATGAAATCTTATAAAAGAAGATATACTTCAGCTATAAAAGACTTAGAAAAAGCAATTGAAAAATGTGAAGATAGTATCAGTGATCATTTTTATATCAGAGGAATTTTACATGCTTAAAGTATGAGAATGAAAGAAGCCATAAAAGACTTTACAACAGCAATACATTTTAATTAAGAACATTCAGAATCGTATTTAGAAAGAGCTAAATGTTACTAAATAAAAGGAGAGTAATATTTTATATCATTTTTAGTACTGTATAAAGTTTTTGTGATATGAATAAGTATGTAAAGTACAATAATTCAGGTGAAATTCATTATTGGAGTGGAAGCTTATTATTTCATAATAATGCTTATGAAGAAGCTCTTAAGGCATTTAATGATGCAAAATAAACTAATTAAATATTAATTTTAAAATTGAAATGTGAAATTAAATTATAACAAATAGACAAAGCATTTTTAACATCTAATTAAATAATTTAATAAAATTCTAAAGAATCTAAATACAGAATTGATTTTTTAATGTTGACATATATCAAGTAAATCTTAGATTCAATACAAAATAAAAAGGCTTGTGATTGTGTCATATTTCCTTCTATTGAGTAAAATGAAGTAGGCTTAATATTTTAACCTTAAGATGTACTTTTATTCAAAGCATCAAGTATAATATATTAGCACAAATACAATGAAGCTTTATTGATTCTTACATAACTCGAGAATTATTGGTTGAAATTACAAAAAGATAGATTAAATAGTATATCAAGTCATTAAGATGCTGATTCAGAGAAGAGTGAAAATCTTTCAAATGAAATGATATTGAAATCAGAAAGAATTGTGTAACATATAATAGGTATAAAATATAATATGGCAATTATTTACTTATTGGTATAGCATTATCATAATTGAATAGTTATTGCAATACACAAATGCTAAATTGAAGGTAGAAGATATAAGAGAATTAGTTGGTAATGTAGTTTCAGATGAATTGCATTATTTAAAACTTTTAATCTAAAATTAAATAGATAAAAAATCTACTCAAATATTTAATAAACAAATCCTTACTTTTTTAATGAATGAAAAAAGTCTTTTCAATGGATTTCCAACAATAAAAATACCATTATATGCATAAGGAGTTTTTGAATGCAAATTATCTCTTAATTTCCCAGATATTTAACCTCCAAATATATGTCCAGAATTTAAAAAAGAATTTTTATTCATGATTAAAGTATATTAATATCACTAAAAATTTAGCCAAATCTTATAGAAAATAAACCTGAAGCTCCATGGCTTTAGAGAACATCTTAACAAGTGGTTATTTTTACTTAAAATTAATTAAATGATGATTTAGATCTAACAACTGATGATGAGGAGAAAGTTAATGAAAAAAGGAAAAACAAGAGATAGGTTTAAAATTTAGAAATTGATGAAAAAGTATAAAAGCGTTTGGATTAGTTAATGAAAAAATTATGACTGTTGTTTAATTTATATTACTATTTATAACAAATTTAAAAATGGAAGACATTAATTATAAAAGTAAGAGCTATATCTGAATTTAAGTTGTATTATTGGGTGATGCAGGAGTTGGAAAAACATATATTTTAAATTAATATGTCAGAGGATAGTAACCAAAAAACAATTTACCCACTATTGGTAACAGATTAAATTAAAATAAGGTAGGAATTGAATTTGCAACAAAAACTGTGACATTATAAGATGGAGGAAAGATATAAGTTTCTATATGGGATACAGCTGGATAAGAGAGATATAGAGCAATTACAACTAATCATTTTAGAGGAGCAAGTGGTGCTTTATTAGTTTATGATATTACTAAAGAAAAAACATTTGAAAATTTAACTAGATGGATGGAAGAACTAAAAACTGCTGCTAATAAAGATGTTGTTATGTATTTGGTTGGTAATAAAACTGATTTGGTTGAAAGACAAACCAATTCTAGGAAAGTCACTAAAGAAGAGGGTTAATAATTTGCTGTCAAACATTAATTATTCTTTGAAGAAACTTCTGCATATAGAGGAACCAATATTGCATAATGTTTTGAAAAACTTATTGAAGGTAATTCTATAATTAATATATACCTTAGAAATGTATTTAAGGAAAAATTTATTAATAACCTAATAATAATAATCATAATAATAAAACACATAGTTGAAACCGATTGAAACTCCCATGTGCAGCAAATGCTGAATTATTGTATCATTATTTTATCAAATTTTAGTAATATATTTATATCTCAATTATTTATGTTTTTATCTAACTTTTCATTTCTTTCTGTCTCTTCTTAATTATATTTATATACAATAATATTGATAAAACATTGATACATTTAAACTCTATTAAACATAATAATTTTATGGATTTTTAAGAAGATTTTTAAAACATTTTTTAAAATGTTGACCCAGAATATTAAGAAAATAGATCAGAATGAATACTATATAATTTAATTAGTAAAAGAAGTTAGGTCAATTAAAAAAAATAACAATTATTAATTTAGAAATTGATTATGATTAATCATAATTAATATATCACTAATTTTATTTTAAGCTAAGTGGAATAAGTTATTTAATTCCAATATGGGGGCTTAGATGAATTTGTTTATATTGATATTATGATAAATGTAATATGATAACAGCTTTGACAAAAAAAAATTAGGTAAGTCTAAATTTAAAAATGCTTAGTAATTAGTTATAAAATACAAGTATTGAATTAAATAAAAATCAGGATTTATAGTACTTATGATATGAAAATCATCGAGGTCATATTAAATAAACAGAATTTAAATCACAATTAAAATGCTTCAGAACAAATTTAAAACACATGAAAATAATAAGCATTCGCTAATAATATATTATGGCTCATAAATTATTCATGAATAACAATTGATTTCCTCTTAGTTCTTATGTCATTTCTATAATTTTTTTCCTTTTTAGTAATTGCATTATATTCATAAAATTTGATTCATCTCAATATTACACCAAAAAGTCATAGCTATAATTTTATACATAAGTCAATATTTTAAGCTCAACAAAGAAAAAAGCGAAAGCACCATGCTTATTAAATATAATTGGAACAATTATTATATATCATTAATTATTGAATGAAAACAGAAATATTCTAGAAAACTTTTGAAATAATAAATTTTATCAATCGTGTCAATTTTCATAAACTAATAAGTCGAGCCTTGACTTTAATATCAATAATTAATTTAAATGAAAGCATTATAACTTGCGTTCGTGCTCTACTTGGCTTTTTTTACATCTGCATAACTCACAGTAAATAACAAATATATATTCAGCCAATTAAAACTGAAGAAGAAATCAAGATTGATTTAAATTTACAAGAGAAAATTGAAATACAACCAAGTGATATCAAAAAAAATAAAATATATGATAAGTTATATGAGGTTGATTAAGAAGCATATGAATACATGAAAAATTCATTTAAGAATGTGGTACATCTTATTTTTGATAAGTATGAACTTGAATACTATTTTATAGGAATGAAGAGGAAAACCAAGTTAAATTACTAAATTCAATAATTTAAAATGTTAATTTTACTAAAGTTGATGTAATATTTGTTAAAAGTCCTGTTGGAATAATTGAGTCAGAAAAAGGTATTGTTGTCAAAAACTTTGAAAATCTATTTTGGATTCGAAATTAGAACAATCTTTAAACCTAGATATTTGGTAATCATATTAATTCAATTCTAGATATTATAAGTCCTAAATTAGAATTCTTAGAAACAGAAGATGATGTGAATAAGTATTTCAGCTAAAACAAATTAAACTCTTTGGTTCTATTACCATAAAACTATACATTTAGAGATTAAATTATTGAAGATCTAGAAGCACTAATAAGAAATGGAGATTTAAAAGAGGCTCGAATAGATGGATTGAAAGGATTCAATTCTAATTATAAAAATTTTACCGCTCCAACATTGCTATTACATAAAGGAAATAATAAATTTGAATAATACGAATACAATTTGACTTACACTGATTAAATTTTAGATTTCTTCTATTTAGAAAGCTTAGATTTAATAAATCGATTAGATGAAGATAATTATGCAAGAGTCTTTGGAGGACCCATTCAAACTTAAGTTCATCTTTTAATTAAAGGCATTTTAAACCAAAATTTATTCAACTCCTATTATTGGGTGGCCTAAAATAATAAACTAAATGATTTGAAATATCATCGTTTAATATTTACTTATTCAACTTTTGAAGAAAACCCAAATTTATGGTCTTTATTTGATTTTGATCAATCCACAGATACTCCTAAGCTTGTGATTACAGAAACAAATTTTAGAAAATATCAATTATAAAAATATATTTGTTAATCTGAAACTCTAAATCAAGAAACTATTCAGTAATTCATTGATGACTTTAGAAATAAAAATCTAACAGAATTTTATAAATCTGAACCTGTTCCTGAATATACTGAAAATTAAGATATCTATAAAATAGTTGGATAGACATTTTCCTAAGAAGTACTAAATAAAGGAAAAAATTTTTTATTGTTATTTTGGGATTCAAAAAATAAAGATTTATTTAATGATTATTTCACACTTCTGAATGAATTTTCATTAATTTAAAATAAAGATAAAATAAAAATTGGTCATATTGATCTTGCTAATAATGAACATCCTAAAATCACTGTAGACTCAGTTCCTAAATTAATGCTATACTTAGCTGCAGATAAAAAGGCTCCAAAAGAATATTTGAAAAGCTCAAATCTAGTTATTTCTGAACTCAAAGCTTGGTTAGATTATTATATTGGAAATGGTATTGCATACAAATAAGAAAAAACAGATTTATGATTTTCTCTTGTGTTTATAATTTGTTATGTAATTTTCATTAAACAATTAGTTATTATTATAAGATTTACAATTTACTAAATGATCTTACGATACTAATAATAATTCATAAAAAACTATCAATTCATAAAATAAAGAGAGAAACTATGAAATATTATTTTGCAAATAAACTTAACAAAAATATATTATATTTGTTAAATTCATCCTTCAGTGTTTATTCTTTTAATTCTCTTTTTCATGCTTGAAGGGAATCTTTGAGCCTGGCTAAATGTAAACTATTATAAATTATTGTCCAAAAATGGGGTCATTTGATCAAACTCAGTTAAAGCTATATTATTTTTAGATGAATCAGTATCTAATTAAAGATTCTTTTTAGCACTAGCACTTCTGTTTTTTTATTTTAATTAAATTGGAATTTTAAAATTGTTTATTATTAATTATGTTAATTCTTCTTTTGGAGTCTATTATTAAACAGATTTTTTCATATAGCCAAAATCAAATTTACCTTTTTTAGGTGAATCATGAAATGAATTTGAATCATTATTTGTTTTTTTAGTAGATGAAGCATTTTTAATTAGAATTTGATTTAAATTATCTGTTTTTTCAAGTTATATGTTCAGATTTTAAGTTTTTACATTTTCATAATTCATTCTTAATTATTCAGTTTATTAATTTAAAATATGAACTGTTTACCTTGCATTGGATAATTCTTTCTTTGCCTCCTCACTTTAAAGTTTAAATCTTTTTAAATCTTATACTTCCCTTCTATATTTAAAAAGATAACCTTTTTATGATCCTATTCTTTATTCAGATTATTGTAAATCAACAAGTCTTTAAAAATGAGTTGATTTCCAATATTTAACTTGATCATTTAGATCAAGGTTCTTTTAATTTTATATTTCATATAAATCTTTATATTTATCAACTTAGCTTGATAATTGATTTGTTAACTCAATCAAATCTTTATTTGCTTTAATAATATTTTATTCTTATAATTTTAATTGATTTATTTCCTTTTCAAAAATTGATTGAATTTCTTCAAATTACTACTAAAGTTTGCTATGTTTTTTATTTAGTTCTTCAAAGTTACTCTTAAGGTCATTATAATTTTTAGTTTGATTTTGAAGGCTTTCCCTTAAGTTATTATTATCTTTCTCTAAATTAATAATCGTTTCCTCTAGCTATTTGTTCAATTATAAAAATGTAGTCTATGATGATTATTGGGTTCTTAATTTAATTAATTCTTATTCTTAAATTTATATTGTTGTCTCAGAACTCTTTATTTTTAATTCTCTATCTTATAAAATGGTCTTGGAATTCTTACAATCCAACCATAATTTCAAAAATTCCTATTTATAAGCATTACCTAATTAATTTGATATTTAATCCAAGATTTCTTTAAAAAGTCTTTTGAACCTTTAATGTACATTTTGAATTTCTACAAAATTAGCTTATCTAATGGCTTCAATGACTTTTTCGTGGCTTATAACTTATGCCTTAACTCAAGTGATATAATAAATTATACATTCAACCATTTCTTTTGCTCCTTTTAAATGAGTAGTTCTTTCACACTATTATATACAATCTTGAGCTAAAATTTAAAATTAGGAATTATATTTATCAATATCGTAAACTAATTAAGTTTTACCATTAATCTCCTTATCTATAATTTTTTTGATATTCTGTTCATCTTATTTAAAGTCATATAAAGTGTTTTACATAATTAATAATTATAATATGAATTTTGATTATAAGAATACCTTTTTGAGAAATACTCCATACAAAATAGAACCAGCTAGACCAAAACCATTGTTATCATCAGCAAAAAATGTTTTAGGAGAGTATTCTAATGTTTCTTACTGGAAATTTGATAATTTTACTCATTAAAGATCTTATGTAGATACAACTTTTAATAGATATTAACCCTCATTTAATGCTTATGCTAAAATTTTACCTCCAGACATTTTAGATTGAAATTTTTAATCTTTTTTTTCATATTTAATTGATAGTATAGAAAAATTTATAGAACTTTTTTTCATTTATTACTTTGTTTGAATTAAGTTAGCTTTATTTTCAATACAAAATATTTCAAGAAATTATATTATCATTTTAATTAGGATAATAGTTTGTTTATCATAGAAGATTTCTATAATATTATAAATATGTAAAATTTAGATAGTCTATATTTTATTTTGTAATTTATGATCTAATTCATATATAGTTTGTTAGATTACAATAACACTAAATAAAGATTAAGAATAATTATTAAATAAAAAATTTAGCTTCATATGGATATATATATATAATTGCAAATTTCCGTTCAATCTGATTTTACTTATTGTTAAGGTTCCCTAAAAGAATTACTCTGAAAACTTTGATTGGTATCTTAAAAAAATAACAATAATATAAATTTTACCCTCTTTACTTGAATTATTATTATTTTCATTATCATTATTTAGTTCATCTTTATCGCTTCCATTGCTTTTAGTAGTTTAAGTTTATTGGGTAGAGTTAGTAAAGGGATATTGGACTAAGCATAAATAAAAGAAATTCTACAATGATATTTTTATTCAGGTTATGATTTAGATACATTAGCCAATACTTAGAAAAGTAAATCATTACAAATGGAGTTCTAATTTTTAATAATGCTTAATTCTCTAATTTATTGCCTAGAGGAATCAATCAAAGTTGAGAGAGTACCTTAAAACTAAGAAATAATATTAACAATTTTAACTTAATCAAATTGTTAATAAAAATAAATAAGTTCTTTTTAAATTTATTCTATGTCTGTCTTCAGTTCTGAATAGTTGGAATATAATTGAGTAACTTCTTTCTTTGCTTTATTTTATAATTTAAGATAATGACATCTCTACATTACACCATTTTTTCTTATGATTTTGTATAGTAGATCTCTATTCTAATCAAATTTTGTACTCTCTTCCTTTTAAAAAATAATGATGACTGAACTGATTTTGATTATTAACATTTCTTATCTTTTTAAAGCCATACATATTCAATTGTCTAATAAAGGAACTAAAGTTTTGATGTTTAAACTATTTTGGTAGTACAAAATCACTAAACCCATTTTAATCCTTGACTACAAAAGCATTTCCAGCACTATTAAATGAGATAATATCCTCAAATTCTGGATTCTAATTATTATGTTTTAATTAAATTTATTAATATATTGGTTCATATTGTAATTTTCCAGAATTTAATTCTCAAATCATTATATTTGATTCACAAATTAAAGGTCTGGATTACAAGAATATGAGTTGTCATACATACCATAACCATCGAATATGTTTTTAAAAGAAAGCTCGAAATTCCTCTACGAGCAGGTGCAATTGTAGGATGGTTATCTCTGGATGTATAATGGCTATTATTGTTCTTCTAATTCATTAAAATTAATATTATATAATTTTGATTTGATAAATTTGGGTTAGAAATAGACAGATTTCAGTATTGACATAGTAAGAATTCAAACTAAGCATCTTTTTATATATTCATATATATAATTCATTTTTAATATATACACATTTTATAAATAATTTATATATAGATATGCTTAATCGTGCCATTAACATAGGATTTCGTAAAGCATTACCATAATATACATTCTCTTCAAGAAGTAAATAACTTAATTTAAAAATCTTAGATGGTCCATATAATCCAAATAGATATAGACATTATTTGAACCCAAACTTTTTCTAATCCAATAAGGAAATTACAGATATTGCTAAATCATAACAAGTCCCTCTACCTGGTATTTTAAATTAATTACTTCTATAGTTCGTAATGTTAGACATGTCAATCCAGTTAGATAATCTGGTCCTCTTCCTCCTTATGATGGACCCTATACGTAATTTTATCCTTTATGTTTTAAATTAGAATGGAAGATGTAAGAGCTGTTTGGTAGAATACTTCTATTGGAAGATAAGGAACTTGGAGTTGTCAAATGGATCCTGATGAAATCATGAGAAGAGTCCCAGGTACAATACATATTTTATTATTATAGGAATTACTAGAAGAGAAGTTGAAAAGATATTAAATATGGGATTAACACCATAAGAATAAGTTGATTTTGCATATTTGGTTTATAATTGTGGTTTTGATGTTGATTATGTTCCAAACAGTGTTTATGTCGCAAGATAAGTTGTTACTAATTCAAAAGGAGAAAAAGTTGAAATCTTATGGAATGTCTAAGTTCTTGAAGATTTAGCTAAATTACCAGTTGGTTTTGCTCCTGTGAGAGAATTAATTGATTATCATTGGGAAATCTTTCTGTGGTCAGATCCAATGATCAAACCAACTGGTGATTTGGATCTTGGTGTTCCTAATACTTGGTTTGAATATGAATGTGAATGTAACTATATACTTTTGTATATTTTAAAGGGGGAGGTGAAATGGTTGGAATTGAAGATTAATTCAATATACCTGAAAGTGACAGAGTTTTTCCATCTCCTAGAAATCCAAATTGTAGAAAAGAATTGTGGAAATCTCAAGATGATATCTAAGAATAATTAGAAATGGAGGGTATTTTACATTTCATAATTTTTTAGATGAAAATTGGTATCCAAAAGGAACATCATATAATATCTATCAATAAGCAGATTATAAAAAAGTAACTAAATCAGATAGCACATTTTAAGAGAAAATATGATCATTTACAAATATATTAATCCAATTATAAAAAAAACAGATAATTTTTTTTAAACCTTCCAAAAATATTTTAATTATAATATTTTTTAATCAAACTTCAATAATAATAATACTATCTAAAATTAAACAACATATCTTTTAATAACTTAAAAATCAGGTTAATCTTTTAAAAAAATATACAAAAGAAATTGTAGTTTTTTTTTTGAAATAAGAATTTTGCAATTATTAATTATATAATTTATAATATATTCACATAACTCATAATAATGAATCAACTCATTATTAAACACTTTATATGGTTTGAAACTATTCATGGAAACTGAATTAATCTAAAAGCTTGATAATATTTTACTTGGTATTGTCATATTTGTAATTCGAAGGAAATTAGAATAATGTATTTATTATATCTGTGAGAGTGAAGAGTGTAAAGTTATGTATTCATTGAAATCAACCTATTAATTATTAATCCATTTTTTTAACATAGTGATTATTTTTATTTTTTCTTACATTTTATCAATATCTGATTTAAGTTTAAACATGAGATTTTTTTTGATTTCATAAGAAATATTAAGAGGAGATGTAGAATTCTCTAAAATATCTGATGCCTATTTATAATCCACCAATGGTTTTGGTTTTATCAAACTATTGATAGATTTTATTTGGGAATTAGTATTGAAATCTAGTTAAGATTATATTTTATCTGCTGAAAATTACAAATCATTGAAATTCCATAAGTTTCCTAAAGAAAAATCACCAAATGTAATTTATTCTTAATCTGCGATCTTCAATTCTAATTCTTCCAAAATTTCCTAATTATTAGATTTGCATTTCTTATATTTAGATAGCTATGTTTTATATGTAGATTGAGACAATTTGAGTTTTTTTCCACTACTAGTGAGACTATCAATGAGATCAATGTTATCTGATATGAGCTCACTTAATCCATCTTTTTCAGAAATAAAAACATGTCTTTTCCTAAAAGTAATTTTTTAAAGAATACTTGCAATGTTCTTATAAACAATAGCCTAGAAAATTATATTAAGCACAAATATATGCATGTTTGCTTGTCAAGTTCTATAGATCCATAGTGCTTTTACTAACTTTCTTAAATGAACTCTTATTTAAATTGATGTTCCTGTTACTATTGTGTTCACTCTATCAAAATTAAGTCTGTATTAATTACAGAACAAGAATGCTAAGAAGAATAGCTGCAATCACTTTGTTCTTATACGCCTAAACCTTAAGAAACCAATTCTTATGCCTTTTGATTGGTTAGTTTTGATGTTAATAAATCGCTGTCCTACTAATGAAAGTCCATATCTATAATTAAAAATGCTTTTTTTCTAATCAAATTTCCCCCCTTCAAGTTCCAAAATTTAAATATGTGTGAAATATTACATTATAATCATTTATCAACACATCATCAAAGTTAAGATAAAATTAAAGAGTTAAAAAGCTTAATCACTATAACATGCTTAAAGGATTTTGATATCAAAAATATAATAATTACTATATGACTAAAAATATATTAATATAAATGTTTATTATTAATTCAATTGCGATTACCAATGATCAAAAATATGTTATTGGTGCGACTATCGCAGGAATGCTTTATTTTTGGAATTTTAAAAACATTCTATTAGAAAATAGTAGTCGAACGCAGGAAAACTTCTTATAAATTTCCACTATTTAAGGAATCAATATAATAAATAATAATTATTCAAGAAAGCCTTTATTGTGCAATTTCTAATAAGTTGTATTAAGTTTAAATGCAAACTTTAATCTCTTCAAATCAAATTATAGACACAGATTTAAGTGCTTCTTTCTTAATTGTAATTTTAACATATTTAATCTAAAGTTATCTTTCTAAAAAGATATTGAATTCATCCGATACAGTAATGAAAATCTAATAGTTGCATTTGGTTCTAGATTATACTTTATTGATTTACAGCACGAAAACAATATTATTGAGTATTAATGAATTAACTCTAAAAAAAAGAGAAATCGACACAACCCAATCAATCAGTGAAAATATTTACCNGATTGAGACAATTTGAGTTTTTTTCCACTACTAGTGAGACTATCAATGAGATCAATGTTATCTGATATGAGCTCACTTAATCCATCTTTTTCAGAAATAAAAACATGTCTTTTCCTAAAAGTAATTTTTTAAAGAATACTTGCAATGTTCTTATAAACAATAGCCTAGAAAATTATATTAAGCACAAATATATGCATGTTTGCTTGTCAAGTTCTATAGATCCATAGTGCTTTTACTAACTTTCTTAAATGAACTCTTATTTAAATTGATGTTCCTGTTACTATTGTGTTCACTCTATCAAAATTAAGTCTGTATTAATTACAGAACAAGAATGCTAAGAAGAATAGCTGCAATCACTTTGTTCTTATACGCCTAAACCTTAAGAAACCAATTCTTATGCCTTTTGATTGGTTAGTTTTGATGTTAATAAATCGCTGTCCTACTAATGAAAGTCCATATCTATAATTAAAAATGCTTTTTTTCTAATCAAATTTCCCCCCTTCAAGTTCCAAAATTTAAATATGTGTGAAATATTACATTATAATCATTTATCAACACATCATCAAAGTTAAGATAAAATTAAAGAGTTAAAAAGCTTAATCACTATAACATGCTTAAAGGATTTTGATATCAAAAATATAATAATTACTATATGACTAAAAATATATTAATATAAATGTTTATTATTAATTCAATTGCGATTACCAATGATCAAAAATATGTTATTGGTGCGACTATCGCAGGAATGCTTTATTTTTGGAATTTTAAAAACATTCTATTAGAAAATAGTAGTCGAACGCAGGAAAACTTCTTATAAATTTCCACTATTTAAGGAATCAATATAATAAATAATAATTATTCAAGAAAGCCTTTATTGTGCAATTTCTAATAAGTTGTATTAAGTTTAAATGCAAACTTTAATCTCTTCAAATCAAATTATAGACACAGATTTAAGTGCTTCTTTCTTAATTGTAATTTTAACATATTTAATCTAAAGTTATCTTTCTAAAAAGATATTGAATTCATCCGATACAGTAATGAAAATCTAATAGTTGCATTTGGTTCTAGATTATACTTTATTGATTTACAGCACGAAAACAATATTATTGAGTATTAATGAATTAACTCTAAAAAAAAGAGAAATCGACACAACCCAATCAATCAGTGAAAATATTTACCTATCAAAGATGTAAAAATAACTTGTTTGGCTATTATTGGACAGAATTTTTTAGCTATTGAATCAGATATTGGAATTATAGGAATTTGATGTAAGATTAATTTTTTTTTATTTATTTTAAGCTAATTCAACTTATTCATTCTAATCTATACTCAGTTTTAAAGCAGCAAACTAAGAGTTATCATATGTTAATGATGCATTTCTATTTTTGCTAAATTTAATTAGATATTATATTTGGAAGATGAGTAATAAATTATTAGTTTGCATAAGAATCACTTAGAAATTTGGAATTCAATTTCAAGAAATGATGATGAAATAAGGCCAATTTCTGATTATTACAAAATGTGTCTTTACCAAAAAAATTTTAAAAATATAATCCAGAATAGATTTATTTGACTAAAGGTAACAGATAAATTGAACAAATGAATTCAAAACTAAATCTTCAAACATCATCTGAGGTTATATTGCAGTTTAACATAATTTGTTATAAAAAAAGTTATATTCTAATTGCAAATGGTTCAAGTCCATTTGTAGATAAAAACCATACATTAACATTAAGTTGTTTATGATATATTACACATTATCAGATCAAATTTTTAGTGATTTTTCTTCTCTATTCTTTGAATTCTTACATTTTATTATTAATTTCTTTTTAATCAATTTTTGAATCCATAAAACATTAAATTAATTCTTCATCATTTTTGTTCATACATTACTATTTCATTCTTTCGTACAATTACTAGTAAAGTCTTCAAAACTTAATACTTATTGCTAATTATTAAAGTAATCATTTAGTTTATCTCTAAAATCATATCTGTATTTATTCTATTCTTTTAGACATTATCGATATTCTAAATTTTATTTTGATTTGCATAATTTAACGATACTATTTATAACAGCTTTCAAAATAATATGTTAATATGAATACTTCAAATAAGAATTACTCTAAAATAAAATTGGAATTGCCATAAAATTTATTTTTGATGATCTCAATATCCATAATTATAATTTAATATATTTATTATTGTTCATATTATCAAAAATCATGTTGATCAGTTTTGTATTCTTCCTCTTATTTTGGTTACCTACCTCTTTTCATTAACAACAATTGCTTAGTACTCTACAATTAGGCAGCTGTTTTAGGATGAATCCAAGATGGAATCATTTTCTATACAATCCTATTGTAAACAATATCCATTACATATCCAAACCACGTGAAGGTCTTTTATTTAATCTTTCTTATCTAAATTTAAATTCTTCTTCAGCATAATTCATTAAATTCTTTTTTATTTTTTCAATTCTAAATTAATTTGATAATGATACCTCTATTCTCTTGTCCTCTCACGTTTATGCCCTTTAGGTTTCCTATGATAAGGACTCAATTCTCTATTTTTGGGTTAATCATATATCCATGGGAGTCCGTGAAAATAAAATTATTTTCTTAAAAGACCCTTATATCTTCCTGAAATATCTGGACCAAAAAATCTTCCATTCACCATTTTCTTATTAAAACATGATCTAAATGATAAATATGATAATCTAAGCCACATTATATATAAAATATTAATTAATTCAATTTAATAAAGCCAATTTCATTTCAATATTGCTGATTAACTTTTTTGTTTCATCTATAGATTATTTAACTCCTTTATCATCTAATTGTATAGATGAAGGATTGTCAACTTTTGGGAATTATTAAACATACCAAGGACCAGTATTAGGAATCTCAATTTTAACCTAAACCTGCTCCTTTTATAATTCTTATCCAGTGTTGTATTCTTATTCTCTAGTATAACCATCAAGTCTTTAAAGTGTCTTTATTGTATTAAATATCACATTCCTATAATTGTTAAGATCACAAATAGGATTTTTCTGATCTCCTGATGGACATTATAAATAGAGTGTTCTCAGGACTCTTATACGATCTAAATACTCTATTGCTTTCACACTTTTTATAAAATTTCCTTTAGCTTATAAGTTTTAAAGGGAAGATAGTTCACCTAAATCTAATTGTGTAATTTGATTATTGGAAATATTCAAAAAAGCTAGATCTTTCATAACTTTCAATGGGGAAATATCACTTTGAAATAAAAAATTTTTTACCTAATTGAATTATTCTGTAGGTTCAATTATACTAAATGAATGCATTCTGTTAAACAATCAATATTACCAATTTTCTAATTACTTAAATCTAAAACAAATACAATATCGAGACCAAATTTATTAGATACAGTTTTTATGATTTCTAAATTAGTAAATAGTTTTTTTACATGGATTGAGTTTGCCTTGTATATTGAAATTTTAAGTTTACTTGAGATCACGAAATTTTTCAATATTTATTTCATTAACATTTGTTCCTAAGAGTTTACTCTAAATTTATTGATTATTAGTTGTAGAACTCTTTTCAACTTATTTAGTAGGTTTTTTCTCATTTTTTTTATCATTATTCATTATATATTTAATATTCACTTATCAAACCACAACAATTATTCCTTTCTTTCTTTTTCAGCAATGAATTATTCAAATTCAGCTTTAATTGCAGAAAAATCTTCTCCTTTATAAGTGATTTATAAAGCAAGAGCAGGTGATGTATCTTTTATTCCATCCACCTTATTCTTATGTCTATGTGCTGGTGATTTAGCTGGATCTACAATTTTTGGAATAATAGATCCACTTAATTTTGATACTCTCACTGGTGTACCATCCTCTAAAAATCCTCTTTAAACCTATTTTGAAAATTTTATCGTAAATGTATACTTTAGTTGGTTTTCCTTTTTCAGGATCAATAAGTGCAACTTTACTTAGATGAATAGGTCTTGTAATTTATTGAATACCAGATCCAGATGGATCATCTAATAAAGATTTTCTTTTGAATTTTTAATTGATCCCTTGAACAAGCACTTCATTTGATAGACGATAAACTCTTAAAACTGTTCCTGTTTTTCCTTAATCCTTTCCTGAGACTATAACAACTTTATCGCCTTTGATGACATTCCATTTTTCGAATGTGATTTATTTAGCAAATTAAGCAATTGGTGTCTATCGATTTAGATAGAATGTAGAGAGTGCTTTTAACATAAATAATTAATTAACTATAACATTTTTTTGTTTTTTAAATTAAGTGATGAGTTATTCGAATAAAGAGAATATAGATGATACTTAAATACTTATGGATTAGGAAGAAGTATTAGAATTCGTAAAGCAATTAAAAATGATGAACAAATAATTTATTTAGTAGATTAAACAACTGATTCGAGAGAAAGAAGAGTATAAATTTTTGATTTAAGAACTGTAAAGTCAATTATAAAGAAAGTGTGAGTAGTTACAATAATAGGAATTGATTATTTAAGAGTGTGAACTATAAGTAGCAATTTCATAGGTTATTGTAGTTAGAGTCATGCAGATCGAATTATGAGGAAAGAGTTAATCAGTTAGAAGTAGAGATAAAGTTAAATTAAATGGTTTTCTAAATTGAATTAAGTTAGTAGAAATAAGAGATTGTTGATTTAAGTGATAAATTGAAAAGCACTCAATAAGGTTACTCAACTACTGTGGCTACTTCATTTTTATAAACCTCTTTTAATTAGAAATAGGATAGTTTATTTAAAGTATTAAATAAATGAATAAATTTAGGATAGTCATACTTTAGAGAGCGTAGGATAAACTGAAGGAGAATAGAGTATAATGTCAAATAAGAATAAAGGATAAAGAATGATGCTGAAAATTATTTAAGATCCAATAAACAACTTAAAGAAATAGAAGGACCTAATTAAACGTGAAATCACTTAATGGTAAGATGAATTTTTAAAGAAGGAAGGTAGGCCACCTTCTATTAATGATAAATAATCTATTAGTACAAAGTTTTATTAATATACGATATTAAAGAAGCAATTGAATGATCGTAGTACTATCATTTAAGATAGTACAGATTGTAAAAATATGGGTATTTAATGCAATTTGATGGAGGCAGCATAAATATCTTAATTATAAGAATTATTAAAATAAAAAACTAATGAAATTAAAAAATTGAGCTTTTAATTAGAAGATTTAAAAGGCAAGGTAAAGGTTTACTGTAGAGTAAGACCATCAAATAGTTTAGATAAATTAAAAGGTATTAATTAAAATATAAATTAGATTGTGAAGTCTAATTTATAGATGAATAGCATATCTCACTAAAATAAAAGCTTTTCAATTTTGATATATGTTTTAATCAGTAATCTACTTAGAAGGATATGTATGAAGAAATATAATAATCTCTTTAAGCCATTTTCCATGGTTTTAATTTGTGTATTTTTGCTTATGGTTAAACAGGTAGTGGTAAGACATACACTATGTTTGGTACAAAATAATAACCTGGAGTAATACCTAATTTAATAGATGACATTTATTCTTATATTAGAAAAAACAATCTAGAATGTTAGATTATAGTTAATTCTCTTGAAATTTACAAAGAGAATATTATTGATTTATTAAATGATCAATAAAGTACTTAATCTTTGGAACTGAAGGAGAATTTAAATGGGCAAGTTTTTGTTTAAAATTTAACAAATATAAAAGTTCAAAATATGCATGAACTAATGAATTTGATTGAGTTTGCATCTTCTAAAAGAAAACAAGGTTTGACTGAAATGAATGATTCAAGTTCAAGATCTCATATGTGCACTTAACTCGTAATTGAAACATTTAATAAAATCACATAATAAGTATATTTGATTATTGATTATTAGAAATTTATTAGTCGTGTAAATTTAATTGATTTAGCTGGTTCAGAAAGATGTAACAAATCAAAACTAAAGCAAAATCAATTAGATGAAGCTAAATATATAAATAAAAGTCTTTCAGCTCTTAATGATGTTATGATTGCACTTTCAACAAAGAGTAATTTTATTCCTTATAGAAACAGCAAACTTACATATTTAATGAGAGATTCATTGGGAGGCAATGTATCATAATAATTTTATAATTTTAGTCAAAAACTATAATGATTATAAATATATCACCTTCATTTATAAACCTAGATGAATCATTAAGTTCATTACAATATGGTTAAAAAGTGAAATAGATAACGAATTTACCAATTAAGAATTTTGAACCAATAGAACAATAAAAAAAATTATAAAAAGTATGTAATTAGCATGACGAAAGTGCGTAATTAAGATAATAAAAGTGATTTATTTTATATATGCAATAATCTCAATACTAGATCTGTGTATTAGGAAGTGCTAATTCTGATCATTTCCTTGAAGTTGAAAACTTTCCTAAAGAAGGAGAAACTATAGCTTCTAAGGTATAAAAGATTCTAATTGTATTAGAAATCCTATTTAAAAAATGGAGGTAAGGGAGCAAATCAAGCAGTTGCATCAGCCTTGCTTAATTCAAAGATTATTTTTGCAGGTCAAATTGGAAAAGATGAATTAGGCTAATTATTAATGAAAGAAATGACTTTAGCAGGAGTAGATTTAGGTGCCTTAAGAAAAGTAGATGAATAAACTGGATAGGCTATTATTCTTTTAAATAATAAAGGAGAAAATCTGATAATTATAGTTGCAGGAGCAAATGGTTTTTATGACACATTAGATATCTTACCATTAGAATATTAATAAGCAATTGAATAATCAGATTTATTGTAATTACAAATGGAAGTACCATAGTCAATCAATATTTTGGCTGCAAAATATGTTTTAAATTTTAAAATAATACATAGATGGCATAAAATGATAAAATTACAGTGTTAGATTGTGGAGGAAAAGCAGAGAAATTAAAAAGTGATTTCCTTGAAAATTTAACTATTGTAAGTCCAAATGAAACAGAATTAGAACGCATCTTAGGAGAAGATCTAAATATGGATGCAGATTAAAATGCTGAAGAGTAATAATTTATTTTATATATTTTTAGGTTTCTTTCTAAAACTATTCATGAAAAAGTATTCACTCGTTTTCCAGATTTAATTGTTCTATTAAAATTAGGTTCAAATGGAAGTATGCTTGTAACTAAATAATTCAATGTTAGATGTTAAACAGTAACATAATTAAGTATATTTTTATATTAAAAATAGATCCAAGTATTTTAGAAGATTATAAAATTGTTGATACTGTTGGAGCTGGAGATTGTTTTACTTCTGCCTTTACAGTATCATTTTACAGATCTTTAATAGAATTTGGTCCTGCTAAAATTTCTAGTATGATTTTATTATAAATTCTAAGCTTTGAGAAAAATTGATATTGAAACACAAAAGAAATTGTTCTATAAAGCTATGCATTTTGGAAGTGCATCAGCATTTTTGTGCATTACTAAACATGGAGCTATGCCATCAATGCCAAAGTTTGAGACAGTTGACAGTTTTATCAAGAAATATTTCCCATGAAATAAAATTATATCAATAATAATATACAATAATAAATCAAAGGGGAATTATACATTAACATAAAGGATGATTTGAAAATACAATAAATAGCAGATTTCCATTTAAATTTCTCTTCTCTTCACTTGTACATTAATTTTCCTTGATAAGTAAAAAATTTCCGAACATTATACTTATAATAATTCAAGGATAAATAATTTAATTTGGTTTTGAATATCAAATAGATTTACTTTATTAAATTCGGATGAACCTATAAATAATGAGATTACTTTACTTATTATTAGTGACTTTTAAGAATCTTTGAAAAATACACTTAATAATTTAGTTAATAATAATGATAATGCGGATAACACATATATATATTATTTTAATATATAATCATTTTTTTATTTGAAAAGATCAATATATATCTTTAGTAGTACTTCTCTGAGAATAGATGATTTCCTCCTATAATTAAGTATTATTTTCTTGGCATTTATTGATGTTATTTTGATAGTTAGATATATTTATAAAGTCATTGAAATGTATAAATTAAAAAAATAATGAAAATTTAAATTTCAAGAAGATAAATTACATAAAAATCAAAAATATTCAATTAGAAATCGAGAACTGATCATTTTTGCATCAAATGAAAAGTTAAAATAATAATAAAATATCAAATCATTTCTTGTCATCAGAATAATCAAAAAGTAAATTTCAATTTTTAATTTCCTATATATTTAAACCTTCTGATATTTGCTTTTTTACTTGGTTTTCAAAAGTTAAATATTTGGATTATTATGAAAAATTACACTTAATTGCGTCAGTTTTAGAATCATCTATAATTCCATTATATATTTGGCAATGACAGTGTTTTTAGGATAGGCATTATAGGGAATGATTCTGATCAATGTTTAAGTTTTTCTTCATTTATAAATAGATTATCTCCATTAAAATATGGAGATTCAATATCAGATGTATTTCGTTCTAGAAGTTTAAGTTTAGAAATATCTTGATTGTTATAGTAAAATCTATTTTGTTGTTCTGATTTGCAGTTCATTATAATATTGATGAAAAAGTATTATATTTAATAATTAAGTTATATGGAGTTGGAATTATGGAATGATATTGATTTAAGTCAATTTACAGTATTTGATAAAAAGAAATAATTAAATTTTATTGTTCTTAATTAATAAAAAGATTGCAGAGAAACGAGGAGTATTTTTAATAAAACAAAGTAAATAAACTAAAATTTGAAATAATGATTTTAAGTATAATCATTGATATTAGTATTTCAACATGGAATATTCTCTCTTCTTGCTTATTATTTAGTCAAACAGAACTTAACTCTACGAGATTAAGATGGTGATTATGTATTAAGTTAACTACCGAGTTGCAAACTGCAAAAACTCTGCCTACTGGAATTAAGAGATGAGGGATTTTTCAAAATGCTTTTAGGAGTAGCGATGGAACTTTAAGATCTTGATTTGTCAGATAATTCTAATTGGAGTAAAGAGGATTAAGGATTATTTTTTTTAATCTTATTGATTTTGTTTCTAGATTGTCTTAATAAGTATTGTTGATTATATTGATTTACAGTGTTGCTCACTAATTTTGATCTATCTTTTCTTGTTTCTGAGAGTTGATTATTAGAATCTTATTTTTATCCAAGATGTAATTCTAAATTAGAATTGTAAGAATCATTAGAATAATAGGAAAATTAAGATCTTTTTTTTGAAGTGAATCTGTGAGGTACAGAGGGGGATAGAGCATCTTTATTTAATTTAGAGAACTTAGATAGTGTTTATTAATGCTCTTTTATATCATCTCCTTGATCTAGTAGTATTTTAGGGATGGCATCTTGTAATGAGGAGGTATTATTGGAAATTAAAGATTATTATTAAGATGGTTAAGTGGGTTTATTAGATGAGGATTGTTGTTCAGTAATAAGATTAAGAATATGATGTCTTTTGTAAGAAATCTCACGTTTAAAGTGATATTTTTATTTGCTAAGTAGTGAATCCATTTTTTGATCTAAACCTAATTCTTCTGGTTCATTAATATCCCTCAGATCAAAATCATCTTTCATGATTCCAGAAGTATGTTTTGATTTTTCTCGATTACGAAAAGACATTTATTTAATTAATTATGTTCTGGGGTGTAAAATTATAAAATGGGTAAACACTAACTATAAAGGGGAATTTGATACTTACAAATTTATGTGGTTTAGGCATAGTGAGATTGAACAATATCTTGATTGCAACGCTTACAACATAGAAGGTTGGAAATGCATATAATAATTCAAGCCTTAAGTTTTAATAGATTATAAAATAAATGGAGAATTTACATTATAAAGTGAAGGTGGAGATGTAGATGTTTGCGGTTATTATGCAGAGAAGGATTAATTAGATGAATAGGAATTATAAGAATTATCTATAAAAGCATAATCAATGTAATGTGAAGATCAATTGAATACTATTTATAAGTAGTAATTAAGAAATATACAGAAAATGTTAAAAAAATGAAATGGTTAGTTGTAATTTATTAATTGCAATATAGTTTGGATTTATATATGAATAAAAAAATAAAATTTAATAATTAAAAATCTTTTTATGGCTAACATACCATAGTAATAATATTCAACACCCTCAAATTTGCCATCCTATAACCGAGATCAATCTACTTACTAATAACCTACATTAGGATAATAGTAAGTTCCTTAGAGTAATTACTAAGGCTAACCATCTGGGGAAAAAGGATTGCAATACTTACCTTAATAAGTAGTTGGCCAGCCATAAAATGTATAAACACAACCATTATATGGACAACCGCAAATAGGATTGATAGGATAACCTTAATTAGGTTTAGTAGGACCATAACAAACTGGATTAATAGGATAATAATAATAAGTAATTCAGCAACCAATATTTGGACAATCATAAATTTAACAACTACCATCATAAACAGTTGAAACTTAGTAAGGTCAAGTAGTAAAGGGATAATCAAGAATTGAATACATTCCATATGAGAGAACAGTAACTGAGTATGAGGAAGTTAGAAGATAAGTTCAAGTACCAATTACTAAATAAGTCACTGATTATTATGCAGTGCAATATGATATAGAATACATTCCTTAAGTTGTTTAAGAAAAATAGATTGAATATGTTCCAATTGAAAGAGTAGCTGAGAGAACTGAATACTACACCGTTGAGAGATAAAATGTAATATAATAAGTAATTAATAATTTATATTTATCATAGCCTATCGGATATCAATCATCTTAAGTATAAACATCCACTTCCTATGCTCCAATATAAACTTAATAATTTACATAACAATATTAATAATATGTTTAACCTTAATAAACTATTGCATATTAATAGCCAATCTAATATTAATAGACATATTAAACAAAAGAAGTCATTTAATAACCAGTTGTTTAATAATCATATGTTCAATAAAGAGAGATTATTACATAACCATAAGTCTAATAATCGGTAGCATTATAACCAACCATCCCTTAAACCCAATATTTACCATAATAACAATATCAAACTATTTAAACCACTTAGCCATAATTATAAATAGCTTAAGTATTTAAATATCATAATATCTAGACTGTTCCTATGAATTATGCATAATCAATCTAAACTGTTTAAACTTAATAACAAACTCCTGTTAATCCCCCTCCATAAACAGCCACTTCTATTTCTCAAGGATATTCCATTCCTGTTCCTTAGGCTCAAGCACCCTAATATTCTATCTATGGATAGCAATCACTTGGAGCTTAATAAGCTAAACCCTAATAATAGACTCTAACTTAAACTACATAATATAATCCTTAAATGCAATAGACTGTACCACCCTCTTAAGTATATATTATATATTTATCATAGTTTGCTTAATCTGTACCATAATAATAATAACAATAACAATAATAATAATAGTAATCAATTCCTTAGGATTTAGGAAGAACTAGACCATATCAATAAGGTTAATTGCCTTAATAACCATCTTAACCATAATAAATTGGAACAGCTTAGAAATAGAATAAAGAAAAATCATTCTTAGAGAAATTGTTCGATTGATTATTTTTGCATAAAATACATAAATATAATTAAAATATATGAATTATCTTTTTATAATCACCTCTTTCATAATTAATTCAATTTTTGGGGAATTAATATTGCTCACACAAGGAGACCATTATCATGAGATTTTCGATATTAATAAACATGAGTTTTTTACTGATTGTGATGAAAAACACATTTATATCCAAGAACATTAAGTTAATGAGTAAGTATAATTGCTAGAAAAAAACTAAATCGAACAAGTATTTTTATCCTTTATTTTCTAGATTCTATATTATCCAAATGATCAAAATACTATTCTAATCCTAGAAAAAAATGGTAAAATCACTATTCTCTTTAAAGACAATCAATAATTCAATTCTCCATTTAAAGAATTGGGAACATTTGATTTAAACACTAAAAATTTACCTGATTTCACTTGTAGTGATATGACTCAATATTCACTTGATATTTTCATGGCTGTCTGTAAGTCAGATAATAATATTTACATCTCTAAAATTTAATGCTCTGCTGAAGAAAATAAATATTTATCTGGATGTTCCTCATAATTATTTTTAGATACAGATTAACTTAACAATTGTGACAATCTAAATATTATTACTGAGAGTTCTTGGAGAGTAAAAGATCCGGAGTATTTTAGTATTTATTGTTCCTTTTAAGAGGATTATCAAATTCCCAAATAATTATTAATTGCCAAATTTAACAATCAAGCCAATTCTATATAATTTGCTAAACTATTAAGTCCTATCAATGAAATTGAAAAAATCTCATTTTTTGACGATAACACTCTTATGATATTAGATCATCAATCAGCTTTACATGTTTTTAGATTTACATTTACAGATGATGGTGACATCATCTATGAACAATTATTATGGTAGCTCTTTTTACCAAATGAATTATTTTATGCACTTAGTTATTCTCATGAACAATATGCAATTAGATTTCCACCTTTAGGAATTATTGAAAATGACATTCAATATAGTATTGTTATTTTAAGTGATCATTTCATCTATGAACTTGCTTTACCTCAATAATCTAATGATTTCTTCTTTAATACACTTCCAATTAATGATAAAATAAACATTTAAAATATTCTTAATGGTAAATAGATCAAAAAAGGTCAAATTTAATATGATGAATAATTCTATTATGTTTGTTTCACCTATATTTAAAATTCTATTGAATGTTATAGGATAAGTCGACATCAATCCTAAACTGAAAAATTAATACTATAAAACTAATATTAACATCCAATGCTATTAACGTATCCTGTTTCATTTTCAACAATTACAGGATAAACTAATATTCTAATTACTTAATAGATGAATGAAACTAAAGCAGTTTTAACTTTAATCAAAAATGAAATTGAAAGATTAACTATTGTATCCACTTCAAACGAAGAATTCCTTTGCTCAATCGTATATAAAAACATAAAAAAACAAAATTTTACGCTTACGATTTATAACCAAGAATTTGAAAACACAAATGTTTTTTAAATAGACCATTTATAAAATTACAACTTCCCAAATACAGATTCCACAATTCTTTATTCTACCTTAATAAGAGGACCTGCCATTATGTTATAGCCTAAAAGTGATAAAAAAAGTATGATATATTAATATACTAGATTAGATGTTGAAGTAATCAGCCTCTAAGGCTTTGGATATGAAATGTGGGAAGATTTATACTAAAATTTTATTTAGCATTCTCGTATCCCAATAAAATCATTCTTAGACAAAGGATTTAGAACTTTATTTTTATAAATAGATTAAGTGAAAATGATAATATAACAGGAAATAACTAATACCAAATATTTTACGTAGAATATTCATTCTTTAAATTGTTCATCAGTATATCTTGTAGAGAATATTGTAAGTATTTCGCCATATTATATAATATTTTATTAAAAAACTACTTATTACACAGTTTTGAAAATAAAAAAGATAGATGAAAGTATTCTAGATTATGAATGTATAAATGTAGAGTATCCACTCTATGATTAATAGTATGAAGTCTTTATAGATTTAGATTTTATTAATTTATTTTTCTCCACCAACAATGCTATTTATTACACAGATGTTTATTTTAAAAATGTAGTAAAAATAGAAATTGATCGTAAATTTAGATAGTTGAATTTTTAATTTTTAAAAAACGATATTATTATTGGAAGTCATTAAAATAAATTATACTAGATCTAATTATCAAATCCTTATTAAGCAAATCTTATTAAGACTACTATCACAGAGATTGAATTGGGTTAAATGAGTAATAATTTTAAATTTTTTGTTTTGCAATTAAAAAAACCAATTCTTACATTAGTAATTGTAGATGATAGAATAACACTTTATACAATAGATAATCTGTATGATATTAAGTTTGATTCTTTATTACCTTAATTCAATAGTATTATAAATGCTAATGATACTTAAATTAATTATTAAATGTTAATAGTTCCAACTAACAAGTAGAATGAATTATATGTGTATGATTTATCAAAGACTGGATCAGAGAGGCTACATGCAATACACAAATATTAAATTTAATCTTAGCCAATTACAATTTGTTATCCAAAAATGCAGACTTTCCTCTACTGTTTGCAATTTGCAAATGCTGATATAAATTGTTATTTTAATAAAATACTTGAATTTGAATTGATTGCTTCTGATCCAACCAATATTGATAATCAATTTTCAGTTGCAATAAATGCTTAATCTGCATTAAGCTATAGTGTATAAAGTATTAATATTATATATTTATAGAAACCCTTACAATTAATGGAAGTTTTAGATATTAAGATACTATGATAGAGAAGAGTTCAAAGATGTTAGATTAAATTGAAATTTACAAGTCTAATTTTACGACAGAATTGAAAATAATGGATTATTACTCAGGTCCTATTTTTAATTATGAATTGTAAAATGCTTAAGATTTCAATATTGAAATGCTACCATTTATTTAGGAATAAGAAGATAATTTAGTGAGATTTAAAATTGATTAGACAATCTTAGGAACTAGTGTATCAAATGAGTATTTAATCATTTTGGGAGATGAAAATATAGATATTATAAATATTCCTCAAACTTAATGTATTATATATAATGATTATAATAGATCATAAATAAGTCATTTATAGCACTATAGATTATGAAGAGATAAAAAATGTATTTTTTGATTAAGATTAACCAACTGTTAATAATTGCACTAAATCATTTATAAATCCTTTATCAATAGCAGAATTATCAGCTATACATATTATAGCACTCTTTTGTTAATCAATGATGGTTAGAATTGATGTTACTAATTAAATAAATCAACTAAGTTTTACAATATTATCTGATAATCAACCCATTGAAAAATAATTTCTAGAAAATTTCTTTTTTCTTAATATTAATTTTAAAGACTTCTTATACTAAAATTAAAGCTCTTTTATTTTAGAGGATGTGAAGATGATTAATTTTCCAATTCAATTTAAACCAAAATATAAATTCATTACAGTAACTGCTATGGTAAAAGGAAATAAAAGATATGAAGTAGAGGATAGTGAAAGGGATAATTTAATTTGTATATTTTATGGATACTTAGATTAGAATTAAAGTTCTCTTTTAAATGGTTCCCTTTTGGATGTGATTGGAGCATCTAATTTTAATAAAAATACTTTAATAGTCAATAATTTTTAGATGTATTGTATTAAGGGTTGTGAAATTCTAGATGTGAATAATGTATCGATAGAAACTATTATAGAATTAATATTTAATGATTAATATTCATTTAATTTATATAAACTTTAGATAAGTTTTATTTACACAATGAAAAAATAACCATTATATAAATTGATAAATATAGAAATTATCAATATTAAAGAATTAAGTAAGAATTTATTGTATTAGTTAAGTGGGTAATTTTGTCCACAACTAAATCGAATTCACTTATATCGATACTGAAGTTCAATTCCAGAATGAATCAGTCCATACAATTAATGTCACTACAGATTCCCTCAGTTTTGACTTAGTTTAAATATAAGAAAGAATTGAGATTGAATAGATTTTTAAGTAATAATTAAACTAATTTAGATAATACACTTAATGTTAAAGTCCTCCTGGATCATTGAAGGCATCATATAATGAATATTTTGCTATTAGTTGTAGAAATGAATCTAGGAATTATTCTGAATAAACACAGTTTGTTAAATTGTTTTTAAGGGGACAATAAGAATAAAATCAATCAGTGAAATCAGTTATTCAAGCAGCAGAGATTTAAGGGAATCTTAGGTTGTTAGATATTTAAAAAGGTTATTTGAATGAACATGTGCGAATGTTAATTTTAGAATAAGACAATAATTAATAAGATTTTTAATTAAGATGGTTTTATCTTAATGATCAATTTACATTGTTAGTAATTATATATTTAGATATTAAAATAGGCTAATTAGAACAGCACTCCAAAAAATGTACTAAATGTTTAATTATGTCCTAGCAATTTAAATGAAATATAAGGTTTGTGTATGAATATTAAAATTTCAAACATTGGATATGATCATTACATAACAACAGAATGGTTATTATTTGTATTTTTAATTGGTTTGCCATTGATAATTAGTTGTGCTTTTATAATATATTGCATAATTAATTATAAAGCAGAAAAACAAAAGCGAGTGGAATCTTTTAGTATAAACCTTGAACAATAACTCAGAAAATAGTCATCAAACTTATAATCTAAAATGGAAGATACTATCTATTGAATTTATATGTATTTTAAAATTAATTATAAATTTGTGAATATAATAATTATAAAGTAATTGAATTAGTAATAAAATCAAAAATATGGAATTCTTAAAAAGAGTTTAGAATTATAAAAATTTTTTTTTTAATAAATTTATAATTGAATAATATATATTAAATAATCACTGCTTGTCACAAATGAAGTTCTGCAACTTATAACAATCTTTAATGGATGTTTTGGTCAAGTCCACATTAACTGAAAGAAATCTGCCCATCATTGGTTATCCCTAATATGATAAAAATAATGATTACAATATTCAAAAGAAAATCAGTATCTATACTTTCTGGGAAATGTGATCCAATATTTGGATTGATACAACTCCATAAAAATCCTGCATAAACTCCTCCCACAACTTATAAAACAGTGGGTCCAAATCTTCCATTAAATAACATGGAACTATCGACTTCATCCATAATGCTACCAGTCCACCAGCCTCTGTTATTATTCATAATAATCATGGCACCTACTTTATCAACTCCTCTTAATGAAGGATGATTGATAGGGTGAATAACTTCCATTTCAGGATGAGTATTATTGATGTCAGCATTCTTTGGAAGACCTGCTATAAATTTTTTGGCCAAAGGATTGTAATCATAAACATAATACTAGGATGGAGCATATCCAGTTTCACGATCAGCCAAATAGTCTTAGATACTATAAGCTTCACCATGAGGTATTAAAACTCCAGTAATATCTTAATTAGGAAGCCAACTTTTAGCAAATGTCTATACTGAAGGTTTAGTGGATACAATAGTCTTTCCATTTCTAATAGTAAACATAGATTGTATTTCAGGATCTTCATGACTACCTCTAGCAACTTAGATTGGTACAAGTCCTTCAGTCAGAAATCCTCTACAAGACCATGTATTATAGAATTTAGTATTACTATCTTTTGGGATATCCTTCATCATTTGATTATCATATTCTGAACAATGTATTGTATGAACACCCAACACCTGGGCTAGTTTAGAATGATTTCTAGCTTCCAAATATTTTTTCAACAATTATTTGTTCACATCTTTTACCTTTTCTTTATGTTTTAAGTAATATTTAGCACAATCTTCCAATCCTCTTTTTACACAATGTGAAATAACTCCAGGATTAAATCCCATTTCTAAAATGCTTGTAGCTCCATATCTTGGATTCCAATACTTAGATGACTTAGCCTTATCCCTAATGTATCCTAATGTTAACTTATATGCTTCATCCTTATCTTTAGGACAAGAATTAGCATCTTCACTATCTTCCCATTATTCTAAGGCTGTATTCATATATCTGATCTTTTTCTCTACACATAATGGCCAAATGGATAAGAATTCAATGTTTGTTGACAAATCCACTAAAATATCTCCGCTTTCCAATCTATTAATTTAATGAATTCATTACCCCATTCTTGAAAGTGTGTCATCTATATTTTCTTTGGTTCTTTCTTCTATTATGCATTCAAAACGTTTCTCATTTCTTTTAAAAGCATCATATTTATCAAGAGCAACTATTTAAGCATCTAAGAATAAAGAACACTTCTATACTTGGATGGTTTTTTAAAAGAACTTCTACAAATGCACTTCCAATAGCACCATAGCCTAAAACACCGATCTTTCTTGGTAAAGGATAAGAACTAAATCTCTAGATGCACTTCAAGGATAAGGACATAAAATTCGACTCTTTGTTGATTTAAAAAAGTGTTTGAATTTTTATTGAATAAAATATATAATTTATCTAGACATTTTCAAAAAGATTTAAATACCCTCAAAACAAATTATCAAAAAATTATGTTGCGTATTATTGATAATCTGCTGATTAAACATATTATATATTTTGTATTTAAATAATAAATTAATTAAACAGAATGTTTAAGTATTCACTATTTGTTTAAGTATTCACTATTTTATATACTTAAATCTATTCTCATTTCAATTATATAAGCAGAAATTCAAAATTTCAATATCTCAATATTTTAGAATATGATAATTCATTCCTACTTCTAGATTTAATATATTTTCTAGAAACTTAGTTGTTTCCCTAAGGACTACAAAAACCAAAGAAATTGTTTTTAAAGACATTTCTAGAACATTTCCAATAAATTATGAATAGAATCACCTTAAAATTTATATCATATATTATATAGAACCTATAAAGGATGATTAAATTCTTAAATTTCAAACCATCTTTGTATTTCCATTGAAAACACAATAAGACAAATAGATGGACTATAAAGATGTTCCACTAAAAATATCCCAACTATAGAAATATTGTCAAAATACATTGAAAATTAAGAAGCTCTTTAATCTTTTTTATTAAGAAGTAATTAATACTTATTTTTAAAGTATTTTTACCATTCATAAAATAAAAATAATCATTCTTAAAATACATCAGATAAACATCATTTCTATTAGTAAAATAGAATGTAGGCATTCTTATCATTAATTACATCACTGTTTGATAATTCTTTTGTTGATTCATCATTAAATTCAATCCATTTCATTTATCTTTTCCCATAGGATATATAGTGACCATTGTCCAATCCTCCAAAATGTTAAACCACTCCATATAATTAATAGTGAATTTAATTAATCTCTAAGTTTTCAGGGTATGTCACTAAAATATTGTTTTTTTAGAATCCCTTAAGTTCATCATACTAAAATCTTTTGAGTTGAATTATCAATTAATCTGGAAGTTTTTATAGACTCATTGTTTTAATAGCGAAAGTTAAATCATTGCATTTTGTACAGTGATAAGCATTTTCATCCAATAAAGGTTCTTTAGATTAGAAATTGTTAATTAAATCTAAAAGGTTTAATGCTAAAAAAATTTATAAATTTTTTACATTTATCTTGTTTATGATAATTTGTTTTTGGTTCAAATTCTATTCTTAAAGATTTTGGAATTGCATTTTCCATAAATTCTATAGATAGTGAAGTATGGGAATTTTAATAGTTCACTTTTTACAAATATTCGGATAAAGATATTGAATTATTAAAAGGTAATTAACATTAATGAGGTTTTTAATCTTTCTTAAATTATTTACCACATGTAAATGGACATGGTATTTTAGAAGGTAATCTAATTTGAATAATTACTTAATAATTCAAGATTTCATTAAGTTATTATGAATTTAATAAGTTTTCCTATTATGGTTCATCTATTTAAATATTCATTAATTAATCTGATTTGGAATGTTCTCCAAGTTTATTCCAGATTTATTGATAAATCTAAACTGCATTAAATTGTTTCTTCACTATCAAAATCTTAGGAATAGCTGCACAAATATATTCACATTAGTAAGAGAAGGCATTTTTTTTTTCAAATGAATATATCATGACATCAAAATATTGATCTTCATCAGTTATTGAATAAATGCTTTAATCTAATTAAAATAAACAAAAATAGCTATTTTAATTATCATTAAGAATTTTTGATAAATGATCTTCATCATAAAATAAATACATATCTATTGTGTTATTTGAACACATTGCCCCTAATAAATATGTTGCTTCAATTCCCAATTTTTCACCAATGTCTCTTTTAACCTCTAATAATAATGTTTAATTAGGTTAATATTCATAAACAACTTTTTAATATGGTTTATACCAATCATTTGATATAACAAATACATCTACTAAATGTTTAGATTATGTTGGAGCATTTAATGAAAGTGGTAAAATTAAAAATTATTCATAACTTTATGTTTTTTATTCACAGATTGGACACTCAATTTCTGATCTAGTTATTCCTAAATAATTTTTAATAATGATAGAGCTATTTAATTTATGGATCTATTCCAAAGCCTATTCATAATTATTATTATTAATCTAATAAATATTAAAAATTATAATATACATTTTATTACACTTTCTTATGAAACTATATTTGCTACTATTATTATTATTATTTTTATTAAGTTTCTGATTTTTCCTATTCTTCACTGCTTTCATCTTCACTATCACTATTAACTTATTCTGTTTCTGTCTTATCAATATCAGTTAAAATTATTTATTGCTATTCTGATTAAATTTTCTATTGATCCTCTTTTTAAATCAACTCTTCATTTAATGCATCTAAAAGATATAGTATAAATTCTGCAGCATCTTATTAAAAATTATTCCCAAACTAATTAATCAAATGAATTATTTACAAAAGGAAATTTTCTAGCCAATTATTATCTAAAACTATATGGAGAAAATGCTTAATTTTAAGTCATAAGATTTTTAAAGAGTTTTTCTAATTTATAATTTAATTAAACATTTCTTTTAATAGTATTTTAGGTCCAATATAATTTATTTGAAAGAAATTCCTAAAAATGAGTAGAACTAAATAAACTTTACAAAGATGAATTCATATAACAAGTATTACCTAAATTAACTAATCCTACTCCTTATCCAGTAATAATAGTTTCATAAGTTATTGCATCAAAATCATCATCATCTTATGAATCATAAGCTTTTTAACATATTTTAGAATGAAATTCTTAATCTTTATATCTGCAAGTATCACTACAATAAAATACTTTTTTGCAACCACATGAATAATTTAACAAAGCTTTTGATCCACAAGTAAAACAACATCCATTTTAATTTAGTTCAAATTTAACATTCAATTCTGATAATTCAATATTATTTGAAAAAACCACTAATACATAATGGTTTTTAATAAATTGTGATAATTAAAATTTTTGAAATTCTGCTTCTAATAATTATTCACCTAATAAAATATTTTTCTGTTAATGTATAGTTTTAATTAATTGTAATTTAATCTAATTATGTTCATAAATTGGATTCATTAACCAAATTTAAATATTTTCATTCTCCATAACTTATTAACAATAGGTTTCCAAATCTCCAAATTTCCAATCACTAAATAATTATACTTTTCTCATTCTCAATAAATCAAGAGAATTGACTAATTAATTTTAATTAAGTTCACAAATTTGATTAATCTTCTCTTGAGTCATAAATATTACATGAGGCTTTAATATCAACTAAAAATTACACTTATTATCTTTAAATTAAAGTCTTCTTCCTCATTTGCTATTCTCCTTACAGCTTTTCCTTTGTATTTTTCTTCAAAGAAATCCCAAACTTCTTATGTTACAAGAATGTAATCTTTTATAGGTTAAACATCATTAATAGGAGGATCAAAATAATAGTATAATTCTGGTGCTGAATGAAATTATTCTTCATTTGCTATTATATCTTTATTAATCTCTCCAATTTATTGTCTTCCATATTTCTTTCCTCCTGGTTATTCACCTTTCAACACTGCATCATACCCAACATGCATTTTCCATATATCTAACCATGTTTTTGATAATAAATAAGCCATCTTTATTTATTTCTTTAAGAAAAGATCTTTTGAAAATTTTAATATATTAATGCCTTCCAAAGCTTTTTTTATTATTAAATCTTGATACCTTCCAAATTCAGTTTTTACTTAAGATCTTCCCCTAAAGGTGGTAATGGTTGTTGATTGCGCTTATTTTATCTACCTTTTTTCTTGTGATTTTTACCCATAATAGAAAAAAATTAATTTATTTATGATATTTTAACTAATTAAAAACAATACTATTTTATAAACTAATTAAATTTTATTATATTTGTATAATTTTCTAAAATTAATAAAAAAAAATATATTAATTAATATTAGACTTATTCACAAAATAATCAATCTTTATATTTATGAATATTTTTTAAATTTAAATATACTTGATTATCTGAATTTAAATTTATTATTAATATCAGACTAAGCAAATTCTTTAACTAGAATAAACTTAATTTAAATATATTATGGAATTTTAGGTTCTTCAATTTTCTCATTATTTTAGTAATTTATTCTTGCCTAATTCTAACAAGTTCTTCTTAGTAATTGATTTTTTAATATTCTATAAGATATTTGTTTTCTAATCTTTAATACATTGGTTTTTGTATCAAATTTTGCAAATGCTTATTTCCAATACAAGTGCTAGATTTACTTAGATCCAATTGAATTTCATAGTTTCAATTTTATATATCATAAGTAAAATTGCTAATTTATTTTCTAATTTAATGGACATATAAAGTTTTGAATTTAAAAAGTCACTATATTCAACAGCAGAAGAATTAATAAATCTAAATTGAAGCCTAGTAATTGCATTAGATTCTTTTTTGTTATCCTAATCATTTTCAGCTAATTCTTCTTTTTATTATTATTATTTTTTTCTTCTTTTAAGTTTTCATTTTCTTCTTTTATTTAATTAATATTTTTTATAATATAATTTATGTATTAGCTTAACTTCCTTAATTATTATCTAATTCTATAGTAAGATAGTTCATCTATAACATGAATTGAACATATATTTATAAAAAACTTAAATTTAATAAACATTTTTCATACTTTTTATTCATGATTTCTATTTAATTTATTCCAAATAGTTGTCTTTACAAAAAAATAGGTTCAGAATTAATCATTTTCATACATTTTGGTAATTCTGTTTTTTATTTTTTATTATTTTAGATATTAATCATATTCTTCTCTATTATTTGGATCTGAAATTTCTTTTATATAATCACCTATCAATTCAGCAAATTCATGTTTTTTATTTCTTTTTCTGTTTTTGAATTCCAAATTTAATTTTAAGAAGTATATCTCGTGTAATTTTAAGATTTTCAGGATTTGTACCATGTTTATTAGAAACTTACATTGGTTATATAATTATTAATACCCAATTATATAAACACTTCTTACTTTTATTTATTATAAATTTATATCCATATTTATGTTATCAAGTATAAAACTTAAAAAGAATGCAAAAAACAATATACTTGTAAATAAATACAAAATTAGATATTATTATTATTTTATATTTATTTAATGAGTTATCTATATTTTGGTACATTGCCTTCTTCAGTACCTCCTGTGTTTGGTATTTGATATTTATAATGTAGATACAACTCCATGTTTAAAGTAGATGCATGATTATGAAGACTGTGCTTTTGAGTAAATCAAATATTAATCATTCAAATAGATCAAATACTAAACAAATGGAAATCATTCATCCAAGTTGGCCATCAATGTGGCCTAGAATGTTAACTGATGGAAAATCAATTGTAAATACTAAATATATAATCATTAGGACTTTGGCCATACTCCTATGCATCAAGATAGTTCTACTCATTATACATAGTTTTTATTTATTTAATAATACTAGTATGCGTCCATTAACTAAAAAAATCAAGCATTATTTATGGGAATGTGAAGAAGAAAGGTTTGTCTATAAGGCTTGCTTGAGAAAATTAATTAGCCTTAAAAGAACTGATAAACACACTAGTTGGGATACAGCATCTGTTAGTAACTTAAGTTTAGTGTGATTAAAACAAATAAATATAACAAAAATAAAATTATTCTAATATTTTACAATAATTATTTCACTTAAGACATATATCCAAATCTAATTTTATTAAAAATTATATATTATATCAATAATAATATCTTCAAAATTATTGCTTTTGTTTCAAAAAATCAGCATATAAATCAAAGATATCTTATTATGAGAATACTTAATATATGTTAAAATAGGATATAAATTTTAATTTTTTAAACTGTCTCAACTTATAACTCTAACTCTACTGGAATTCCTTTGATAAATTTTTATCTTAGGAAATTAAAAATAGAAGAGGAGTACTTATTGAAAGGATATATTATTTTTATTTAATATATAATAAATAATTTAATATTTAAATAATATTAGAATTTGAATTCTTACAGCTATATCTAAAAAATAATATATTTTTATAATAAATAGAAAAATATTTATTTTAAATATCCTAAATTTAAAGAAAATCAAATAAAATATAAAAGTCCCTCTGAAAATGATAATTAAATTATACAAATTGAATGAACATAAATTTAGAAAAATACTTCAAAGTTATTCAGAAATCCTTCATTTTATTAAATAAGCCAAACTTCATAATTGATCATTTAAGTCGAATCATTAAAGAAAATAATTAACCTTTAAACTTATATTTTATTTTTTTCTCTAGTCTTATTTGATAATTATTCAAATATAAATTATTTTTAGATAAGAAAATGAAAAATCTATATAGAGTTGAAAAACGAAAGCTCAAATTATTATATGAAAATCTACTTTAAAAAATATTATCAACAATATTGAAAAATGATTAGAATTTAATATTATGTCTCAACGCCTTATAAAATTTCAAAATTAATCCTATAAAGAGTTAATGATTAACATTCTTCTAATAATTACAAAAATTTATAAGAAAGATTATTTAAATTAAAATAAAAAAGTGATAAAATTTTAAGCTCCTATTTTTAAAATAGAAATACTAAGTAAAATGAAAAATGATATAGAATTTTTATTACTTAATATCTAAAAGGTTTTATTACTTATAATAATAATTAGCGAATTTTTTAGATTAATGAAAGATTAAATGCCTCTTAAATGATAGAAATGTAAACTAAAATTAAAATATTGGAATAAATTGAAAAAAGAATAGATTTTAATATTAGATGAATAAAAAGTATTCTATTTATTCATTTCTTATGTTCGATAAAATTATTAATAATATTTTCAATCTGATAATATTTGTTCTTATATTTTAATAAATATGAACAAATAACAAGGATTTAAAATAATCCTAATTCCCCTTAAAGATATGAAAATATTTAATAAATTCAACCACAAATAATCATTTAGAATATAGAATTTGAAGATCGAAGAAAGAATAAAAGTGATGTACAAAATCGAATGAAATTAATTATCTATGTTTCTCATTAAAAAGAATAATACATATTATTAAAATTAATTATGGTATTTAACAATTTTAAGATAAATCTTTATTATCAAATAAATTAAATTGATGTAGTCAGATATTGTCTTTAGAACAGCAAAAGCATGGGATTCTTTTAGTGATAAATATGCTAGAAGAATGTAAAAAAATACATCTGTATTTTATATGACCCTATTAAATATGTTACATTATGAAGAGGCAGAAAAGTATAATAAAAAATAAAATATAAGTATTTTGGATGCAGGTTGTGGAGCTGGATATTTACATTAGCATATGATGAATTAAAAGAAACCTAACTCTCACCTATATGGATTTGATATAAGTTCTTAAATGGTTAAAAGAGCAGGAGCAAGAATGAAAAAATCATTAAATAAAGATAAAATTGGATCTCTAGATCTATTAACTCAAGAGGAAGTGGATTCTGTCAATTTTGGTATATAAATAATTTTATTAATTTAGATGATGAGGTTTTCAAGAAGATAAATTATCATTTATCTGTTGGAAATGTAGAAGAATTAAATTAATACTAAAATGAAATGTTTGATATTTATGTGTGTAATCTTGTCTATTAAATAATTGATGATCAAAAGAAAGCTATGAGTGAAGCATTCAGAGTCTTAAAACCAGGAGGGAAATTTGGAATTACAGTTTGGGGTAGGAAAGAAAAATGTGCAGCTGTATGGTTTTTGAAAGAATTAGCTTTTGAAACAGGTTTATCACCAGTTGGAATGAAAGGAGGAAGATTTTTATCAAATCCTGAAGAGCTAATCACTTTAGCTACTAATACAGGATTCAAAAATATCGGTATTTTATTTATTCTAAAAATAGTTTTTTGGTTATAAATGGTACCATTTGATGTTATAAGCATGAAAAATATTGAAGAGTTCTTCCCTCCAGAAATTGAGGGAATTTTAGCTAAGTCTACATAGGAATAAAGACATATTTATTATCAAGCTCTGGAAAAAATGTTAAATGATTATAAGAGAGAAAATAAGACATTTCCATTTGAATGTTATTTATTGATTGCAGAAAAACCAAAATGATTATTTAATAAAAATTTTTAATCAATCATAATTATCATTTTTTATAAAATATTTTGAATCACCTTATTGTTTCATTTCTGTAAATTTCTTTTAAACCATTAATATTTTTCAAAAAGGCATTATTTCTAATAATTTTATTAACAAATTTTTAATAAAAAGTATTCTATTTATTCATTTCTTATGTTCGATAAAATTATTAATAATATTTTCTATCTGATAATATTTGTTCTAATACTTTAATTAATATGAACGAATAACAAGGATAATTAAATTAAAATAATCCAAATTCACCTTAAAGAAATGAAAATAATTAATAAATTCAACCATAAATAATCATTTAGAATATAGAATTTGAAGATCGAAGAAAAGAAATTCAAGCAAATAATACTTAAATAGATATAAGTGGATTACAGTATATATTTTTATTCATAAAATAAGGGAAGAAATTCCACTAATTTAACATAAAATAAACCAAAATCAAAGAACCAATAATAACTTTGGTTAGAGTTAAAATACTAAAAGTCAAACAGATTTTAGAAGAAGTATTTATTTAATACCTGATGAAACTATGATTGATTAAGGATACTCATTTTTTGTAAAGGTAATAAAAGTTACTATTTATCAGATTCATGAAAAATAAAAGAATTAAAAATAATGTTGTAAAATATGTTGCCTTTCAACTGGTTCTCATACTTTTTGTTGTAATTCAGAAAAAACATAAGAAGACTTTATTCAGTTTGGAGTTGGTATAAATCTATATTTTCGGTTTTTAAAAAAGATTGGGATTTACTTTATAATCTTTACCTTATTGTCAATTCCACAATTGTTTTTTAGCCTATAATGTATATTTAATAGATTATATTAGCTAATGTTGTAAGCTATTCTGGAAATACTTTTAATAGATTTTTGATTTTTTTAATGGCAACTACTATTGGTTCTACAAGTTTAAAAAATAAAGATTGTTAAATATAATATTTTAATACAGTTTAGGCAGAATTTAGTTTGAAATGTGATTCAGGGAATCTAGCTGGGTCTTCATTTTCTTTTGGCATTATTAATTCAAATGAATAGGATTGCATATTTTTAAGTAAATCTGAATTAAATTTAAACACAACAAATTCATAAAGTTTGAATTAATTAAGAAAATAAATTGATTCTTAAGAAGAATTTTCATTTACATTGTCATAATTGGATTTTATCAATGAAAATCCATAAGGCAAGAGGATTTATGTTGGAGCATCATGTAAAGAAGCTATAATAAATATTGGTTCTGTTGAAATTTAATAAAAAATAATACCATTTATTTTTGCATCTTGTGATGCAGTAATTGTTATTTTATATATTTTTTTTTTACTTACTTTAACTGTAAGTGAATAAAAATATAAAAAAATTTCATAAAAAGAAACTCCAACATTATAGCATTTTTCAATTCAGATATCGAGTCTACCTAAAAGTTAAAAATTAATTAAAGCTTTATAAAATTAAGAAAATTAACAATATAAATAATTATTGCTTTATGAAGTGAAAAAATTCATTGATGATTAATTGAAGTCTGTTTTAAAAGATTAAGATTTGAAGATTTATGATATTCAAGTTTCAGAGAAAGAAAAAATCTTATAATTGTAATAAGAATTATAAAATAAAAAACTTAAGATTTAGGAGTAATTAAAAGAAATTAAAAAAAATAGATTAGAATAATATCAAGAAGCTCAAAAGCATCTTGAAGAATCAATAATAACAAAAGAATCTTATAATAAACTATTTTAAATTTTGAAATAATTATGTTAAAATCCAAATTCTGAAAAATAATTGATTGAAATTGATCAAAATATTCAAAAATACTGGAATGATATTGATGAATTATCTAACAAAATTGATCAAGTATAATAAGAAGGTGATTCTAAATATATCTGGATCACTTTTGATACAATGAAATAAAAATAAAAAGTTTAAGAGAAATTATAAAGTTTACCTAAGGATTGGTTGTATTATTATTGTTGTTTTTGTTGTTTTGATGAAAATCAAAAAAAAGATAAATTGTATTCTTTTTTAATTATTTAGTTTACTTAAAAAGTTTAAACTTTAAATTAAGGATGCACCAATTCCTGAAAATATAAATTGGAATAATCTTCATTATTCTAGGAAATCAAGAATTTGTAGATAACTTTTGAGTTTATTTCTAACTTTAATCTTTTTAGGAGGTTCATGGGTTTTGATAAGTTGGGTGAATCTTTAAAAGACAGATTTTCAATAATAATATCCATCTATAAATTGCAACAATAAAATATATAACTCAATTACTATAGAATAAGTTTAACAAGAAATAGACGGTAAAACAACTATAAAAGGATATGTTGAATGTTACTGTAAACCAAAAGTTGCTGAATTTCTATAAGAATCTCCAGAAATTTGCTCAAATTGGAAGGATAAGTATTTAAAATAATAAACATTATCAGGGGTTATCGTAGGAGGATTAATAGGAATAAATGTTATAATATAATATTTATTTATTTGTAAAAATAAGCTAAATTTTAGTTTTATCTAAATGGGAGAAGCATTTGATGATTTCTGAAGAATATTCAAGCAGAATTCTAAAAATATTTTTAGGTCAATTTTTAAACACTGGATTGATTCTTCTTCTTACTAATATAGATTATGGTAATTACACAAGAAATGATATTCCTGAGACTATTAAATTTCTTTTTGGAGGACAATATGGAGATATTGATTCTAAATGGTGTCAAAATATCGGAATCATTTTGGTATATAATAAATTCTATCCAATAGTTATTAACCTTATTGATTAATATTGCGACATAACCAGTCATGCTATTAGTGGAATTAATAGTAAGATATATAAGAAAAGCCTGTGATTAATGCTCATTATGTTTAAATGAAAAAAAAACTAGAGCAAAAACTTATTAAGAATTCAAAGAGTTATATAAGGGAGAATAATTTAGAGTTGAATTAAGATATGCTTAAATTTTGACAGCCCTATATATTTGTTTTATGTATAGCCCTGCTTTACCATTCTTATTTTTAATTACACTGCTAACTATTTGGTTCCTCTATATTGTAGATAAAATTGCTAGTAATTGTTTTTACTTTTATTAGTTTTCAAAACTTATAGCAAACCAATTATGATAGATTCAGTGGTTAGTGATTCTGTTAGAAAATATTTATGGATTGCACTTATTATTCATATAGGTTTTGCAACTTATATTTATGGAAGTTCTAATTTATTTTATGAAACTATTGAAGCAAAATTAGTGATTGAATAATTATAAGATGTTTATGGAAATTAAAATATAGTAGTAGAATGGTTGGAAAGAGCTTTGAGTTAAATTCCAAATATCGTTTTATTTGCAATACTTATTTTGGTTTTATTGATAATGTTTTTATTCTTCTTTTGTTATAAGCCAATAGTTGGATGTTTTTAAAAATTTTGTGCTTGTTGCAAAGTAAAGATTTTTAAAAATAGTTCTTCTGGGTTGGATTAATAAGAATAAAGGCCATTTTTAAAATGTAAGATTATTATATCTATTTGAGTTTTAAAAAGGGAATAATTAATAGACGATCAAAAATTTACTTAATTTTAAATGATGTTAGCTCCTTCTATTTATGAAGAAAAATATCTCAAATTATAAGCAGAATTATTAATTCCTTTTGGAACCAATAATAATGATGCTCCAATTGTAAATTAAGATATTAGGATTGAATAATTACCTTTAGCAAGGAGTCAAGTTAATTAGTCAGATATAAATTAAAGATCTTAAGTTTAATAAAATAATCCTGGAAGTTAAGTTCCTTTAGCTTAAAGTCAAATTAATTAAATAAATATAGAATAAAACTAAACTACAAATAATTAGTAGAAATTAATTGGTTTAAGATCCTATCACAAAGCAGTATCATTTTTTGTTTATTTTAGTATAATAAATAATATCGAAAATATTATGAGTGGGAGAAAATGAAAGCAATAAATATTTTAGAATGAAAAAAATTTGATTTATTATAAGTAAATATACATTATCAATAAATTGACTTCTAATTTTGAAAGTATATTTATATTTTATTTTGCTAAGAAGTAATTTAACTTCAAATTTTTATTTAAACTAAATCTTAAAATTTCTATTAATTAAATCATTTATAATCTTAATTAGTTTATTAAAAGAACTTTGTCTTTATTTAAAAATAATTTTCCAAAAAATAACAAAACAATATATTCGTTCAATATGACTTATAAAATATTTATTTAAAGGAAGAATTTTCAGAAAAATCTTTTTTATAACTAAAATAAAAACCATGCGAATTAAATTTATTAATCAATTTATTTAATTTTAATGCAAAATTTAAAAGTATATTGCTATATATCAACATTTTAAGTTGCTTAGTTCAAAAACAGTTTATTTGAGAAATACATTATAAATATCAGAAGAACCCTAAAAGGAAAATTAAAATTTACCTCTAATAATTACAAATTCAATAGAAATTTATCATTTATTAACCATAAAATCTCTAAGGATATTTTAATTTCAGATTTGAATCTAAATATAATTATAATTTTTAATGTGTCCTTAGTTTGTATTTGTTTTATACTAATTGGTTTTTTAACTAAGAAATATTCCATAACATTTTTAATAATATATTCAGGCTATCCTTTAATAGTTAAGCATGATTCTGAATTAGACTAATTTTTTGGATTTGGTAATTAGCTAACAACTTTTCCTGTTAAAAAAGAGATCAATTCTAATCCTTTCATTTATCTAATGTAAGAGGGATTTTCAAGTAGATTACTTTTTAAAATGGTTGTAGAAACTGTTAATTAATGATGAGAAAATTCTTATGGTTGAGTAGGAAATTCATCCTATAAAAACCATTATTATTCTTCTTTGGATATATCAGTTTAAAACCATGAATGTTAAATAATATTGTCAATAGTAATTCTTTTATTTGGATGTGTTACTAACAATTTTGATAGTAAATCTTTTAATTCTGTAGAAAAGTATTTAGGAAATGGAAAATATTATGCTGTTATTATGTTATCTAAAAGAATAGCAACATTATCATCTTCAAATGGTAAATCTAATTAAATAATATAAATTTACATCCAGCACAAGAAAAATAGAGAATCACTCCAAGTGACCAGATATCTGCCTTGTGTCCATCATAACCTGATGATTAAATAACTTCTGGGGCTAAATAATGAACAGTGCCACATGTTGTATACAATTCATTATTAAGATTGCTTGGATCTTAGAAAAGAGAACTAAGACCAAAATCATTGACTTTTATTTAATCTGTTTGATTGCAAATGAGAATATTCTCTGGTTTAAGATCTCTATGAGCTATTGATTTGGATTAACAGTAGCGTATTGCTCTTATGATTTACCTAAAATATTTTCGCATTTATGGTTCTTGTATGTATTTATTATTTCTAATCACATCAAACAATTCTCCACCTTTTATCCATTCCAACACCAGGTATATTTTCGTTTTGCTTGCTAGTACCTAATTTTGTTACATAAATGTACTTCTATTAATTTTACAATGTTAGGATGATTAATGATCATTAATATATGAATTTCCTTTTTAAGGCTTTCAATTAATTCTTCTCTCTTAATTTTTTCTTTATCAATAATCTTGATAGCAAATTCTTATTTTGTTATGACATTAATGGCACTTCTAACTCTTTCAAACATTATATAACAAGAATATTACATTCCAAATGCTCCTTGACCTAGGATGGCTCCAAGTTCATAATCACCTACTCTTTTGGTCATTTTTATATATTTATATAAAATAATATCTCTTTGAATAATATTCATATAAAATCTCAACATTTAATATTAAATAAAGTTAGTTTTATTATCATTAAAGCTAAAATATTAAAATTTATATATTCAATTGTAAAAACCTTAAAATTATTAAACTGTATTAATTTTTAACTTTTGAGCATAAAATAATTTAGAGATCATTATTTGTTTATAAACGATTCAATTTTTCTTTCTAAATATTGTTCTTAAATATATAAGGAGTAATCATAAATTTATTATAAAATTAATTTATATTGTTAAAAAATAATAAAATTATGAAAAATGAATCCACAACTTAAGTATTTATTTATTTTATTTGCATAATTTGTAATTTATTTGTTTTCTTTACAAAAAGAAATAATAGAAAATAAATAATGTTTATAAATGAAATACCTTTAATGAAATAGCCCTGAACGTAATTTTATAAAATTAATATATGGATGAATGAATTCAAAATTACTTTAATAATATTTTTAATTATTTTCATGATAAAAGAGAAATATTTGATTATATTTTGGAATAAGAAGCTTAAAGAAATAAAAAGTATATTTTTATGCTTCTTTTGAAGGATTAAGTGTTAATATAATTAATAAAATTAGTAATATGTAATTGATTTGATCGATCAGAGTTGTTTAAATTGTAATAAAATTGTTATGTATTATTAAACTTTGCAAACTGTCACTTGTTATAAATATTAATTCGAATGATGAATAATACTACCGAATACCCTTCTCAAATAACTGAGACAATTTAAGGAATCACTTTTTCGAGTGCATTTGATTCTGGTAATCTGAAGAGTGTTCGTAAAGAGAATAGTGGAAGAGTATGTAAATTTTAACATTATTAAGTACATTCTAAACATATCAAGTGATTGGGGAATAAATGGTAAAACAACAAATTATAGAACATGGTTTTATTTTTCAGTGTCTGGAGTAAATGAAGGTGAACTTACATTAGTGATTGCCAATCTCTAAAACTAAGTATATAAATAATATAATGAATATAGATGGGACTTTTCAAAGATGGCATGTAGCCAGTTTTTAGAAATTGTCATTCATCTTAATGGGAGAGATTGAAATAGCCATGCCAATATCGTTTAGTCCCAGAGGGTCATTTTGAAATAACTTTCAAGCATTATTTTGTTAATGATTCAACAGTTTATTTTGCTTTTTTTTATCCATGGAGTTGTGAAGACAATGATGTATAAAAAATAAATAGTTATAGAATTTTCTATAACTATGCTAGGCAATGTCTCTTTAAGTACCTGAAATATATTATGATAATTCAGTACTGGCTTACTCAAAAGAGGGTAGGCCAATAAATTTAATAACAATAACTAATGGATCATCTTAAATTAAGGAGGAACCAATATCTGGTTTATTCCCTTAAAGTAGACCCTAACATTTCAAGAAACCACACATTTTTATTTCTGCTAGAGTACATCCAGGTGAAGTACCAGGGTCTTTTGTTAATAATGGATTGATGAAATATTTGCTTAATGCTTATGATCCTGCAGCATAGGTAGCTAGAGAAAAATTTGTTTGGAGTATTGTTCCAATTATAAATCCTGATGGAGTTTATAGAGGTCATTATAGAACTGATTCTTTATGTTAAAATCTAAATAGATATTACTTGTCTCCATCAAAGGAAGACCATCCAACAATTTATGCTATTAAAGAATATATTTTGAGACTATAAAATACTGATAGATTTTATGGATATATTGATTTACATGCTCATGCTGGTCATAAAGGAGTTTTCATTTATGGTAATTAATTGCCTTCCTTAAGTTAACATACATCTAATTGCATAATACCTAGATTAATTAGTTTGTATTCAGAAATCTTTGATTATGATGCGTGTAACTTTACTGAAAAAAATATGTATGCTGCTGATAAAGGAGATGGATTAAGTAAGGAAGGTTCGGGAAGAGTAGCATTTTATAAGATTTGTGGTATAGTTCATAGTTATACTCTTGAATGTAATTATAACACAGGAAGAATTACCAATATAATGTATGAAGAAAGTTCTAGTATTTATTTTTATTTATATTAGATAATTCTTATACTGATGAATAATTAGATGAAAACATAGTTCTGGGATCTGTATATACCTCTAATCCAAAATCATATTTCTTTTCAATTTAAGATTATGAATAAGTTGGAGTTGGTATTGTCAATGCTTTTTTAGACTTTAATCTTATTAATCCAATGAGTAGATTGTCAGCTTCTCCTTTTAAAACTTTAGCTAATTTGAGAACATTCTTAGCATATAATATCATGAGAACTATGCATTATAGATTTGAACCTTATTTAAGAAAGGTTCTTAAGTAAATTATTCATTTATTTTTTCAGGTTTATCAATAACAAAGAGTAATTGAATAGGGTATTGAAAGCTTTTTATGAATATATTTGCATTGGATAAATAAAAGATAATTTAGAAGCTAATTAAGATGTTCTAGTACAAAAACCATAAACAAGATATTAAAAAGCTCAAGAAATTAAGAAAGATAAAAGATTTTAAATTTAATAATAATAATAATAATAATAATAATAATAATAATAATAATAATAATAATAATAATAATAATAATAATAATAATAATAATAGAAATAATAATAATAATAATTTAGGAAATCTTAATATGAATAAGTTCCTGTAAAATAATATCCATTCTCTGAAGTAGATTTAGATTCTAGATAAATGAGAACTTAAAGTTAAGGGAAAACGAGAGCTAGATCTGAAACAAAATAATAATAAATCTAACAGTAGTAATAATAAAAAGTATAAAGAGCATTTAAAATAAAAAGAAATGTGAAAATATGACAAAAAATTAGTAATTTAATCAACTTTATGCATATTTTTTAAATTGTTTCTTATTTCTAAAGCACTAATTAAAACAATTATTTAGTGATGGTTCTATTTTAGATTCTTCAGATTATGAATCTTGTATGTTTTCCTTAATTTAATGAATAAGTGATTTATACTTAAGGATCTAATAAGCTAGACTTAATGCTTATCTTTTATCCAGTAATTCTTTCATAAGTAGTGATTCCATAATACAGATTCTTTGTCTAGTATAAACATAGTAAACTATAATACATAGGTTTGATGTCTTACAAAATTGGAGTAATGAAAATCAAAATGTTTAAAATAGGATATAGCATAATTAGATAGTGATATAAAGATAAGCTTTCAGATTGAAAAAAGTCTATAATGAATAAATAATTTACAGAAAACGATGATACCAGCTGAATAAATTTAGATTATCATTAGAGAAATAAGGTAAATATAAAAGTAGAGTAAATTTCTAGATAGAATGAAGTATAATATACTTGGCTCCAACGCAATTGTTAATCCATGGACAGTGATGATCATAAACAATGACACATTTTTAACAAAATTCGCAATGTTTAGATCTTTATGGTTTAATAACCCAGCAATCTGGACAGATATTAATTGGATCAATCTATTACTCCATAGCCTCTTTAACAGAAAGATGTAAAGTAATGACTCCTGGATCACAACATTATGCCAAAATGGAAGCCATTAATAGGATAGTCAGAAAAACCATAAAAATATATAGCAATATTCCCTACATCTCCCATAAGATGTAGCCAATACAGCCTTGTGATGTAAAAATTACAAAATAGTAAATAAAAATGGATTTTCTGTTTCTTTAAATAGGATGATATGGCTATTTTAAATTATAGAATAATGCCAAGTCAGTTTTGTCTTCAAGCATCTTCTTGATTTAAAGAGATTCTGTCAAATTGATGGGTAACTTTCCGTCTTCATCCTAAATCAAACAATAAAAATTACTTCAATATTTCTTTAAGCTCCTTTGATTAACAATTTCTTTACAACTCTAGATTATCCATAAGATGCCCCAATATGTAAAGCTGTTTATTGTGCATTATTTCTAAAATCTATATTGCACCCAAATGAGATTAAATAGCTTACAGTTAATTCACAACTAAAAGTATGTAAAATAATACTTTACTTTTAATATGCTGCCCAATGTAAACAAGTATTTCCAGCATCATCTTACACATTTATTGAAATACCTTATTACAGCCAATACCACTTATATATAAACATTTAATCATACCACCATATAAGGTTAGTCCCCTTATGCAGCTGCATGTATAGGTAATAAACCGGACCCACTTTTAAGACTAGAATCAGCACCCATATTTAGTAGAATCTTAACTGCTTCCTGATATAAATGCAATCAAACTTACCACATTTCCATTATAGGATGCTATATGAAGGGCTGTGAAAATTTCTATATTATATGTATTAACTAATTTTCTAATCTCATTCTCTTTATAATTATCATTTGAGTATTGCTCAAGATATTTCAGGAATGAGTACTCATTTCTCTAAACAGCAATATGTAGAACTATATAATATTTCAACTATTACTTGTTTATTTTTTTCCACAATCTAAATTCAAAATATTTGGTTTCATTTTGTTCATAAATTCCATTAATTGCTGTATCGAATTACTTTATATCATTTCCTTTATAATTTATTGTGAATCATCAATCATTATTATATAAAATATTATAATTCAATTTATAATTCACATCATCATAATATTCATCCTTATTTTTAAAGCAAACCGAATTTTATAAAAAATTTAAACTTAAATCAAACTTTCATAGATTTCTTTACATAAATACTAAATTATAAAAAAATAATAAACCAATCATCCAGTCCATTTTAATAATCTAAATTTTATTATCATTGTTCTTCAAATCTAAATCCTAAGAATTATTAAAAATTATGCCAAACTTATTTAATAACTTTATTTAATAGTTTACATAAAAAAATTCCATTTTTACTTTATTTTATTAATATCTTTTTATTCAATATTTTTTAATAAATTATGCTCTAAAATCTTTTTTAATTACAATAATATGTTCTATCTTTTTACTATTTTTAATATAAGTAATCCAATTTCATAAAAATGTATTTATTATTCTATTTTAGTTTAGTATTTATAATGCTAATTAAATTAGAAATTATCTAGACTCTTTCTTTACTTTTAAAATAAATTCCTAATTGAATTTAAAATTGTAGTTTATCTTTAATAATATATTATAAAAATTTATGCATATATCAAATATATTTATCAATCAATCTGAAAGCTATTTAATTTAACAAAAATATCTAACATTTTCATCAATTCTTTATTTCTAGAAAAGGTTTAAATATAATTTTTATTAAGTTTGAACTTTATATTTCTATGGTATACTAAATATAAAAATTTATAATTTATAAGTTTAGCATAAACAATGTTTACTATTTTCTATACCAAATTAACCAAGTTATGATTCAAGTTAATAAAAATTTTAATCACAAGACAAATGTTTTATCATTTCGTTTATAATTGTGATATAAATTAATAACAATTTAAATAATTAAGTAATTTTAAAATATATTTAGAATACCTCTATGAATATCCAAGTAATAATTTCATAAAAATTGCCATTCCTACTCTTTATTTTGTAATCTCTTGATGCTTAATACTCATCAAATAATCCATAGGTTTACTATGATCTGGATAAGGTAAGCCAATTGCTTTGAAATACCCAGCTAACTGTCAAAAAGTAAATAGATATTTGATGATAGCTAATGAATAGTAAATATAATAGTCTATCTTAATCATCATATGCTAACAATTAGAGGTCATATCTATCTTTTTTAATTAAAATATTACATAATTTAAAATGCAGTAAATGAATCTAATCCTGATGTTGATTCATCTAACAATATACATGAAGGATTAATGAACAAGTTCAAGTCTAATAGATGTTCTTTTTCTTTTTATTTCTAATTTCATTGTTCTTTTGTATCTTCAAATCTTGATTACTTCAAATCTGGATCTCTATAATTTAAATCTGCAAAAATTGCCAAACTTCTCTTGGAGCTGAAGTTTCTAAAAGAACATCATATAGCATAACAAATGCTGTAAAATTTGAAAATGTTTCAGATTGTACTCCATTTAATAACTTTAAGAACTTTAAACAAGAGCAGCAAGAATATTCAGCAATGATGTTTTACTAGCACCACTTGCTCTCAATATAGCATTAACTTTTTATGGATAAATTCATCATAATTACACAAAAATATTTCGTTTCTTTTTATTAAATCTTACTTTCTTTCGAATCAACTACTTAATATTCAATATTCTAAAATACAATATCTACTGCTCTTCTGCATATTAAACTTTTAGCACTCTAAAATGTGTCATTAAGTCTTTCAGCTTTAATTTATTGTTATATTTCTATTTCTTACATAAAATATTGCTCTCAATTTAAAAAAAAATCAGTAAAATATTATAATTTTGATTAATTCAGAACTCTTATAATAATACTAAAAAATCAATAAGATTAATACTAAATTCTATTTAGAATAATATTCAAAAGCATCACTAATTAATTGCTTTTAACTTCCATAAAATTATTTTTAATATTTTATCAATTTTCAGATTATGCATCCAAGTTAAAAAATAAAGTTAGAAACAAAAATTATTCTTTTCTTCCTAAAAATTTAATTATAATAAAAATTAATTAAATAATTAAATATTCATAATATTAATTAAATATAATTAATATAAAATTTTATATAATTTTAGTTTTAATTAAAATTAATATTTACAGTATGAATTTGTATAAAATAGCCTTCATACCATCAAGATTTAAAATTCTATAAATATCTTGCTTTATAATTTCTATATATATAATCTTTACTTGGTTCTAAGATAATAAAGATCCCTATATATTATATAATTTTCATGTTTTTTTCTTTTGTAATTTGATCATTCTAAAATGATTACATATTTAAATATAATCATAAATAGCAATATCATAAATCTTAATAAATATTACGTAATTATAAACTATAGTGTGTTAGATTAATTTGTTTGCATTATTTAATGATGCTATATTCATATAAATGGCTTATTTACTAATATAATACGCATTATTAATAAAAAATTATGGGCATAAAAGGGTCTAAACCAAATTTATCTCAAAAGACTACTCGTACTCACTCTAAAGGAATAACTTGTTCCTCTTGTTAAATGCAAGGCTGGAGAGATTACATGGAAGACTACATTATAATTCAAGAGTAAGAGGAGTTCTAACTTTATGGAGTCTTTGATGGACATGGAGGCTCAGAAGTTTCAGAATTTTTGTCAGAACACTTCTATGAAATATTTGAAATGGAACTAAATAAAAATCCAGAAAATTATAATGTCGTGTTAGAATCAACTTTCGAAACTTTAGATACTATATTAGCTCATCGAATTGCTAGTTCTAAAGTTGGAAGCACTGCTATAATTGTTTTGGTTACTAAAGAAAAGGTTTACATTGCTAACTTAGGAGATAGTCGAGCTATTCTATTTTCAAATGAATTTGTTTAATAACTTTCGGATGATCATAACATTGATTCAGAATATGATAGAATAATTGCTAATGGTGGTTTTATTAGAGATGATAGAATTAATGGTAACTATGTATCATGATTTCTAGGTTCATTGACTGTCGCAAGAGCATTTGGTGATTTTTTCTTAAAGTCATCAAGAGGTTCTATAATATCATCAAAACCAGATATTTTTGTAATTGACAGACCATAAAATAAATATATCTTGCTAGCATCAGATGGTATTTGGGAATGTGCAGATAATTAATGTAAATTAATCAAAGTTATTTTAGATATCAGCAAAAATCTTATTGAAAATAATTCATTAGGAAAATTATTCAATTAATTAATTGCAAAAAGCATGTATTAAGAAAATGGTTATGACAACATGAGTGCAATACTTATTTAATTTTGATTTTTTATTTATTTAATTTTAATTATGATAATTCTAAACATGTTATTACTACACACAGAATGTTTTTAAATAAAAAGCGTTTAGATTAAATTTATCTTATTCTAAATAAATAAATCAGATTAATATAGAATTATATATCATATAATCTAAAAGTTCTAAAGGGTTATAGGATTTCAATTCATCATATTCTACAAAATATTCTTTGCCATTTATGTAAAGACATTAAAAAAATAAATGCTCATTCATTAATAAATGTGATTTAATTGTGACAATAATCATCGTTGGTATTATCACTCTATTTAGATCTGAATCATACTGTATCCTATCTGATTCATTAGTTTCAATTACATAAACTTAAATTTAGGCATCTTTTAATTTTGGAATAATTGATATACTACATCTACTTGGCTTAATTTAACTCATGCTATCAAAATGAAGTTTATATATCTCTTGTTACATTTACTGATTTTTATTTTTTTTGGTTTATTACTATGCTTCTTTGAATATCATTTCTTTTAAATCTTCATTTTCTTTCTTTTTCTCATTTACAATTTAATCTTATAAATCTTCCTTTTCTATTTTCTTTTCTTACAAATAATTATTAGTTTGATTTAATTACATTTTAATTTCATTATTTTATAAACTTGAATTATTATTTTTTATAATTATTTTTAATTTATTAGTTGTATTATTAGTCTTATAATTATTAGTAATTTCATTAGATTAGTATTAGATATCATCAAATTTGATCGTATTTATTTCATTTTTATTTTTATCGTTATTACAATTATTATCATTCATCGATTATATTAATGTTTGATGATTTATATTTTAAACTGATAAAAAGTTTGCTGTTTTCACTGCCCTACCATTTACTTTTTTTTATATTTAATTTTTATTGTTTATTTAAGATTATCTTAAAAATGAATGACTATTTTTCTTCGAGTTTTAATTCAGCTATTTTTAACTATTGGTATCTAAATGAAAAACTTCTTATTTTTTATCAAAATCTTCATGCAAACTTTGTATTTCAATTTTTAATGACTTACTATCATTTTCGATAGACATGATTTCATCATATGATGAATTTGACTTTTTCTTTTTTTGTAAATCAAAAGATTTGTTTAAATATTTTTTATTAATTATTCTTTTTTAGAGGTCAATTTTTCTTTTAATTTTTAGTTATTATTATCTTATTAATGAATTATTCTTTTCATTTGAATCTGTTTTTTTTGTATTTTTTTTTGAAAGCTTATTATTGATTTAATTAAAAATTTAATTATGTTAAATTATTTAATCTTCTTATGCTGTTTACTCATTTTAAAATTCAATCTATTACATTTTTTATATTTCATTAGACTTCATTTTTTAAGACTTTTCAAATGACATTAACAATTTAATATCTCCATCAATTTGTCTATCTTTATTAATAATTTATTGAAAATTAGTAAATGATTAGGTTGAAATTATCTTTTATTTGCTATATTGTTCTCCAAGAAAAGGGGGTAAGTGAGTAATTTAAACTACTACATCATTTTATTCTAATTTTGAATCTTTAATAGCTATTTCTACATCTTTTATTTATTAATTTCTAATAAATTAAGTTGAAAATATTTAATTTGAAATATTTTATAATTTCCATTTTTGATCTTAAATTTATTGATTTCTTGAATAATTGATTTTAGGAATATAAACTTAACAAAAACTTGTTTTAATATGAACACGAATACCATTTTATGATTTTGAAATCTTTTGATTATAGAATAAGTAGCTATATGTTGTTTCAAAGTATCTATATAATATTTAATAATAAAAATATATTACCGTATTAAATAGTTGGATTCTTTTTTGAAACTAGTTAATGATTACCAAGATATTTAAGAGATAGGTTATCCTAACTATTTAAGAGCATAATGATAAGTATTTTTAACTAGTTTTTTGCCATATATGAATTATACTGGAGAATTAGCTAAAAAGTTAGAAAAGAGAGAATACTTTATTGGTTTTTGTTTTGATGGGAACTTTTCATGTTATTTAAAATAGTGAATCAAATTAAAAGCAGGAAATAATTTATAATATGTATTAATTCATTTTCTACAATCACAATCACAAACTGCACATGTTTATTTCCATTAGAGCATATGTTCATAATGACCTCCATGTTAACATGAACTACAAAACAACCCATGACTAGTGATAACTTATTGACAGATAGAACAAATTGTCTTATTTTAATTTTATTTCACATTTCCTAATTATAAGGGTCCCTAACTATAAATTTCATTGTTCAATCTATCTCTAAAATTAGCAACCTAATAACTTGCTGATTTTAATTTCTTATAAATGCAAAAATTAATAGGACTCTAAGCTCTAAGTGCTGTCTTAAGAACATTTAATTTACTAAACTCAACTTTATCAGTTACTATTAAGGGAAAATTACTGAGTTAATTCCATATTATATAAATAGGACTTTCATTTGATATCTTCTGAAAGTTATCATAGACTGAAATACTTTATATTCCTTTAACAAAGAGTTTTGGATTTGGTTAATTGTTGTATTTACTTATTTCATCTTTTATTAGATCTTTTATTTAATCTTTCATTTCAATATTTGATTCTAATTTTAATTAATATACACAATCTAATAACTTTTTAGTATCTTTTAAATTGCTTTTTTTTATTGAATAAGCTATCTGATCATATAATTTGTATATCTGATATTAAGAGTTCCATAATTTTTTGAAATATTCTTAAAAATCCTTTATTAGATTCATTTCTTGAGACATTACTCTCTTTTATTACTAGTGATAGATACAATCAGATAAAATTTTTAGAATTTTCATATTATATTCTTAGAGATCCACTAAATTAAATTAATGATATAATTACATGTAACTCCACTTGTGAGAACAAAACTAGAAATGCTTGAATTATATAATTTGAAATATTCCTCTAATGGTTAATATAAAATTTTTAATGGATTATTGATATTAGTATTATTATTATTCTTTTTCATATGATTAGTAAAATATTCATGTAATTATGTAATGTTATNAACTAGTTTTTTGCCATATATGAATTATACTGGAGAATTAGCTAAAAAGTTAGAAAAGAGAGAATACTTTATTGGTTTTTGTTTTGATGGGAACTTTTCATGTTATTTAAAATAGTGAATCAAATTAAAAGCAGGAAATAATTTATAATATGTATTAATTCATTTTCTACAATCACAATCACAAACTGCACATGTTTATTTCCATTAGAGCATATGTTCATAATGACCTCCATGTTAACATGAACTACAAAACAACCCATGACTAGTGATAACTTATTGACAGATAGAACAAATTGTCTTATTTTAATTTTATTTCACATTTCCTAATTATAAGGGTCCCTAACTATAAATTTCATTGTTCAATCTATCTCTAAAATTAGCAACCTAATAACTTGCTGATTTTAATTTCTTATAAATGCAAAAATTAATAGGACTCTAAGCTCTAAGTGCTGTCTTAAGAACATTTAATTTACTAAACTCAACTTTATCAGTTACTATTAAGGGAAAATTACTGAGTTAATTCCATATTATATAAATAGGACTTTCATTTGATATCTTCTGAAAGTTATCATAGACTGAAATACTTTATATTCCTTTAACAAAGAGTTTTGGATTTGGTTAATTGTTGTATTTACTTATTTCATCTTTTATTAGATCTTTTATTTAATCTTTCATTTCAATATTTGATTCTAATTTTAATTAATATACACAATCTAATAACTTTTTAGTATCTTTTAAATTGCTTTTTTTTATTGAATAAGCTATCTGATCATATAATTTGTATATCTGATATTAAGAGTTCCATAATTTTTTGAAATATTCTTAAAAATCCTTTATTAGATTCATTTCTTGAGACATTACTCTCTTTTATTACTAGTGATAGATACAATCAGATAAAATTTTTAGAATTTTCATATTATATTCTTAGAGATCCACTAAATTAAATTAATGATATAATTACATGTAACTCCACTTGTGAGAACAAAACTAGAAATGCTTGAATTATATAATTTGAAATATTCCTCTAATGGTTAATATAAAATTTTTAATGGATTATTGATATTAGTATTATTATTATTCTTTTTCATATGATTAGTAAAATATTCATGTAATTATGTAATGTTATCAACATGAAATGAATAACTTCCAAAATCGTATATCTAAAATGAAATAAAAAATGTTTACACTAATTTCCACATTTTAATTGATAACTGTTTTTTTATCTTATTATTCATAAACTTTTTTAGATAGATTTTTGAATTATTCTCCTAAAATAATGACATCTGGATTATTGTGCAAATCATAAATTTCATAATCTTTATAAAATGCTAATTTTTCTACTTTTTATTCTTTGGGTACTTCTTATTGATGAAATTAAGGAAAATAATGATAGAAGAATTAGAAATTTAGATAATCATAGGCTTCGTCTTCTTTTTCTGAAATCAATTAAATACCAGTTTAGAAAAAAGGTTATAGATTTTCTTCATCTTCTCTGATTTCTACAACATGTCTTTATTATTGATTAGATTATTTAGTTTTAGGTTATGAAAATACAAATGAATTAAGTTCTTACAAAGTTATATATTGAGCCTTTTAATCTTTAGCTTATTTTTAATGATTAGTAGCTGTATTATGAACTGTAATTAAATGACCTTAAGGTGACCAACAACAAGTAGAGAATCCTGAATAAGGAATAGGTTGAGAATGAGTATGTGCTCTACCAAATTCTTACTTATCTGATTTCTTTCCACTATTTGTAGGTATTTCAAAAGACAATATAATATTGCATACCTCAGGTACAATACTTTTTATTAATTCTAATGTTGAATGATATTAGCTTTGTTTAACTAATTATGTCAATTTTTCACTTTCTGCATATACTTTCCAGCTGTCAACTTTAAAACTTACTTATTTTATATATAATTCTCTCTCTTGTAGTGATAATAATAGAATCATATGATCCTATTATTTTTCAGCAGTTTTTGTTCTTGATAATTTTATTGTACAAATGTTATTTTCTTCATTTACTTTTGTTACTTATAATTTGTTTTCAGACACTTTTCTAAATTCTTCATTTACTTCATTACGAATTCTACTATTATTATATGAAGCATCTTCATCATCTTAAGCATCACCAAAATTAGGATTTTCTTCTTACATTTAATTATAATTTATTAATTATAACAGAATGTCTAAATTGAAACTCATTGAAACTATAAAACAGTAAGAAAAAATCATATAGAAATTACAATCATAAATTAAAAGAAGTTAGAGCCATTATAAAAATACTCCAAATAATCTAGAATAATAATAAACATAAAGAAATTCTAGCCGAAGCATATATACAGCTAAAAAGTTTAAAGAAAAAGATTAAACAATAAATATTCTTACTGAAAGACTGAATTAAGTAAGTAAAAATGAAATCAAGGTAATAGTGATCTAATATTCATAAGATTAAATAAAAAATGTAAAAATAAAGAGTTTACTTTAAATGTTTGTACTATGATTTATAAAATGAAGTGTATAAACTCAAATCTGAAATGCTCTAATTTACAAAATTTTAGAAATAATAAAAGAAAATCCTTTTCTATTGATTATAATATGATAAATAATTCATTAATCAAAGTACAAGTCTAAGATTACACATCTCCAACGAAACCTTAGAGAAGATTAATTTACTAAAGAATTAAACCATATATGGAAGCTTATGGACTATCTCCTGAGTTCTTTGAAATCAAAGGTAAATCAGTTGTATTCAAAACTAATAATCCTAATAATTAAACCTACTTAAATAAAAGTGTTGTATCAATCCGATCAAATAAAAAGAAACCAAAATAAAAAATCTCTCTTAAAAGACCTTAAACAGCATCAATATAATTGCCTAATAATGTTATATTACCTATATCTAATAAATATGCTAATATATTCAATGAAATTAAAAGCAATCAATCAAAACCCTAAGTTTAAATTCCTTAAAAGGCTGAAAAATCATTAATTTTGGAAGAAGATGCAGAAGAAGTATCAGATTCAAGTTTAATAAAAAAACATGAAATGATCTTAAAAGATATAGCTGATCTTGAAAAGTAAATTAAAGTTCTTATATTAGGGTTAAATAACAAAAAATTAATGAATTAGAAACCATACAAAATAAAATAGATGAAGTTAAAAATGCAGAAATTAATTCATCCCGTTTCATTATTAAAAAGAACTCCCATAAACCTACTCTTAGAGAAAAAAAGGATAAGGCTGCTTCTTTAATTTAAGCACATGTTAAAGGCAGAATGGATTATAAAAGATTTATAGAATGGAAAAAAAGAAAAGAAGATAAATTAAGAAAACTTATTATAATATAAAAATGGTGGAGAATTTAATTGAATCGTCTAGAAATTTCAAAAAGGTTTCAAATTATACAGTAATCTAAATAAATAAAACTTATTGATGGATATAATTTTCTTATAACTACTAATTATTCATATGTCTTAAATAGGATTCGATTATTATTTATAGAAAGAATGGGAATAATAAGGGGACATTTTAGATTATATTTAGATTAATCAAATTGTTTAAAACTATTAAATGAAGATATAACTAACCCATCAAATTAATGTTTATATTTAATAAATATAATCATCAATAACTTAATTTAATTAATCTAAGTTTAAGATGGTCGTCTCATCTTTAATTCTTTAAACTCTAATTTTATTGATATTCCTTAATTAATGCAATAAATTTGCTTATAACTAACCCAAATCAATATTAATTAATATTAAATAATCATTAATTAAGCAGATTAATTAAAAGAATTAGTCATATCTAAAGATCAATAATAAAAATCATTTGAAATTCCCCCTACAATATCAGGTAAATCATAAGTGTTTTAAATTCAAGATTAATTCTAAATTAAAGAAATTAAAGAAGATGAATAAGAGACTAATTAAAATGAATTAGTAATTTCTAATTAATAATCTCTTCATAATGATTATCAAGAAATTCATTAAAAAAATCAACTATTAACTAATAATATTTAAGCACTCTAATAATCAGAAACTGCCATGCAAAGTAAAAATGTTGATTTTGATTAAAAAGAATATTATTCTTAGGAAAATTTAAATTCAAAATGTTAAAATGATCATATTGAGATGTAGGAAAAAATTGAATAAAATGATTTTGACAATTCAAAAATTACAAATTAATAAATTAATTAAAATTAAGATAATATTTTTAAAGAATAAAATTAAGAATAAGGTAATATTTTTGAAGTATAAAATCAAGAATTATAAGTATCTTAAGAATAAATAAATTAATTTAATTAATAAGAAAAAACTGATAAAGAAGAATAATATTAATCAATTCGTTTAGATAATTAAAAAAATGATTCAACAATTTAAAATACTGATTAATAAAAAAGTATTAAAGAAAATTAAATAATACATTCAATATTACCCTATAATATTTAGGATCCTTTAAATTCATAAATATTAAATTAAGAATAGAATTAATTTCAAAATTTTATTACTAATTTAATTAATAATCAAATATAAAATGATGAAAATAAATTAGAAGTATACTAATATTCTAATTAGAATAATCTAAACTTTATAGAATCAAATTCTAATGTAAAGTTCTGTGAAGGAACTTAAATAATCTAGAATGAAATGTAATTTTCTTAAGTGAATGACCAAGAAAAGTAATTAGATGATTAAGAGATAATTAAAAATAAATAAAATAATTAAGAATTGTTAATTTAAAGTAAGAAATCAGTTGAAGTTGAGGATGAAAAGTAACATAAAGAAGAGATATAAAATATTGAATAAGAGAATTTTCAAGAAATTAAATAAGATTAATAAGAGTATATTTAAGAGAATTTATAGATGAAAGAAAGTAATTAATAGCCTTAATAAATAATACAAAATGATGAAATTTAGAGTAATGGAATTTAAGAAAATAAAATAGAAGAATTTGAATAGATTAAAAATTAGATAGATAAACCTTTAGAAATTTAGCATGAACATGAAGAAGAAGAAGAAGATTAATAATAATAAATAGTAAATTCAGAATACATTATTTAATAAAATATTAATGAGATATCAGAAAAGATTGAAAAAGTATAATAATCATAGAATTTTAAGAAGAAAGAACATGATCAAAATTTACAGTAAATTCCTTCTTAAATTGATTTTCATATGTTAAAAAGTTGTGAGAGCAATTTATATGATCCTCCTAATTCTGGTAAAGAGACAGCAAAATACTTAAATTCTTAAGAATTGTTAAGTAGAACAAATTTTCTTTCTTAATTGGGATAATTGGGAAAATTTGAATATGAGAATAATTCTTTTTTGGGTTCAGGAGATCTGAAAAAAGATATAGAAGGTTTTTTAGCACCTGTAAATTTAAGAAATAAAAACAATAATCAATAAGAATTATTTTTGGAATCTAATACATTTCCTAATAGAAATCCTAGTGATTTTCGATCTCCTCTAATAGATGATACATTTAAATTAAGCACAACACTTAAATTTTAATTTAGTTCTGAATTAAAAGCTTTTGAGAGTGGACATTTTATTTCATAATAATTTGATATTAAAATATAGTAGTAGGATTCTCTTGAATATTCTATGGATGAATCACAAGATTTATAACCAATCTACATTACAACAATTAAAGTTGATGATAATGATGTAGATGTATTTTAGATAAAAAATATGTTAAGATTAAAAGATAAAAAAAATAATTATTAATCATATGATTTCAAAATTTCAAAAATACATTAATCAAATTGTGATTATATAATCTAAAATCTATATGTGTACATAATAAATAATCGTATAAATTGTATTGAGGGCAGTTAGATAGTAAGAATTTAAAGATACATAAAAAGATTTAGATTTGTTCAATCATGTTTATTAACTTTCGATAAAGAGTCTACATTAGTTTGTTTATTTAAATCATGTAATTTATGTAATAATATAAAGTTTTTAAGATAAAGTTAAGTTTTTATAGATAAGTTGCAATTGAGGAAGATATAATAATTGAGAAAATGACAATTAAATAAAGAAGGATATTGGAAAGGAATTTTTACTCTATATGTCCATAATTATTGTTCATTGAGAAGAATAAGGAGAAGATGATAATGGCAACAATAAATGCTTTAGAATTTTAAATTTGACTGAAATTATTCTATATTTTTATTAATTTTGAGTTTTGTTTAATTTAACAAAGCATGTATACAAAAATGGTTAATATTGATGAATATAATTGTTGTGAATGAGAATTTATATTTTTAATTAATAAGAATGATTACCTTATTTTAATCCATATTGTTGTTGTTTTATGTTAGAATAGCAGAATGTTGTACATAAATACCAAACAACGAATTAGTACTTGTGAATAAAATTAATGAAACATAAAGTATGGATATTCAAAATTTATTTATAAAATAAGAGCAATCTTAAATATTGTTAATAGCAAATGATGATGACATAAATATTTAATAATATTTGTAGACTCATTCTAATAAGAACAATTCTTTCAATAATATAGTAAGTGTAAAGTATTTGAGATCTTATTTAGACTACAGCGCAGTAAATCAATATGTATTATTGAATAAAATTAATGATAAATATGAAATATACACAAATAGTTATTAAATTGAATACAATTAGCGTTTACCAGAATTCAAATAATATTTTGAAATAAGTAATTAAATTTGTTAGGATATTGAGATTATGGATAGATACACTCTAATCTTAGATTGTTATAATTAAACCAGCAATGTATTCATAATTTAAAGAGAGTCAAGTCAAATTTAATATTTCACTTAAAATCAGACTAAAAATCTTAAAATAAAAAGAAGAATCTTTGCTTTTTAGGATAACATATTGATTCGAGTATTTTATTATGATGATGAACACTAATAGTCATGGATTCAATTTATATAAATTGATGGAACAGTTTAAGAAATTCTTGAAATAGATGATAAATATATCAATCAAATATTTAATGATACAAAAACAATAATTCAATTATAAATAGTTTAAGTGTAAATTGAATAATAAATAATAACAATATTGAACAACAATTAATGGGTATTATCAATCAATGCTAAAGAATTCCCTTATATTCTTATAAAAGAGTATTTTAACCCTGAACTTTAATTCCCAGTATTATAAATGGCATATCATATCTAAAATTAGTATTTTGCTTTTCTAACATAATAATCAATTCATATTATTAGAGGTAATCAAACGAATACAAAAAAGATTGATAATTCAGAAAAGCAATATGAAATTTATTTTACCTAGAATAGTCTAATTGTATATAAAGAAGGATAATTAAGTTTATTACAATTCAATTTAAAGAATTTATCAACAATTTTGATAGATGAGAACTCTGTATTAATTATGGACTAAACTTTAGATGAAATAATTACATTAAATGAATAGAGAAGTTAAAGGATCATAATTAGAATGCATTAAAGTTTATATTTTAAATCAAATTCTTTGTATTAATAAATTCGTTAAGCTACTTTGATATAGTAAGTAAATATACTCTAATCTTGTGTTCTTAAAATTTAATATATGACAATAGGATTGAATTCTACAGAAGCTATTCCTACAGTAATAAATTAATTCAATTCAATATTGAATAACCAAATAGAATCTTATGAAGTTTAAAGATTTATAGATGGTCCAAATATCGCTTTTTCTGGTATTAACTAATAAAGGATCAATTAAGTATAATTCAGCATTAATTTTGAATAATTGTAACAGAAAACAATAAGTGGTATAATTTCTGAAGCGACTCCTCAATATATTAAAATAGTACAAGTTACAAATGCTTACTTTTACTTTATTTAGTCTTCAAATCAATTTGTAGAAGTTTACTATTGTACTTCAGACATGAATTGTGCATTTACAATTTAGGTATTTTTTGAATTCAATTTATCATTAATATACCATGAATTTTTTGTTTATGGCATTGATGTCTATATCGTAGTTAAAAATAATCAATAATTAGATGTTTGGAAAATATCTGAAACACTTATTTATTAGTGTACAATTTATCCAGACCAAGATCATTATATTATTCAATTTCAATATATTAATAAATTTTTGGCAGTACTCTACTCTAATCAATTAATTATTATTTATAAAGTCATTGATAAATGTTAAAAATCATAAGTACTTACTACAGAGTTCATCTAAAATTTTAATATCTAATGGAATCCTTCTTACATTTAAACCAATGATTATCATCAAATTTTATATGTTTAAACTGCCATGTAGATATTGCTTATTTCAATTAAAGAAAATGAAATATTTCCAATTAACATAATTCCTCTTAGTTATAATTAAACTATCACCATTTTTTCTTTTTAAAATATCATTTGGATTTACTATAAGGATACAGCTGTCATTGAATCATTTAGAATAACTTCCATTAACAACATATAATATCAAAGCACTGTTTCCTTATATAATGTCATTCCTAATAGGTTTTACCATAATTAATATTCTCAATATGTCTATTTTTAAAATAGTCAGGATAGTTTAGGCACTATCTATGTATATTGTATGGAATGTAGTAGTCACAATGCCTTATTAACAACTTTCTCTACAAAATATAAATTATTTTATCCTGTTTCTAATTTATTCATTATAGCTGATATCAATCATTACTTTGAAATAACCCAGAATATTAAATATTCCATTTATTATTAAGATATAGATAATCCAAATTATTTAGTAAAAGTTAATACATTCTTAATTGTTTCAAGTTATGATAGCAAAGAACAATACAAATATTTAGTTAATTCAACTCTTGTTAATCCCTATACAAGTATTACCGTTAATAAAACAGAATTAAATCTTGAAGAATTACTCACTTAAAATAGACCTATAGGTTATTGTCAGAGTAAATATTCATGGTATACTGGATAAGTCGTGGATATAACTTTAAAAAGTGCATAGCTGAAATTAAGAAAATCCATGCATCTTTTAGAAAAGCAAATATGTTCTTCAGGATTAGATATTAAAGAATATGTATCAGATTCTATTCTCATATTACATGACGATAAAATTGTCAAATTAAATATGACTACTAAAGCTTAGTAAATTTATTTCTTAGATACAAATCTTACTTATATCAAAATAATTTCAGTTTATAAAGAACTTATTTTTATTTCATCTTATACAATTGTACCTAAATTTTCTTATGCCATTTCAATCATTTAATGCGATAACAATTTTCAATGTCTCAATAACCTTGATTATCTTATTTTAAATGCTGATCCTAAATCAATTTAAGTTTTATAGAATTTGTTTTTTATAATTTCAGATATATCTATTGATGTTTTCTCCTTTCAAGATGATAGAATAACATATATTCATAATTTTAATTATTCTTAACAAGCATATTTTTAAGCTATTGTTTCCCCTGAACTAAATTATTTTCAAGTTTACTCTAAAAAATCTAATTTATTAATAATTTCTTTGTATCAACTAAAGGAGAATCACATCATTTAAATATAATAAACTCAGATTGATTTATTGGTAGTTATTTAATAGATTGGCTATTATATTGATCCCAAGACTTTGTTTTATAGGATTATAATCAACAAAAGTAAGACTTAATAATAATTATTTACTGTTGAATTATTCTGTTAATCATATAAGCATTCACACTATATTTTGTAAATATAATCCATTTGTAAAATCTCATAAGATTCTTATCAATGTGATATTAATAATTATAAAGTGTTGTAAATACTTCAAGGATATGGTAATTGGCCTTCCAGTTAAGTTAGAATATATAAAGAATAATATTTATTGATGAATTACTATTAAACTACAACATATATAAGTGCTCTTTATAATTTGCAATTAAATTATGTTCATCCTACTATTTCGTCTACATTATTTTCAGGAGCTATTTTATATGAAAATATTTCAGTCTCGTAATAAGCATTTTTTACATAAGAATCTTAAATATACTTATTAACAAATGTAATTAATAAGGAATTTTTTGCGCTTTATGAAATTCATAACACTACTAAATTTTGTATTTATGATCATTTAAGATCAGAACAGATTTAAATTACTCTAAAAAACAATTTTCATGAAAAAAATGATACAATAGAAGTAAATCAAAATAGTGAGTATGATGAGAACAAAAGCTTAAAATTCATATTTTGGCTTGTATTTGGAATTATATTCGTATTTCTTTTAGGAATACTGTTATTTGGTTGCTATGTTAAATACAAAAAGAGATAAGCAGAAAATTAATTAATTTTATGATACTAAATAATTCATTTTGCATTTGAAATTTATCCAAAATTACTAGACATTATAATATTTTTATTTTATTGATTTTATTCTCTAAAATTTAAACTTCTTTCAAATTCTGATTATAATATATCATGCCTTTTCTTCCATTCATCAACTTATTTTGCCTATTTAAAAATAAATAAGAATACTTTTAATAAATTTAATCGAGTATTTTCATTTAATAATAATGCACATTTGTTTTCTAATTCAATAATTCTTCTATTTTAATCATCTTATAGAGATGTTTCTAATCTACTTGAGTCATCCTTTACAACTTCTTTCATAAATGATACTTCTCTTTAATATGAATTTAATTAATTCTTGAGAGTCTAAATTTCAAAGTCTTAATTTTTAATGGTTTATACTAATATTTATATTTCTTCAAACATTTAATTATTTTTTTATTCTAAATTACTTTGCTCTTATGAATTTCTAAATGAATTCTATTATTGCTCTAATTATTTGATACACTAAATTAATTAATCTTCTTTTTTTTAAGCCTTAACTAAATTATTTTATAATTGCATAATTTTCACATTCAAAGAATCTTCCAAAGATTAATTTTTTGAATAATTGAATTATTCTTCTTTTCTAGATAATTATTACAATTAATCTTCTAAATCTCTTAGGTATTTTTCAAACTTGTCTATTTTCAACTCTAACTATTAATTCAATTATTTAATTTGATTTATCTATTCATTTTTCTATCTCAGCTCTTCCTTAAGTTAATTAAGTTCTTTATTAAATTAAAATTAAACTTACTAATACTATTTTCGTTACTCTATTGATAATTCTTCATACTTTTTAACACTTAGTCTTTCTGTCTTTATCTTAATTTCCTCAACTTAAATTAACAACTACTTTCTTTAGTCTTCATTTTAGTCTTCCAATTTTTAATTTAACTATTAACTAATGATTATGATATTTTACTTATTTCTCCTTTTTATAATTTTCAATCATTATCTCCAAATCATCTGATATTTCTTTTATTTTTATATTTGCTTCTCTTAATTATTTTTCATATTTTTATTCTAAATTCAACAAATCTTATTTCAATTATTTATTATTTAACTCTAATTAATTTAAGTCAGATACTTTATCATTTACTTATAAAGAAACTCTCTGATTTTCTCTTTAAAATTCTAATTCTATATCTTCCATTTCTCTTGAATATTTCTATTTTATTTATTGTAATTCAAATGTTACCTTCCCTAATTATGAATTTAATTATTAATTTTCAAATCTTTAATCTTTTATTTCTTTTTCATATTTTATTTTATATTATTATAGCTACTCCTATATATCATCTATAAACCTATTCTATTTTTCTATTTTTGAGTTTTCATTTGAAAACTGAATAATTTAATCTTCTAATATTTTAATTTTACTTATATAATTTTTGAACACTCTAATTAGCTTTACTCAACTCTTATTATAATGTTTATTTTTGCCTAATTGAATTTCTATACTCAAAATCATACTCTGTATTTTTCAATTGCTTAACTCTTCTAGTTTAATCAGATAATTGATCTATTATATAATAAACTTTTCTCTTCCTCCATCTAAATATTTAATTATTCCAATTACTATTATAATTTAGAATTATTTTATTCTAATATTATTATTTATTTATTCTTTATATCTAAATCTCCATTGTTGACAGATTTACTCAATGATTCATTCTCTAATTGCTTTTAAAATTATATAATTCTCTCTTCCAATTCAACTATTAACTTTTATTATTGATTTGATTTTGATTATCTAGACTAAATTGATAATTAATCCTCTTATTACTATTATAATTATTTTTTTATTTAATACAATTCTTGTTATAATTATTACTTTTATTGATTTACTTAATTTATTTAAGTATTAAGGCTTAAAATTTTAGAATTTAATTCCTCTATATGTCTAGTAGAATTAGATTATCTAGATTATTATTCGCTAAATCTTATCTTTGTATCTCTTTCATAAGTATTAAGCTATAACTTGCTTTATACTTCTGACAATTAAGTTTGAAGGATTGTTATTTGATTCAAATATTCACTATTCATCCTACTCAATTAGGAATTCTAATCCTAAATTTCATTCAATCTATCATTAAGTAAAAGGATTTCATCTTAATGTTTATTCACTTACACTTAAAGTGTTTACCTTATAATACATAAATCTTTTATCTGTAATGAATCTGTGCACTTTTAATTATTTAACTATGCTATTTATGTTAAGAGTTATTAGTTCATTTCACTAAGCTTTTAAATCTATATATCTTAATCCTTATAAAAGAGAGATGTATCCTTCTATACTAAAATTAATTATTACTATATAGAATTGTTTATAATACCCATTTTATCTATCTAAGCTAAATAATCATCAATCAAAATTTCATATTATTATTATTTCTTTTAATAAACTTCAACTTAGCTTAATAATTTTACATTCTCGTATTCAACTTTCCTAAAGTTTATATCATTTTCTAATTAAATACGTAAAATCTGATCTTTTAATTTACTTTCTAACTATTTTTATCTTTCCTCAAATTCCTATATTTCTTTTTCTTATTATCTATTATTCAATTGTAACACTTGGAGTTGACTGATTAATCCTACGTTTTCTTCTTGTACAATTTATAAATCAATAAGCCAATTTTCTGAAGCCAATCCTGTATTACTAGTTATTTGTTGATATTATTCATTCTTCTATGTATTTGTCACTATCTAAATTAATTGGCTTTATGATGTCAATCTACTTGATTTTTGAGATTTCAATTCATTTTCTGGAATTTATAAACGATATGTATTTGTATCGTTTTCTAAATATAGTGGATCATTTTAAACTCTATAAATTCTGTTATACATGTATTAGATAGAAATTTTAGTTTTTAAAATTTTATTATAAAATTAAAGTCTTATGTGAATAATCAGAATTTTTATTTCAATGTATTATTTTTACTTTTGTTTGGATTTTTTTTGAATGTTTTTAAAGTGTAATATAATGATAATACTAAATGTTTATCTTTTTATTTTGAAAGGTTTGATTTATAAAAAATTTAGCGTTATCTTGTATTAAAAGAAATCTGGAGATATTTTATGTTAATTAGCTTAATAAATTATGTATTTTGTTGAAATAGTTTGATCATTAGGTTTTGTTATATATGTAAAATAATAACAAAAAGAAGATTATTTTTTTTAAGAAAAGGAAAGTAAGAGGATAGAGATAAAAAATGAAGTTATATTACTTTGAAAGTAAAATATTGAATGACAGAGAAGAATGATGAATAATAAAAAAGAAAATTTTAATCATTTATATTATCCATGAACCGTGGTAGTCATGTGAAAAGTGGATAAACAGCATTTAAAGTTTTAAATTTCTTCTTGAGATCGAAAAAACCAACTCAAGTTGTGCCAGAACGTAGACATTTTGAGCAAGAGGAGATAAAAAAAATATTTAGAAGATGTCTTATAAGATTGCGAACAATATATATTTTGAATTAAGTAACAAAAGAAATAGTGACTTATGGGACATCTTCTAATTTGTATGATATTTCAACAAGAGATAGGTATAATATTGATAAGTATAATATGAAGACCTGCATTATAAAGATATCTGTTCCCATTATCAAGATCATAGGATTAGGATGAAGAGAAATTAGAGTTTCCAATTATTCATCCTAATAGTTTTTTAAAGTAATTTTGGAATGGAATCTTCTTATTAATGATGATTTATGTTGCAACAATTTTACCATTTAGAAGTTGCTTATTAAATTAATTTTAGTTTCATTTTATCTTGACAATTAAGTTTAGGCATGGTATTATGCAGATATCGTAACAGATGTATTATTTTGGTTGGATTTGATAATCAGTAGCATATCAGGATATTATGATGAAGAAGGTAAATTAGTTAAGAAAAGAAAGATTGTATTGATGAATTATTTAAAAGGATGGTTTACTGTTGATTTATTGTCTTGTCTTCCTTTGAACTATATAATGGATAGTACGATATCTGAGAATGATAATATGAATTCAAAGAACATTAAACTATTTAAGTTATTAAAATTGCCAAGAATGTATCGATTATTAAAATTAATTCGATTTATTGATATAATGAAGTATTTAGGGATTTCAGAAATTATGGAATTCTTTCAATTTAATTATGGATTCTCAAGATTATTATCATTACTTATATCAGTGTGTTTAGTGATCCATTTTTCAGGATGTTTATGGTATTACGTAGCAGCATTCAATGATTTTGATGCATAAACATGGGTTTCTAGAAATAATTTAACTTCATCAAATATTTAGACTAAATATATTGCAAGTATTTATTATGCTTTTACTACTTTAACAACAGTTGGATATGGAGATATACATTCATTTTCTTCAGCTGAAATGATTATTACTATATTTTTAATGATAGTAGGGGTTGGCTTTTATTCATTGATTATTGGTCTATTATCAAGTATACTTTCACAAATAGATTATAAGGGACATAAACTTTAATAATAATAAGCTATTTTGAATGAATTTTGTGTCGAAAAGAAAATATCATTAAATTTAAGAGAAAAATTGAAAGAAACTCTAGAATATAGTTTTGATAAAAACTGTTTTACTTGGGCAGATAATAAATATATATTTAAGGATCTTCCAATTAATCTCAGATATGAAATCATGCTGAATATCCATAATGGAGTATTTGGAAATATGCAATTATTTTAATTAGTGGATGATAAATAATTCTTAGTGAAGGTTGTTCCTCTATTGAAACCCATATTATTTTTAGAATCAGAAATTATATGGGAATAAAATAGTAATCCTGATGCTATTTATTTTATTGCTGAAGGAAGAATGAATTTTAAAGCTGATTTTGTTGTTATTAAATCAACCAATCAAAAAAAATAATTTGCTTTTAAAAGCATGATAGGAGGATCATATTTTGGAGAAATAGAAATATTTATGCATATTAAACGAGAAACAGTAGCACAATGTGAATCATAATGTGAAATGTATTATTTGACTATAACATCTTTTGAAAATGAGATTTACGATGATTTTCCTCATATCATGAATAAAATGAACAAGATTGCTCTAGAAAGAAGGTAAAAGAATCAAGAGACTATTCAATAACTTTAATAATTTATTGATGATGCTACTAAAAAATAATTAAAAAGAAGTATTTATAATAATTGTATATAAAAGCATAACCTAGGAAAAACACTGTTCTTCTAAGAGAATACATAAAGTAGAACAGTTAAAAGACTATAGAAGATATTTAATAAGATGATACTGCAAATGATACTGAACGTCCTTAGATTTAGACTAATAGATCAAGACTTCAAGATCTGTTTTAAATCACTTAAGAGATAGAACAATTACTAGATTGATATAGTTAATCAATATCTACTTATATTTACAAAATTATTATAAAATGTAACATGAATGTTTGGAGCAAGTATTCTATCTTTTCTATAATCAACTAAGTGGAGGTAATAGAGGATTGTAGTTTTAGAAATATGATGTAAATAGTTGTAATTATTACTATTTAGCAATAAGAATTGGTTTTCCATACAAAACCAATAAATACCAAAATCAAATTCTTTAATATCTATGAACCAACTTCTAGAAATAAGGGATTAGAGTTAATAAAAGTGCATTTCTAGAATGACATTCATATAGTGATAGGTGGAGGAGATGGTTCCATTATGTGGATTGTTGGATTATTATTATAACACTAAATTGATCTAAATAGATGCATAATTATACCATTGCCATTAGGAACAGGCAATGACTTTGCTAATACATTAGGATGGGGTACTACAGTACCAGCAGATCTTTTTGGAAAAAATAATTATATATTGTAGAATTATGTGGAATAATGGCTCATTGGAGCTGAATCCTTTTTTGATGTTTGGGATGTTGATATCACACTTAAAAAAGTATTTATTTCATTTATTTTAGGATGGATTCATTAGTGAAATCAAAAGACATTCCAATAGTGTAGGAGAAATCAAAATATTACTTAAAGATTCTAAATTCCATAAACCTATGATAAATTATTTTAGTTTAGGTGTTGATGCTAGAATTGGATTTGGATTTGATAAAAATAGAACTGATAATCAATTTTGCAATAAAATTGTCTATTGTTGGGAAGGATTCAAGAAAATGTTTCTAAAAACACCCAAAATCAATTAATCTATCGAAACACTTGAATATTTTGATGATCATGATTAAATGTAGAGTAAATTATTATTCAAAACCACATAAAATATAGGATAAAGAGATTCTATCACAATCCCAGGAAATCCAATTAATTTATTATGTTTAAATATTAATTCCTATGCAGGAGGATTAAAAAATATTTGGATGAATGCATAATATGAAAATGGATATAAAAAGTATGATTTTCATCCTCCTTCTTTTTCTGATGGAGTCTTAGAATTTTTATCTTTTAATTCTATTTTAGGTATTGGATCTGAAAGAATTATACCTGGCTAAGCCACTAGATTAAGCTAAACTAAAGGTCCTATTTAATTGACTTTTAGAAAAAATGAACCTTTAAGAACTTATTTCTAAATTGATGGATAATATTTTTCTATTACCAATCCTATATCTGTTTCAATAAGATCCTGTTAATAACTGTCTTAAGGAAAAATTAGAGTTTTAATCAATAAAGAAGGGATAGTTTAGTGATTTAATTGATATTTGTAATTTACTTTAAAAAATAAATTTTAATTATTTATTGAAATCACTATTAAATGATATAACTTTTAGATGAATAGAAAAAGGTCCAATCAATAATCGTTAAATAATATATTAAATGCGATATCTAAGGAAATATGATCTTCATTTTTTATTCCTTTTATCTAATAGATTTTTAACTTTTTCTACACATAAACCCTACTCTTTGGCTGAACTAGCAACAATTGCAGCTGGAATAGATCCTTTAGGATCTACCATAGTGATAAAACAAGCTTTAGTTCCTGAAGGTGTTTTTTAAAGAACCCATCCTGCAATTTTTAATTCCCCTCTAACAGATTCTTTAATTGGTGGTATTTCAGGATATTCAATTGACTTTGCAACAATAATCCATTTTGATTCCTCTCTAAAAACTCTTGAAACTAAGACAAAATCTCTAGACTTGACCACTATTTTAATAGTTTTAAATCTTTAATATAATATACCTGTGTCTTAATCAAGTTTCTTATGCATATAACCCTAAAATATTAAAATTAAAATTACAGAATCAAACAGAGAATCGTAATCCCCTCTTTTTTCTACTTTTTCAATAATATCATAAATTTATTCAATTGAATAAGGAACTATGCCTTCTCCTCTGCTCATAGTTTATCCACTATTTTCATCATATCTAGTATGAATAACAAAACCTTATTTTTCAGATTAAATCTACCATTGAGGATTTAAAGGATAAATGGACTCTAATAATTATTTTGCCTACTATGTAATATCAAAATATTTTTGAAACTCAGGAGGATAAGATTATAGAGGAGGATTTATTTAAATTGGTATTGTTTAAATTTATTAGATTGGTAAAACTTGAGATGTTATGATTTCTGAGGTTGGTTCTTCATATTATTTTTGTTGAGGAGACTTATTATTTATTTCAGATTAAAATACAGAAACTTAATCTATTTATGTTTTAGAAGTTTAATATTCAAAAAGAAAACTTTTAGGATTCAACTTTTATTGTTTTACAAACTATTTTAAACAAGGTAAAATGTGAATTTGAGAATTTGAAGCTATGCATTTAATTTCAATATTTTCCTCTTCAAAAAGATATTTGATTACAAATATTCTTAGAATTTATTATTGATAATATTCAACAATATAAAAGGAATTTTCATCAACAAAAACTGCTTATTAAAATTTTTCTATAACAGAATTTACATAGTTTAAAGTTAGAAAAGGATGGTTTGCTTTAAATGATAATAGATTTGGATTCCATTCTTTTCTTATATCATTTCTGGTTATTAAATAAACTAAAGCATTGTAATCAAAGTTCATGTAGCATATTCCTTTTGTTATAAAGGAATTTATTTTATTTTTTTTTTGTTACTTATCTCTAAAAACAAATGGAAGCAAGATAACATTAATAGTAAGAATAATACTATGAATGTATGCTTGATTTTCAATAAAAGTTAAGAAAAAGTAAATGATGAATGAGATTAAGAAAAATAATAGAATAGACATAGCTACTAAATATAATATACTAAGGTTTTGACATTTTAGAGTTAATTAATTAATTGTACTCTATTTATTTTCTGTAATTGTTTCTAATTGTTCTTATTTATAAATTAATACACCATCACTTATATCAATGAGAATAGATTTATTAGATTCAAATTTGTTTATGAATTATTTAGCCAAGATTTTTACATCTTCTCCAAAATCTTATCTTGTAAAATCTAAATCAGGTTGAAAAGTTGGAGGTTTTGATTATTATATAAAAATAGAAGGGGATTATTGTTATTTAAGAAATGAATCCTAAAATAAGATGTCTGATTTTGATTCAGATTAATATTATATCTAACTTAAAGATTGTAAAAATCTTTTATGGTCTTAATCAGTTTATGTAATTATTTTAATTGTTTCATCTCCATGCAAAATTTATATAGCTTAACCATTGTTAGTGAATAATTCTTTAATTTTACAATTCTTCAATTTATATTCTGCTTTGATCTATTTGTCATCTTTTTTATCTCTATAAGTGAAATTTCCCTAGATATCATTATAATCAATACTTCTTAAGAGATTTCGACATACCTAATCACCCAGAAAGACTTTCTTTTTAATTTGACATAAGCCCCGAAAAGTGACATAATATGTAAATTAATTTCATAAAAAAGATGCTTTGAGAGACTATAAGAAAATCAAAAAAACTTTATAAATATGTAAATATAAATATCATTGTTACTTTCCTCTTAATAAATACAAAAACATTAATGCCATAAATCTGAAAAACAAGATTATAGCAGTCAAAATGACCAAGCACTTCCAAAGTCCTAAAGTTAAATCATAGGTAGAAATAGGATTTGTGTTATTAATATCACCACCTTTGAATTCATTATCCCTAGTTTCGAATTCATTCCATACTAAAGCTTCAAAAGCATATTTCATAGGACTTAGATACTGGATCCATCCAATCCAATCCATATACATAGATTAATTAGCATAAAAACCAGAAAATATAACCAAAGGCATTAATACTACAGGCAGAAATCCAGCAGCTGCTTTAATATCATTGAACATACATCCAGTCATTAAACCTAATCATTAATATTTTATAATACCGAAACTATTTCCACTCAAACCAAGTAAAATACATATAATAATATTGATTACTACAATATCTCCACTTTTATCATTTAAATCAACCATCCAATAACAAATAAGTTATTAGATGATTGGAAATACTAGTAGAAAAGGTATTTCAACAGAACTTTTGCCAGTAAAATAGGCTGCAGTTGAATATAATTTAGAATTCTCTTCTCTTAAAAAGACTTCTCTTTCAGCTGGAAATTATACCAAAACAGGATTGAGAGCCCCCATAAAACTACTCATAACCAAAAAGAATAAAACTCCGATTGTACTTTAAATTCCTTTATAACCAGGTTCACTACCAGCTGTCCAAAATATGCCTCCAATTAATAAACCAATAAATATTGTCATAACCATACGACCTCTTACTAATAGTTTATCCCGTTTTACATTTATCATTCCTCTTCTGAAGATTTCTTTTACCTAAAATCCAAAAGATGTTTGAAGTGATTATCGAGATATCTATAAGATTTATATGGAATTTATTGCATTTTCAATTTCTTAAGCAAATCTTTAATTATATCCAGAAAACAAAGTTGAATAATGAGGATGATCAACATCTTCATGATGCATTACACTCATTATAAAATCTAATGGATTAGAATGTGCTGGACATTCAAAACCTAAGCTTTTAAAATAATTCACCATATCTTCTCTCTTCCCTTAGTAGATGAATTTTCCTTATACCAAAAGCATTACTTGATCAAATAGTAAATAAATATCTGCACTTGGCTAATGTATTGTAAATACTATGGTTCTTCCTGATGTATGAGCCAACTTTCTAAGCAAATTTCTATAATAATTTTATTAATTCTAATTTACATTATTACAAAAGCAGTAAATGAATCTAAACCAGATGTAGGTTCATCCAATAAAATACAGAATGGATCACTTACTAATTCAACTCCTATTGATGTTCTTTTTCTCTCTCCTCCTGATATACCCTTAATCATAGCATTACCAATCTATCATAATAATTTATTTTTACAAGAGTATTTTAACATTTTTCTAACTTCAAAGTTTTTATTGCATAATCAACTTTTTCAATCTTTTATTGCGGATCTGAATATTTTAAATTTGCTACAAATTCTAAAGTTTCTCTCACAGTTAGAGTTCCAAAAAGAACATCATTTTGCATAACGTAAGATGAAAACTAAGAAAATCTATCACTATTATATGGTTAGCCATTTGCATGAATGTTTCCCATCAAACTTACATTTCCACCAGGAGAAATTCTTTTTGCTAAAATATTTAATAATGATGTTTTTCCAGCTCCAGAAGCTCCAAGTATTGCAGTAACTTAACCTGGTTTACATATACCAGATATATTATTCAGGATTCCTTTACTTTCCAAATCTCCATACTGATTCTTAACACTAACTTAGTAAGTTAAATTTTAAAAGCTCAATGTTACGCTATTTGTACTTTCCTTATTATAGGCAGGTACAATTTCTGTTGTTTTCATGTTATAAATTTTTTAATAATAAATTTTGGAAGTCTTATTTTCCAAAATTTATTCCACAAATTATAATTCTCAGAATTATATTATTATGAATTCTGATCATTAAAAATTTTATATTATAAGATAAATAAAACACATTAATTATCAATCATTACTATCTAGATCTTCCCAAATATAAAAATATAAGGGATAGAAATCTAAAAAATATTGGGAATGCGATCAAAACATAAATACTATTCCATAATCCAAAATCCAAAGAAAATGTTTCAATAGGGTTTTAATTTTCTATTGTTTTTACTTTAAATTCATCTCTTCTTGTATCATACTCATTATATATTAGAGCTTCAAAAGCATACTTCATAGGACTTAAATATTGTAACCAGCTTATCCAATCCATAAACAAAGATTGATTAGCATAAAAACCAGAGAAAGCTATAAGAGGCATCAAAACTACAGGAATTATTCCAGATGCATTTTTAGCATCAGATAACATAGATCCAACCATCAATCCTAAAATTACAATATTATCATACCCAAACTATTTCCACTTAATCCAAGTAAAATACAAACAAAAATATTAATTACAACAGTACTAGCAGTTTAATCATTTAAACCTATCATCCAATAGCATATTAATTATTAAATAATGGGGAAGACAATTAAAAATGGTATTTCTATAGAACTCTTTCCAACAAAATATGCAAATGTTGAATAGAGCTTAGAATTTTCTTCTCTTAAAAAAACATCTCTTTCTGAAGGAAATTGAACGATAACAGGATTTAATGCAGTCATAAAACTACTCATAACAAGAAAGAAAAGTCCTCCTGTTGTACTTTAAGTACCCTTAAATCCAGGTTCATTAGCAGCACCCCAAAAAATACCTCCAACTAATAATCCTAGAAATACAGCCATAACAACTCTACTTCTTACTAATATTTTATCTCTTTTTACGTTAAGAATACCTCTTTTTAAGATCTAAATCACCTATTATTAAAAGTTGGCTTAATATTATTCATTTAATATATTTTAGGGTAAAATTGTGGATAATTATTATTAAATTTATGATTATATTTGATTATCATAGCCTTGAAATAGATTTTAAATATCTGATAATCTATTTTCTTCATTCTACATAATAGATATAAAATAATCTAATGGGTTAGCATTTTTAGGACATTCATAGCCAATGGATTGAAAATGATTAAGCATTTTGATTCTAGGACCTTAATAAACAAATCTTCCTTTAGCAAGTAAAAATATTTGATCAAGTAATAAATATATATCTGAACTAGGTTAATGAATAGTGAAAACAATGGTTCTCTTTGAAACAATAGATAATTTTTTTAAAAGATTTCTAAATAATAAAGAAAGAATACATAATAACAAAAGCAGTAAATGAATCTAAACCAGATGTTGGTTCATCTAAGAGAATACATTAAGGATCTCTTACTAATTCAACTCCTATTGATGTTCTTTTTCTCTCTCCTCCTGATATTCCTTTTAGCAACTCATTACCAATCTATTGTAAAATTATTAATATTTACGAGAGTATTTTAGCATTTTTCTAATTTTAAAGTTTTGATAGCATAATTAACTTTTTAGACTTTTTAACTTTCATCTGTATATTTCAAATTTGCAACAAACTCTAAAGTTTCTTTTACTGTCAGAGTGGCAAAAAGAATATCATTTTACATCACATAACCAGAAAATGTAGCAAACTTTTCGCTATCATAATGATTTCCATTTGCCAAAATATCTCCTGTAATTTAAACATTCGCTTTGATTGAAATTCTTTAAGCTAAAATATTAAGTAATGAAGTTTTTCCTGCACCGGAAGCTCCAAGAATAGCTGTAACTTATCCAGGAGGACAAATTCCAGATATATTATTTAATATCATTCTTCCTTGAGTTTATCCATTTTTAGGTTGATTAACAATGTAGTTCAGATTCTTGAAGCTTAAAGTTAATCCATATTTTTATTCTGGTTGAGGTACCACTTAAGTTGGATTCATAATTGTTAATAAAAATTACAATTTTAGAAAGTCTTGAATTCCGATTTTGAATAAGTTTGTTAGCTAAAATTAGATGAGACCCCGTAAAAATAAATTCTGATGAAATATGAAATTGAGAAAAAATTTTAAAAATCAATATTCACAAACTTATTATTCTATTAATATGTCTCAGATAAGGGGGATATCTTTCTCAATAATATTTTAAAAGTCAAAAAAGTATTCACAAAATCATTAATATTGGATTTCAAATTTTCCAAAATTTTCTTCTACTTTCAACCAGATGCTTATATAAAAATTAAATATATAATAGCTTCAACAGAGTTTTAATAATCATGTTCAGTTTCTTCTTCACCACTATTTCCATCATTTCAAAATTTAAAAAAATCTCCATCTAATTGATCTCCCCCTTAACTAAATGGAGAATTAAAACATTCATTTTCAATAAGCAATTACTTCCATCATTGTTTTACAGTAATTTAATTCTATCATAACTTTGATTAATTTTACAAAAATTAGATGTCATTTTCTTAATAAAAATAAGATTTAATGATGGTTTATTTTTACTTATAAATCATAGTCTTTTCAGTTTTGTTAAATGTAGTAGAATACTTTGGTATTAGTCTTATGATTTCTTTATTCACTTTCTAAAGATTTATCTTCTTCATTTTTCCAAAATTATATTTATCTTAATTTCTTCTTCTTTCCTTCTCTCTTCTGTTTTATCTTCTTAATCAATGATATGATTTTTATATTCTTTCATTTTGTTCTAATCATCAACGAGATAATAAATTTCAGTTTTATTAGTTAAATTATTTAATTTTCGCTTTCTCATTCTTCATTGATTTCTGATTAAATTTATCACTTTCTCGAATAGTAGGAGTGTTAGAGTTCACTTAATACTCATTCTTTATTGAATAAATTATTTAACTATTTCTGACTTATTTGCTTTGATATGAATATAATAAATCCCTTTTTTGAAATCTTAGCCTCCTTTTCAATCTACTAATTATTTTATATAAATATGTAAATAGTTATATTTTTATTTAAATCTCTGAAGAAGAATCATTACTTTTCTCAACATTTACATTATTAACCTTTGGAATCAAAAATTCGTCTGTTTTTTCAAGAAATTAGTTTTGAATTAATCTTATACATTTAAAGTTTTCGATGTATTTATTTTATCTAGAATTTAATTTCCTTTTTTTATACTAATTGCAAATGGAAACACCAATTTGTATTTTTTAGTAATTTTCATTCAAAAATTTGAGTCAATTTATTATGCATTTGTACAAATTTCTCTATACTCCTTAAATTATGATTTATTCCATCTTTTAATTATTATTCTCTATATTATATTTCAACCTCTGTTATACTAATTAAAATTATGCTTTATATCATTTAATGGCTGTTTTTTAATCAAGATTATTTTTTTTCTTTTTATTAATTTTTTGGATTTTTTTTTATTATATACTTTATTGTTTGATTTAATTATTTTATTACTAATTCTTAAGCACAAATATGAAGTTTTTGCCCATGTATGAACTGTTTATATAAAAACTAATAAGAGGAATTATTTTATTAAATTAATCATGCCATATTAAGATATAGATTAATTATATAATATCAAATGCTTATTGAAAGTTTGTAAGTCAAAATAATAAAAATTTTAATCCTCAATTTACTAATAAAGCATTTAAATAAGTTTAGATATATACATAATTATATCATTCAATCATATTTGCATTAAATTAACTTAAGGAAATAGTTATTTAATTATCAATAATTCATCTGAAATTTCCTTGAAATATTGTAGTTATTTGAGAATGTTTAATTTCTTAATATGTAATTCCTAAGAATTTGGTTACAAGAACAAGAGAAAATTGCTTCTTATAATTAAGAAAAATTACCATGTTTTTAAAGCTTATTCATTTTTTTTTAACTTTTCCTCAAATTTCATTTTCATTAACATTAATTCAAATGAGATATCATTATTTTTAATATATGCTAACAATTCATCATATCCTCTTTACAATTGATTAGGTTAAGAGAATCTTTGTTTTAATTATGCAATAATTAAAGTTTCATTCATAATATAAATTTAATATTATATATTTTGTTGAACAATACATTTATGCTTCTTATCATTATATTTCATGCTTATTACTTGAATTGTAAATATTAATTCTTATATAGTAAAAACTCTTACAAATTAAGTTTGCCCATCCGATATTTGTATTTGTCATGGTTCTTCACACTAGTGTCGTTGTTATTTTAATCAAGCTCCTTATTGTGATGGGTACTAGCCTAATTAAACTTGTCTTATCAATCCGGGATGTATTGGATGTGATGATAATTCATCATGCTTAGGATGCATTTCATAGAAATAATTTGTTGATTTATCTGAAAATTGTGTCGATTGTCCAGAACACTGTTAAACTTGTACATCAGGATCAAATTGTTAAAGCTGTGTTACTAATTATTATTATTTAGATCAAGGAGATTGTATTTAGTGTGAATTTCCTTGTTTATTATGCAATTCATAATAAAATTGCGTAACATGTATTTCTGAATAATTTTATCTTATATCTGGTATTTGTAAAAAATGTGATCCTCCATGTTTCACATGTTTGAATTAATCTTAGTGTCTAACTTGTGAAGATAATTCATTTTATATTGAATAATTTCAGTGTATACAATGTCAAATCCCATGTTCAACATGTTAAAATTAAGAATTTTGTTTGAGTTGTATATCAGAAGACTATTAACTTATTAATGGATAATGTATAAAGTAATGTTCTTTAAATTGTCTATCTTGTAAGAATGCTTTATATTGCATAATATGTGAAGATGGTTACTATTTAAATGAAACTTACAGTTGTGTTAAATGTTAAGATTCTTGTGAAAATTGTCTGAGTCAAGACAAATGTACTTCCTGTTAAATACAATACTATATTAAAGATTATGATTGTCTTTAATGTTAATTACCTTGTCTTACTTGCTTAGACGAATAAAAATGTACTAGTTGTGTAGATGGATATTATTTATTTAATGAGACTTGCAATAAATGTCCATTAAATTGTTTAAAATGTGATTAATTTAGATGTTACTAATGCGAATAATAAATATAATTATTTAATGAAGGATGTATAGATTGTAAGAATCCTATGAATAAATATATTAATATTTGCAATTACTAAGATTGTCAAGATAGAATATGGACATATGGAGAAATATGTGATAATGGTAATACCTATGGCTGTTTTAATTGCACTATATAAAAGGGTTATTATTGCATTAATATATTTGGATAGCCATCTTAATGTTTAAGATGTAGTGGTAATTGTATTGAATGTTTTACTGATAAAATTTGTAGGACTTGTAGAGATGGATATTTTTTAAACTTGAATAATTAATGTTAATAATGCAATCTTGAATGCCAAACTTGTATTTATCATCCTAATAACTGTTTGTCTTGTAAAATCAATAACTTAAATTATTAATAATGTGATTTATGTGAAAATAATCTTGGATATTATACAGATTTTTAAAATAATTTATGCTTTTCAAAATGTGGAGACTCAATCATTACAGCAGTTGAATAATGTGATGATGGAAATGAAATTAATGGAGATGGATGCTCTTCTATATGTTAAATTGAAGATGGTTATTATTGTACAAATGGTCATTGTGATACTCTTATTTAAGGGGATATTTAGGCATCTTATTAAGAGGACAATCATTAATCACCTTCTAAACAATTTATTATTTAGTTTAAAAACCATATTTTAAATTCAGATTCAGAAATAGTACCTATCATTAAATTGTAAAATTGCTAAATTAATTAATCTCTCATAATAGTCAAATAGAATATAACTTAAATTGACAATTTGCAGCATAGAATTATGGAAATTAATATTCAGTTCTTAAATAGTTGTAAAAAAGATAAAATGGAAGTTACTATAGTTTAGAAATCTAAAAACAAAAGCAAAAAAAATATTATTTTATCTTTTATCACATTTTAAATATTTGATGTATTATTAATTGATGAATGGAAAGAAGTTTTTAATGAAATATTGATTTCTTTTAATTAAACCTTATTTTATATTTTTGGATTTATTTGTTTAGTAACGTTTTTAACTGGAACTATTGAAGTTGTTTATAATGCAGTTGATCTAATTCAAATGTTTTCATTCTTAAAATATATTAATGTAAATTTACCTTATAATTTATAACAATATTTTAACTTATTTAAATTTGCATAATTGCAGTATTTTTAAAATTTTACTTAATAAATAGCCCTTTAATTTTTATCACCAAAAGAATTAGAACAATATAATTTTCTACCTGTAAAAATTAAAAAGGATGGTTACTACTCTTATTGCTTATTAAATTATCCTTTCTTAATTATATTAATTGTTTTTGCAATTTTTTTGTATCCATTCGCTAAATTGTGTTTAGCATTTGTGTAAAAATTATATATAGGAATTAAGGAAGATGATGATGATCCGATCCTATTAAAAATAAAATTAATTTTATTGCATATGAAATTATACATTTAATCATCATGTCATTATGTATTGAACAAATTATACTTTTCAGGATTTATCTCAGCTCATATGATTTTAACTTATGACATTCTTTTTTTTTCATTTTTAAATCTATTTGACATAAAATTGCTTTTTACTACAAAGAATAACTTTTTTATTGCAATTAACTTATATTTAGCCATTTTTCTAAATATTCTTCACTTTTCACTATTATTTGTATACTATTCTATGTTAGCTAAACATACAAATTTATTAAAATAAAAAAGTTATATTAGAAAATGCGGATCTTTATTTGATGGTTTAAAAATAGGTACAACTTCTTGTACACACTTTTATAAACTATTTACAACGATAAAAAGGACAATTTTTATGCTTTTGGTAACTTTTTGCTCATCTTTCCCTTATTGCTAAAGTTTATCAATATCCTTTTTAAGCTTCATTTAAGTCATTTATTTATTTAATTATAAACCAATCATTTCAACAGTAGAATATAGAAAATAATTAATAAGTGAATGTTGTGTATTACTATTATCACTATTTATAACTTTGATTATACTTATGCATGATACTCATCAAGATATGTTATTTTATGAAGATATTTTAGGATGGTGTTCTATAATACTTATGTCATTATTATTACTCTATTAAATAATTTTGGATATCAAATAACAATTCATACTTTGTCAAAAAAAGTTCATCTTATTTCAAAAGATTATATAAGCACTGTAAACAAAATTATCAAAAGCTATTGAAAACTTTGGTTCGAATCAATGTCATGTTCAATCAAATGTAGTTTTATTTTATTGAAAATACACATTAAATGACAATAATTCATATTTATATTTTTTAATAAAACCACTATCACCATAATATAGTAGTTAATAAATAAAAACTTCTAATAAGGTATTTTTATATTTTTGATAAAAAAATGAATAATTATATGTTTTATTCTTATCATTCAAAATAAAAAGTATATATTGTATTCCTTAAAATAAGAATAAACTTAGAAAATGTACTTTTATTTATATGATGATAAATCAAAAATAATGATTATAATAATAATAGAAAGCTCAAAGAAGATATTGATATATTAAATTAAAGATAAGGAATATGAAGAAAAACTCTTTTCTTTAATTAAATGAATTAAGCAATATATATATATTTATGCTATTAAATGTTAGATTTCATTTGTTATTTGCATTCCATGTTTTGTTTGATTTTTTAAACTATTTCATCATTTCTGCATCTTTTTACTCATATTAATTGACTTTAGTTTTATATGCTTGTTATTATTTTTCTAGTTCTGCTTTTTCTTCTTCAGTATATGGTTTATCTCTTTGATGTCTAATCCATTCTTCCCATAATGGATCTACAAATGGTGCCATTTTATCAATTCTTTCACTCATTCTTCGAGTGGGTTTTCCATTTTAATCGTAATATTAATAGTAGAGATTACCATGCTAATCAGTTCCTATCAGTTGTCTACCGAGTTTTTAATCTTCATAGACTCTTCGAAATTTATTTATAGAGGTCACAATTTTACGAATCATATATATTATTTATTTTTATTAATCAATAGGCTGCATGCATTGATTGTTACATGTTACTGAATTAAGTTAATTCTGATTTATCAACTTTAAGAAGAGCTTGAATTCTTTTTTCAAATACACTAACAATTGCAATTGAAGCAACAAAAATTGCAACATCTAGAATTTACTTCTTCCTCTTCTCTCTTTCTGCTTTATTAGTAGGGTAAATTGACTTTTTAAGTTTTTCCCATGTTGATCCGGAAGATGCACTTCTTGGTTTTCCAAAATTCATTTTATATTTTTATTTATGGTATATTTTTTTTAATATATATGATCAGCAAATGCTATATAAATTGTGAGATCATTCTAGATTTCAATAGTCTTCTTTTTTCAATACTAAAAAAGTAAAATCCTGATTTAAATTTAAGTAAATTTATCGAATTTATGTAATCATAGGTTTGAATGATGTTTAGGAGAATCCCCAAAAATTTTTAGAAACTCAAGATTTACTAATTTAAAATTTATGCATTATAAAACCTTAAATAGGAGCTATAGAAACATGTAAAAATCATAAAGAATTGATTTAGTATAGTTTCTGGAATCCTAAAATATTTAACCAATAATCTATTCTCAATATTCTAAATAACTGTAAAATCACTTTCCTTACTTGAAATGGGAAGAATTTACAGATGAAGATAAAGGTGGAATATTTATAGATCCAAGATTAGATTATTGTGAATAGTTACTTAAAAAAGATTTGAAAGTAGTTTTATTCAAGAATCATAAACTTAAAGACAAGGATTATTGGAATCAATTATTATAAAATAAGAATATTATTTTTGTTGAATCTTGGGAAACATTTCCTTGGTAAGATTTTAAATTTCTGACAAAACCGATTTTTTCAGCAGAATAATACAAAGTGAATGAATGTGATAATGCAGCAACTTAATATTGGAATACATTTGTAAAATTGAATCCAATAGAATTTACAAGTAAAATAATTCATGGAAGAAATAGAGGAGGAACAATGCTTGGAATACCTACAGGTAATGATTTATAATATTTAATATAAGCTAATTTATAGATAAATGAAGAGATTTAAAATTTAACTAAAAGTTTATTGCCAGGAGTATATGCAGGTATAACTTATCTTGAAAATGTAAAATATGGTGGGGTTTTATCAATTGGATATAATCCATATTTTTTAGATACACCTCAAACAATTGAAGTTCATCTTTATGGAGAGTTTTAAGAAGACTTTTATGGTGCCAATCTAAGATTAATAATAACACATTTTATCAGAGCAGAATCTGATTTCAGAACTTTTGGTATTCAATATAAATTGATTTATAGATCATCTCATTAAAGCAATAAGTAATGATAAGATTATTGGGAGAAAACTAGTTTGTTGATAATATTAGAAATGATTTTAAAATTTAATTTTAATTATTATTATTTATGTATAAAGGACCAAATAATCTTAAGACTTATAAAGTTTAAGATTGTGAACCATTAATAAAGGAATTTTTAAATTCTGAAGATTCTTCAAATCTCTCTATTAGACAATGTGGTATTGCAATAAGATAGAATTCCTCATAATTAATTCAAATTATTTCTAAACTCTTGAGTGCTAGAAATATTGAAGCCATCAAACAAAAATTGTATTGGTTGAATAAAATAACATCGATTAATATCATTGAATGTCTGATTTTAGGAATTAAATAATCTTAGTAAAAAATCGAATTACTTAAATTTGTACTAAACAATTTGAAGGATAAAGATTTCTAAAAAGTTGCCGCTTATTTTCATGATGAAATAGATTTTACTTCTTATTTTGATTATACAACCTTATTGAAAGGTAATAATTATTTAGAGATTTTAAGATGGGAAAGTATTAATACAGATTTAAAGTAATGAGGAATAACATAAATTCTTTGAAAAATTGTAAAATTCATTGCAAATATTTATCAACAAAGATACATAATTAGATGAATCCTTACTCATTGAATTGTTACATTTATTATAAATAAATACAGAATGTGCCCAAGCAATTCTCTCAAAATATGTTTGGTTAAACATCCAGAACTATGAAAAATTGGATTCTTGTGTTAATTCTGCTATTAAATTATAGTAATTACAATTCGTTAGCGTTATTCAGAATTAAGTAGAGTCTTAATTAAAAGATGAATAGTTAATCTTTAATATTGCAAAAGAAATCTAAAGCAGAGATACTGTACATTAGTTTGTTTAAAAATTCATGTTATCAAAATTAAATTAAAGTTAACTCTTTTAATAATATTCACTCTAAATGGCTGTTTCAAAGTATATAGTAAATAATGAAAAACCAAATTAGTAGTTTTAAACTTTAGATTTTATAGCTAATATCTTATACTTTAATGAAATATTAGTGGTTTCTAATTATTTCTGGAATAAAGGAGAAGTATAATAAAACATCGTCAGTCCTCTTAAAGATATTAATCATCCAATTATTAAATAAATAGAACAATAATTTAAAACTATTCCAAAATAAACTCATAAAATATATTAGCTTTTTCAAATAGTCTTATAAGTTTAGTATAAAAATTCTTAAATATTTGTAACTTTACAAGAATTAACAATTTTATAATAATTTTAGAAAGTAAATTAGGCTAAGGTAAACAACATTGAATGGGCTTAAAGACTTATAAAACTTGGAGTTTTTAAGAAAGTAAATAATAATGAACTATAATTAATTGAAGAGAATTTCAAATTATTATCTGATTTTGAATTTGCTCAAAAACCTGAAATTAAAAAGCAAGAAATTCAAATTGAAGAGTATGAATAAAATAAAAAGCTTATGTATTATTGTTCTGTTATATAAAAGCATTGAGGCAGGAATAATGAAAATAATGAAATAAGAGAAAAAACTGTAGCAGTAAATTCTCTAAACAAAATTAGCTTAATTAATAAAGAGATCTGTGATTTTAACAGAAATTGAATTAATTGAATCAATAAAAGGACTAGTGAAAAGGGATTTGTTATGCTATGAAAATGAATTTGTATTTTATAGCATTTGAGACAGATTGTCTGAATCTATTTATATATTTATATAATAAAAAAAGACTCAAAAAAATGACTATTTATGTTTAGATAATTGAATTGTTAATGTTAAATTATTATGAACGATTGAATTAATAAAGTTTATTTTAATTAAAAATGTTTAGAGCAACCGAAATACATCTTTATAAATTGTATATTGAAAGAGAATAAGCTTTCCATTTTTTAACTAAAGTTGGGCAAATGGAAAATGTTAATTTAGTCAATTGTTCAACGATTGCATTTCATGAGCATGATTATTACAGGCAATTAAAAAGATGTGATGATATTTATAATAAAATTGGCGAGATCTAAAGTCTCTTGCATTTATATAATAAATAGATACATTATTGTCCTAACTATGCAGAATTCATATAATACATTAAAATAACTGAAGATTAAGCAATAAAAATTGAATAAGAACTAACACACAAAGTGCAATTTATTTTGAATTAATAGGCAAATTTGCAATAAATTATTGAACAAAGAAATAAATATGAAGAAGAGATGTAAAAATAAGATTTAATTTAAGTGCAGTAATATAATATTGTAAGGACTTCATATTTAAGTTTTCAGGAATTTAATTAGGATATATTGTTGGATGTATGAATACTAATGATTCACTTAAATTTAATCGAATTGTATTTCGAATCACAAAAGAAAATGGAATTGTAAAATTTAAGAATTTAAATAATAAAAGAACAATATTTACGTTGGTATTTGCAATAGGTAAACATGAAAATTTAAAAAACAAATTACTTAAAATATGTGAAGTAATTTATAATTTTATGAATTTAGGCTTTTAATGTATCAATATATTAATTACCTGAAGAAACTAAGGTAGAAGATAAAATCATTTAATTGTAGAATGAGTTAGTTAATTTGGAGATTGTTATCTAAACAACAAAATAAGAAATTGATTAGCAATTAGATTTTTTCTCTGATATTTAAGCTGAAAAACTTTTAGAATTGGATGAGATATATAATATTGGTTATTGTTCATATATATGTGAATTAAAAATCATTTTAGATATGATAAGTGCCACTTATTATCATCTAACTTTTTTTGAAGGAAAATCTTAATTTTTAATTGGTCAAATATGGTGTTAGAAAAGTGATATAGAATAATTAAAATAATTTGGGGTTCAAATTGAAATAATGTAAGATATAAATGAAAATTTGTATGAACCACCAAGTCTATTGAAAACCAATTAATTTACATATATATTTCAAGAGTTAGTGAACACTTATGGGATTCCAAGATACGATGAAATAAATCCTGGACTTTTCACAATAATAACGTTTCCATTTTTGTTTGGTATGATGTTTGGGGATATTGGACATGGAGTAAAATATTGTCTATATAAAGATACTTTTAACACTTTTTGGTTTCTATTTATTGATCTTTGGTTAAAGGGTTATAAAACGAATTAAATTAGAAAATAGTAGTGAATATCTTGCTTATTCAGATTTATAGAGTTTATATCAATGTAGATATCTTATAACATTAATGGGACTATTTGCTACTTATTGTGGTTTTATTTATAATGATTTTTTTTCAATATCTTTGGAATACAAATTGTAAAAGTTTTAATTAGGCTTTGATGGAAAATGGAGTATGTCAGAATCTCATCTTTCAGTTATGAATTCTTTTAAAATGAAAACAGCAATCATTGTTGGAGTAACTTAGATGGTCTTTGGAATCCTATTAAAAGGTTGGAATTGTTTATATTAAAAAAAGTTTATTGATTTTTTCTTTAGCTTTTTACCGGAATTAGCATTTATGCTCTCAACCTTTGGATATATGTCTTTTTTAATAATCATTAAATGGCTTACTAATTATAGTAATAATGCGGAACCACCATCAATTATTACAACTTTATTAAATATGGTTTTTACATTAGGCGGAATCAAAGGACCTGAAATGTATCCTCACTAAGTTTTCATTTAAACTCTCTTAATAAAAGTAGCAATCTTTTCTCCAATAATTATGTTGCTTAAACCTGAGGCCATTCATATTTAAAGAATATTTTTTAATTAAAGAAATTAATAACTTGTTTATGATGAATTAAATGAAAATTAACATAATTAATTAGAATAAGAAAATGAAAAAAAAAATCAAATTTTTGGTTAATTAATAGAAAGTAGAGCAATTAGAGAAGAAAAACATTTTGATTTTTCAGAGATTTATATTGAAAGCTTAATTTAATGTATTGAATTTGTTTTGGGAGCTGTATCTAATACAGCATCATATTTGAGATTGTGGGCACTTAGTTTGGCACATTCTCAACTATCTGAAGTATTTTATTACTATTTATCAATTAGGTCTTCTTCAAAATGTCTTTAGAACCATAATTATAAAATGGATCTATTTTTGGAATCTGTTTTACATTTATGGTTTATGCTTTGGCAACTTTTGGAGTTTTAATGTGTATGGACACTTTAGAATGCTTTTTACACTCTTTAAGATTACATTGGGTAGAATTCTAGAGTAAATTTTATAAAGGCGATGGCTATTGTTTCTAAAAATTTAATTATCTTCATTTTTTAGATTAGAAATTTTAATTTAGTACAAGAATGTGAATGAAATAATATTTTAAATAAAATAATCATCTCACTTTTCATATTATAATTTTATTATAGAAAACAAAAAAAAATTATTATTTTTTATTTCCCAAAATCTATTTTCAAGATAAATAAATTTATAATTTAAGATTTTCATAAGACATTAACAGATTGTTAAGAATATAAAATAATAGAATTGCTGTATATTTAAAGTTATGAAAATAATTTATTTTAATTAAAATGTCTTTAAATTGTTAATTACATAAAAATTGTAGAGATTGGAGATGTAAGATTTACTCTCGAATCAGAAAATTGTCTTCATTTAATATTCAGAATATAATTAATTTATTTATTAGCTTTTTGCAACATTATGAATAATTTTAACTTGAGTATATTCTGTTACCATCTAAAAGTTGTGTTTGCTTAAGGCTAGTGTTATTATGAAATAGTTAATTCACTTATTAAAAGGGATGATGCAGTTAAAGGACTAAAATATTTTTTATTTTGAAAGTTGTTATCAGTAAATCTCAAGACAAGCTTTGAGTCTAGAAAAGAAGCTTTAAGATTTATTTTAATAATATTAATTCAAGAAGCAAAATATTAATGGATATCGAAAATAAATCCTAATCATGATGTATCAAATTTGAGAGAATAAAAATTATTTGCAAATAATGTAAATTGAAGTATTAAGGTCTTAGAGAAATAAATAAAGATTTATTATAGAAAATTAAATTTTACAGAATCGATTTTCATTAGTATTAAACCTATTCGAGGAATATTTGAGAAAATCGAATGATAAAAAAAGGCTTTGTAATGAATAAAAATAAATATAATCACAAATAATAGTAAATGAACGTTTAAAATTTAGATAATTTTTTAGATTTACTTTGTCAAAAGAGTAAAAACCAATTTATAAAATAATATGTTTTACATTAGCATTATGTGGGTAGAAATGATAGAGGGTAAAATAGAAGTTTTTAATAAAATCTTAATTCTCAAAATAATATATATATTTTGGCCAGTTTTGATAAGAAATGATATGAGATTATAAAAAAATTAATTAAATAATTTTGAGTATAATTAAATTATAAAATATGATTGAACTTTTTTTAAGACCTTTCACAACGTTATTACGCTTCCTTTTTTATTGGGCAATTTATTTAATAGAGATCACTATTTGCTTTATCTTCGAGTTTATTTTATAATTATTAGAGTACCTTATTCCTATAATTTTTGAACTAATTTATTTAAGTGTTAATACAATATTAACAATAAAACTGTATTTAATTTCATGTTTGTGGAACCTTCTCTATTATTTAATATCATCTCTATTTACTTTCATTTACTATTTGATTACAGTCATTGTACCAACAATATTATGGTACACAGTTATATTTGCCATAATAATATTAATCATTTATTGTTAATTTAATTCATATTTAAACAATGAGGACAATATTTAAAATTAATACTATTAAGCAAAGCGTAGATAATCATAGAACTCATATAAGGATTATTACTATTTATAAAATAATTATGTATATAATTCTAGAAGAGATTTTTATTCACCAGAGAAGACTAAAAATTATTCTTAAAATAAGAGATAATAATCGTAAATAACAATTAGACAAAATGAAGAGGAGGAAAGAAGAAAATAATTAATGATAGAATTAAATGAAAATAGAGAAATGATAAGTGTCTTATAATAATATAGAGGAGAAATCTATAAATTAAAAAAGAGTAAAGAAATAAGCAAAATAGTATTTAAAGATGCTTTAGAAACATGTATTTAAAGAATAGAGTATCTGTAAGATTAAGGTAAAGTACTCTTTCTTAATTTAATAAATATTTAAGATGGCATTTGTAGAGTAGATTTTCATAGATTTTATAAAGCTGAAATAAATCCTATATTGGATGGTTTATTTGAGCAAATTCGATTATATAAATATAGATAAGGTTACTAATAAGTGAAACTTAAAATAATTGTAGGAAAAGGTATATTATTTGTTATAAATTTGTAGGGAATAATTCTAAAAATGGTATACCTGTTATTGGACCATGGACTTAGAAATATCTAAGAGAGTATTTGTAGGAGGAAGTTGAAATAACAAATGGATATATAGAGGTATTTGTTTGAAAAAGTAAAATTATAATTAATTATTAAAATAACAATATATTTTTAATTGAATTCATAACTTACATAAATAATGATAATTATACTTTAAATGTTATATTTATGATTTGTTTGATTAGATTATTCAATTTACAATAAATGACTGAATTTTATGATTCTTCTATTTTATTGATACTTAGATGATATTTTGTGTGTTCTTGCTATATTTACTTTATATTAGGATTATATATATAATTATGGAATCATTTTATAGTAAGACTTTATCGTTTATAATTATGATATAATTATTTATAAATAAGAATTAATCAATTGATTAAATATAATGCAAGGACTTCTGAAAACAGCAGCTGAAGAAATGCTTTCTAAAGCAATTAGAACCTATACTTTTAATGATTTGATTGTTACTGGTAGACATCCATATAAAAGTTTACCTGAAATGCTTGCTCAATATCCAAATAATGGAGTAGGATTTAAAGTGTGGAGAAAAACTTGGCCAGAAAATAAATATATCATTATTACTGAAGCTTATTTTAAAGTAAAAGAGTTAGTTTACAGAATATAAGGGATTAAGAAATGGCAAACTTTTTGGAATCTAATATTATAATGGCAGACCTCTTACTCCATAACCAATAAAAATAAGAAATTGTAGTAAGAGAGGTACCTGGAAATATGATACTAATAACACTTCAGGAATATCTGCTAATGGTGTATATTATAGTGCTGATGATTTGAAAGAGTTTGAAAAAATACATAAAAATAGGGAAGTTTTAGAATGATGTTATATTTTTTGGCATAATATTGTGATTGATATAATAAATATAATGAACTTAAAAAGTTAAAGATTAATATATTATTTAATAAAATTTATAAATATAGAGATTATCATATGAATTTCATTTCAAATCACTTACTCTTCTAGAATGTGTTCTTGTTGTAGCATTCTTGTTATTAATCTTTGTATCTAAAGTTATCATAGAATATTTTGGTAATATAGAAGTGATCATACTTTTTATAGGTGAGATACCCACAATTCTACTTGAATTTGTTGAGTTAAATATTCTTGTTGATACTTAAGGAATTCTTTCATTCATCTATTCATTTCTATGACCATGATTAGCTATCTTTCTTAATATCTCTCTTCTTGTTGTCTATTAATATTAATATAATTTATACAATTAAGCGTTCCTTTAATATTTCAGGTCTTAACCTTTGAATTCCTCTATAGGTTGCAGGACATAACATTTCTTGTTTTGCTAATTTACTTAGATCTTAAGAAACATTTACTCCTTTATCTATTTAAATATGACAGTTATAACAAACATTAAATTCCATTTCCAAAAATCCTGGATTCCCTAATAATTCTTAATATTGAGCATATTTTAATTTTGGAAAAATCTTTCGAATCAAAGAAGGTATCAAATAATTTTAATTAACCTACCTTAATTCTATGTCTTATTTTACATCCAATTTTTCAGCCATTGTTTTTTTTCTAAGAAGAATTTCCTATTTTTTTGTTACTAACAATTTGTCATTATCACCCATATGATCAAAATTCCAACTTTCAATTATATTTTTGATATATGTTTTCATTAAATCATTTTTATGAAACAATGTATCACACATTTCACATTGACTATCTTTGAGAATATTCTTATGTTATTTAAGTATTAATTTTTCTTAATCAATAAAGGATGGAAGACTAAGAGATTTCATATTGACTTGTTCCTAAGTAGACCATTTAATATGAACACAATTATTAAGCCATATTTAACCAGCATTATCTATTTTAATCTCTAGTGTCATTCTTATAATTTTAGATTTCCATTTCATTAAATCATTACCATGTGTTGCTATTGCTGCTGTAAAATGTTCAAGTCTTTCTGTTAAAGATTTACTATTAATTTATTAAGCAAGAGTTCCATCTCTTTCATGAGTTAAAGCTCTCTAATAAATATCAATCGATTTATCATCAAGCATAAAATTACTCTCAAACTTTTCAAATAATGTTTAATTCTAACTCCATTAAATAATTATTGTAGAATTCTTATTCCCTTTTGGATATATAAATCTTTATAAAATCCCATCTTTTTAACCTTCTTCCTAAAAGAACTTAGTTAATCTCTCCTTATTAAAAACTTATAATTCTTATTTTGTTCTCCATATTGCCACTATCTCTTAATTTAATTCTTAAAAATAACAACGAATGTAATTATCATCCAATTTCATTCTTGATTTCATTCTCACCTAAGCTTTCTTACTGAAAAACCATTACTTTGGAATTGAATTCTCATAAAATATTGTATCCGGAACATTTGCACATAAGACTAAATCAAAATTTATTCTTACAATAACCACCTATTGGATTTTACAAGTGTAAGAAAGACAACAAATTTATGATCGGTTATTCGTGAATTTCCATTTAATATTTATATTATATACAATTAATCTAATCTACCTATCACTTAATATACAATCCCATTTCACTTTTTACTTCAATCCATCTACCAATAAGAATATCTGAAATCTACTACTCCTCTATTTAAACCTGAAAAACATTTAATTTATACAACATAAAGTTTTACTATATTTCAACATAAATCTTCCCTTTTTATTTATTTTAAGACATCACTATAATTCATTTTACTTAAGTATTACAATCATCTTATCAACTTATAAATTTAATATGAATTTAAAATAACTTCATTTTTTTTTTGGAATTTTAAAAATATTTGATCAAACCAATTAATAAATTTACATATCATATTAATAGAACAAAAATTTGATATTTATATTATTTTTAAATACACATTAGTTTTAATGGTACGTCTAAATTACAATCTGAGAATCTATTTATTTTTTTATCATTATTAATATCCATACAATCTTAATTTCTATAATTATTCTCAAAAAATAAGTAATAATTCTCAAACACATTACTTTACTTCAAAATAAATTAGGTATTAAAAGTAATCCATAAAATTTGAATGCTCGAGGCACTAAGTTCTATAGTTTTTAAAATAATTCAAATATTTTCTCTTAATCCTTAATATATTAATTGTGCTTATACTAAAAACATGACCCTGTGTAAGAAAATTACTAAATTTGATTAATTTATTGTGAAAATAATAATTCTATCTACTCCTCTGAAATTTTTCTTAATTAATGGTTATAAATTAATCAGAATTAAATAATTGCACAATCTAAAAATTTTTAAAGAGTCTAATTCTGAGATTGATTTATAAAACATGATGCAACAAAATATGAAGACTTTTAGTATCAAATAGAAGTTCTATTGTTCTTTCACTACTTAGTACTCAAACATTTAAGTGTGAATAAATTGCTTTATTCATTCTAAGTTGGTTAAAGTTATATTTTAGATTAACTTTACTCTTTTATTATAGTTTCACATCAAAATATCATATTTTATTACAAATGATACAAATTCAAAGAGCTTCTAATTAATGTTAAATTAAAATTTTTTTTTAAGAATTGCAAAGTTAATTTTAGAGATAGAAATTATCTATGCCAATATATTAAGAAAATTAAACTTTCCTTCTAAAGAATATTTGATTATTAATTTAATCTACTATTTATGTTTAGTTTCAAGAATTAAACTTTTTTCTTTAATAATTACTTATTTGATAAGGTAATAATTTAGAAAATCAATCAATTAATTCTCTAATTAACGTATTTTAAGAAGAAGATTGTTCTAAATTATTCATATTTAAAGGAATTGATCTCTTACTTTAAGGTTTGTTTCATTTTTTTCAAAAATGATACTTAGTAATATTGTTGGAATTGAGAATCCAAATTTATGATAAACAATTTTAAATAGATTGTCTGATGAAACGGTTTGAATGTTAATAGGAAATTAAAGAGATTATTATGTTCTTATTAGGATTAATATTTTATAAATTATGAATTATGTTAAGGTACATATATGTAATATCAATAAATTTCATAATAATAGAGAATGCAACAGAGAAGTTGATTTAAGTTGTTTAAAATTATTTGGTAGCTAGGCAATTCTGGAATATTTGGGTTTAGGTTTAGGAAGTTATTGAAAGGTTTCTTGATCAATATACTAAATGAGTTCTATGTTTCCATTTAAGATAAGTTTAGGGAAGTTGTGATTGTTAGTTTATGAAAGTGGTTCCATAAAATAATTAATTACCTCAAATAAATTATATTTGTTTAAAATAAATCTGAATATCTTTTAGATTATAATATGAGAATAATCGAGAAATTGAATATTGATAAATTGATAAAAATAGTTTAATATGAGAAATTAGGTATAAAATAAATGAAGAAGAAAGGGAAGAGAAGATTGAATAGATGAGGTATCAAAGTATAAGTGTAATGAAAAAAAGAATAATAAAATTTATTATCAGTTTAAATGTCTTATAGTTCATAATAATCAATAAGATTAGAAGATTATAGAGAGATGGCAGTAGAATTATCATAAAGTTTGATAGCAGTTCGTTCAATAATAAGAGAGATTTTGAGACGTTGTAGTGTAGTTTTAGTAGAGAAGCATATTGAATAAGCAATACCTTAAATAATGCGAAATTGGACAGTATAATTTTCTGAGGATGTTGTGTCATTAGGTATACATGAACCTGACGAGATGATGACAGAGAAAATAAATTAAGGTTTAGTTCTAGAGAGTGAACCATAAATAAAAATTAATGATTGTTGGAGAAGTTATATAGCAAATATTGATTTGAGATTTCAGTAGACAACACATACTAGTCATAGTGTAACTAAATCTCATTTCTCTTTTAATCCAGGTTATTAAAGAAGTTCTGTTACAATTAAGAGAGCTTCATAAATCTTAAAAACATAATTTGAACCATTTGAGCCAGAGTTTGTGAATATGTATTAAAAAGTTGAGGAAGATCCTTTAGATTAGGGATTGAGATAATAGTTGGAGAGAGATGAATTATTAAGATAGTAGAAATGGTAGGCAGAGTAATAGAGGATAGCAGAGAAAAAGGAATAATTAAGATAGATTAGATTATTAGCAAGTTCATTTACAGGAGATAAGAAATATACTTTTGATTATGAAGGGAGATTTATGCCTCAGAATATTCCTTAAGTTGAATAATTAGCACCTATCAGATCTAGAGTTAGTTCGATCGTATAGTTTTAAGAAAAGAACAAAGTTGTTGAATTTGGAAAATCATTTACTCATGTAAAGATTGAAGGAGATAAACCATTTTTAGGAAGTTAAATCAATTTCTAATCAAAACAATTATTTAATGTATTTGATCAATTTCAAGTAGCTAAAGGAGTAACATTAACAGAAGGTTAAAATCAAAAATAAGGACCTTCATTCTCGAATAATTAGAATATACAATTATGGGAAGAAGGATTAAAGTTAACCAAAAATTAATATTAATAATATGTATAAGGAATTTATTAAGGAGGAGTTAAATAATAAAAATTAATCAATGATATTTCTATCAATGATATAGAACCATCTCAAGTCAATCTAAATACATCTATAGTGAATTCTTCCGCTGTAAAAGAAGGTTCTATCAGAATTGATGGTAATATTAGTGTCGAAGAATTATTAATTACAGAAGAACCCACACCAATTAAAATTGATATTTAATAGCCATTACCTAAATTGCTATTAAAATAAAGAGATCTCTCGTAATTATTAACCCTTACAACTGAAGCTTTAAAGCAACCTAAACCTAAATTACCAAAAGTAATGAGTTCGTAACACTCACTACCTCAATTACCTAAAAATCCTAGAGATAGAACTTTAAGTTAATTAAATAAATTCAAATGATTTATTAAGTATTGATAAACTTATTATTCATTCAATAAGCAGAGATTCCTCCTTCTTTCAATATTTATTTTAGTATAAGTCTTTAATCTAGTCTTATATTAATCAAATAATACCAAATATTTCATCCATATAAAATAAAATTTAAGTATCAATTGCTACTAAATATATATGTTTTAATTAATTTTTCTCTGTTAAAGGGCAACGATCAAAACATATGTGAAGTGCAGATATTCCACTTCCTTTCTAATATCCCTTTTTTATTGATATTTTATCACAAATTAGACCCCCTAATTACTAACACTACAACTTTAAATCAAATATATCAAAACAATAAATAACAGGATCATATTGATTTAAGCTTTCTTCCATATGTTAATTCAACCCAAATATCAACTAAATATATAAATATTATTTATACAAATTTAGAAGAAAATGGAGTTGTAAACACAATGTTTTTAGATACTGTATCCAATAATGATTCAGTCTAAAGGTATTATTTTCCATTTAAGGTATATACACTAATTTAAGAATTTAAACTCTTAAAAATGAGAAAATTAATTTAAATGCAGCATTGTTAAATTTTATCAGTTATGTCTAATTATATTGTAAGCAATAATCTATAATTTATATTATTTAATAATTACTCTCCTTCTAAAGTGAATAGATTTGCTATGTTCTTTTCATCTATTATTAAAATATGTAAATCTGTGATATCAATACATATAATTCCATATTGTAATTACTTAGTAAGAATTATATTTGCTTACATTTATTAACTGAATTGAATTTTAAATAATTGAAGTAAGCCATCTAATGATCCAATTGCTAAAATTTTGGTTAAAGCATGATATCTAACACAAGATGCTCTTTTTTATCTTTTTTTATTTTAAGAAGAAATATCTATTTTAACTTCTACTAATTTTTTTCTTAAATCATAAATCTTAACACTTTTATCTATAAATCCTACCAAACAAAAGTATAAATTATAATCCTATTTCTCTTCATAAATACTATGTGATTATGAATCATATCCATCTCCAAATTTAAATTCTTATTCATAAATAAATGTAAATAAATTTTATGGATTACATCCATCTATTTTTATCTCAGGTAATTTTATTTATTACTTTATTGCACAATGATAATAAATGTATCCATCATCTGATGTATTCTTTGCTTCCATTAATCTTAAATGATTATATTTATCATCATCAGCTTTTAAAATATAAAAACATTTCTTAGAATATGGATAAAAACCAAGAATTTCTTATTTATCAATCTTATTATGTTCTATTTTTTATTAAATAACAAATCCTTTATTTGATTTTTCTGGGTTATCTCCAAAAAATGGAATTTAATTTGAAAAAATCTATAAACTTTATTTCTTTTTTAAATGTGCTTTTTAAAACAATTATTTTGGTGTTTAACCGAAATAATAAACTTATGTTAAATATGATTGAATAATTTAATTATCATCATTTTTACTTAACATGATTTATAAATTCTATTCATAAGTTAAATAATGAAAGACATTCAAATTTTCAACTGCTTTTTATCCATTATTATTGATTCCAAAAATTAGATCAATCCAATGATTTAATTATTCGGATACTGCATCACTTTCTAATGCTTATCTCATTCTATAAACAAATTCTTCTGCTGTTTATGTTTTAACCCATTTTGGTAATTCTACATCAGAGACTTTTTTCTTTGTTTATGATGTTCCAAAATCAAACAAATTTCTATATATTAAATATATATATATTACATATTCTATAGAAATTCAGGCATATAATAGAATTCTGGAATCAATTCTTTGTTATCTTATTTTATACTATTTTCCCATAATATATCCATTCTCTAAAATAATCTATCTGCTACATCGAATTTATCTATTAATAAATTATTATATTACTTTTTTATAATGAAAAATGCAACTCATTAAAAGGTTCTAATCTTATTAAATAATTAAAAACAATAGCTGCATTTGAATAATGTGAACCATACATGAAATTTTCATCCATATCTTCTAAGTTTCTTTCCTTATACTCTTTTAATATTTATTCAGGCTTTTTTGAAATTGCACCCATTGGTAATTTTAAATCTCTTAATGTATTACTTCCATTTCTCCAACTAAAATCAATTTATTATGATCTATAATTTGAAATTACCCATGGAAATATAAAATATTAACTTAAATCATTATATGTTCTTCCTGAAAAAGTGTTTACTATCATTAAATATTCAAAATTAGAATAATGTCCTCCAACCCAATTCTATTGATAATTCCTTTTCTTAAATTCTTCAATTGGATCTATTACTTAAATTTTCTTCCTTTTTAATTCTTATATAAATTCTTATTATTTTTCATTTTTAAAGAAATTCAAAAAGTAATTCTATCTATGAACAAAAATCTCAATTGCAATTTCTTTTAATAAAAACCTTTTAGGATGAACATTCACAATTTAATTAATTTAAATTTCAAAAAAGATATCTTCTGTAGTATGTTTAATCTCAGGACTAGAAAATATTTCCTTAAATTCATTTTTTTCAGATTTAAATATAAGAGTTTAATTCTTTTCATTAAATCTTAAAACACCCTAATAGGTCATTTCTTAAGTTATATATTCACAATAATATTTTACAGCATTTAATTACTAACTATCTGTCGATCCTTTTCTAATACTGCTAATAGTCAAATTCATCTAATTCGACACAAATTAATCTGATTTTATAGATAATCTTCTATTTGATCTCTTTATAATACTTTGACTTAATGATTCTTCAATATTATCAGATTTTTATAATAATATAGTAAAGGATGTATTAAAAATGGATTTACTTTTATCAATACTACTTGATTCTTCAGGAGTTATTATTTATTTCTTAATAAGTTAATTACTTGATTTTAAATAAGGTTTATAAATATTTTTCATCTTTGTTTCAGTTAAATGTGGTCTTCTCCTTGTTAAATCTTCTAAATTGCTAACTTACATCTTCATTTACATATTATCTAAAACTTCAAATTTAAATTCTTGATTGGAAATGAAATTATTTAATTCTTAATAAAGTATTTATAGATAATCATCTACAAAATACCATAACCCTTATCTTTACTTAAGATATAGGCTTTCCAATTCCCAAAGGTTTTTCTCAGAATCTCTATATAATGGTAAACTCATTTCAGAAAAGGATGAATGTTGATTTGTTGATAAATTTCTTTAAGATTTTGTAATTTGTTAAGGATAAACTATTTTTGGGTACATTAACCAAATTTTATGAACAAATTAGTAATATATTTGAAAATCCATAAATATACTTTATTAAATTGTATTTGCTGTCTCAACTCTTATTAAATCTATTTAAGATAAATCACAAATATTTTATAATTATTTCTAATTTTAATAGTTAAGTTTCTTATGAATATTTAATGAATTAAAAGCTAGAAAAATCTACTCTAATGTTTCATCTTATTAATATATAAGAGATTCTATAGGAATGTGATTTGCATTTTTCCAATCTATTAATTTATTTAATTGATAATCTCCAAATATTTCTTGGAGACTAAATTATATAAGATATTCTTACTTATTAATTTATGTTTCATTAAGAAAACTATCTTAAGAAATAGCATAATAAATTAACATCTAATAAAACTTTGAATGATTTATTATTCTTTATTTCTTTTCTTCTTTTTTTTATTTTTAAATCTTTAATGATAATCCAGTATCTTCAAATAATTAATGATAGTTTTTTTTTACAAATTAATAGGTTTACAATAAAGGAATCTAAAATTCTTTATCTAATAATTTCTTTATTCTTTGAAAACTCTATTAATCAATTATACAATTTTCAGGATATATTGTATTAATAGATAAATAATTTTTTATTGGTTTTTTCATTTAAGGAATCTTTACAAATGGAGCAATTAATTATCTCATTAATCTTTTGATACCTCCATTAGGTAAAATTTTAATATTTTATTTTCTTTATTTTTCATAATCTAATTTTACTTCTTCCCATATAAAAGTATCATCAATTCCTGGAATATAAAAATTACGATCATAAAACAAGATACCTAAATAATTAAATAAATCAATCCCTTTATCTATTATCTAAGAGTAAAGATTCCAATTTACAAATTCAAGATCTGATATCTCTCCAAAACATTATTCAATATGTAAATATGCAATTATAATATTAATTAATTTTCTTTCATCCTCTTAACTTTAAAATTATTGCACTTATTTTAAGGCATAAAATGATATTATTATTGGATATATTGCCTCTAAAAATGAATTAAAACTATCCTTGTTAAATAAATTACTCTAAATATGAACTCTATATAAAATTTCACTTGTGCACGTCGGGTATATCTCAATTAAATATATAGTAAAATATGAGAATAATTCTGAAGAACTTTATTTTTTATTTATAGAAAGAGCCATCAAGTTTTTCATTAATAAAGCAAAATCCTAAAATTTCATAAGATTCATAACCAAAATATCTGACTACTACTTTTTTAAAATTATACTTTTAAATACATCTAAAAAATAGATTGTTAAGGTTTCTTTAATCGTGTCTTTTATTTGCTGATTTACATACAATTAATTTAAAAATTTTAATAGTAAGTGAATTAAAATAGTATCCTTATCATTTTAACTTATTAAATTTAGTATTTTTTAAATAAAAAATTATCCAACTTATATTTAAATTTAAGGTGAAAAATAATCAAAATAAATTTATAATGAGTTTAATTCTACATCTTTTTTTGAATCAATTCTTAATTTTTAAACTATTGAAAAATAAATTTAAAATGTCAATTCATACAATTTATCTAACATTTCGAATTCTTAAATTAAGTATTAATTTATAGTAACGAATTTGCTTTACTTATTTAAGATTTAAACAATTTATTTTTTAAAATTATTCAAAATACTTTCTTCCTCTTATTTTAATTTGCTTTTTTATTATATCTGATCTCCTAAAAGGATTTCTATTATTTAAAATATATCTAATGTCAATAAATTTAACTGTTCTTAACTTAATAGCAAATTAAAAAATTCAGAAATACGAATAAAATCTGAATTTCGAACAACTCCTTTATACTAAATACTTTTAGTTAAAGAATGTGAATATAAATGAATTGTTTAAATATCGAGATAAGGCTAAGCTTTGATTAAGGTTACCTAAGTAAATAATTATCTGCTTTCATAATTTAATTATAGATTAATTAAATTTTTTAAAGAATTTGGTTTAATTAAATTAGTCATTTTTATCTTTTAAAATATGATCTATATTTAATCAACAGTAGTAATCTTATTATCTAATATTTTTATAACAGTAATGATATATTAAATTGCAGCATCCTCATCTACTATTTTATTATATATTGAAAGTAATTAAGCAATAAATATATTTGAATTTTATTAATTAATATTTATTCCTTATTTACAATGTTCTTCTAATATTTATAGATTTTTCGAATCAACAAATCGAGACATCTAAAAAACTGATCTTTAAATGTCTTCCTCAAATAATTTTAATATCAAAATAATTATTTCTTCAGAATCATTTGAATTTGTACTTTCATATACTGTAACCTCCAGATTTTGAGATATAATCCAGCCCTTTTTTCATATCCAAAATATAAACATTTTAACTGCACATAGTTGGTTGAATTTAGGTACAAGGTTTAATTAAAAATATATCATCAAATTCTATTTCCTCTTCAATTATGACTCCTTAATTAATAAAGTTTATTGCTTATTTTTAGTAATTGGTATTAATAGATTATTCAAATTTTAATTTTTATTCATTTATTACTATATTAAATTCAGATATTTATCCATCAAAAGATTAATTCAAAGTAATGAATGAATCAATAAATTGAGTTTAAAATTTTTATTTTTTATTAGATGTTTTTGATTACTAAATATCAAAATTTAAGTTAATTCCTAAAACAAATTGATAAAAATTAAGTTTCTGATTTTATAAATATTTCAGTTAAAAATTAAATTTATTTTCATTAATTTCAAGAATCATTTCATAATTGTATTTAATATAAAAATTTAAATTGAACCATTAAGTTAAATCTAATTGTGATTAAAATTCTAATTCCTCAAAAAATTCATCTGATTTATAAATTATAAAAAACTTTGATTTATTAATTACAATTTGAATTTCTTAGTTTTTTGTAAAAAACAAACTAAATATTATTAGTTTACCTAAATATTGAGAATTAACTAAAAATGATCCAAAACTCATTCTATCTAAATATTTAAGACTTTATCTTTCATTCTCTTACATGACTAGTCTCATTTTCATTTTTACTTCAATTAATTAAACTGGTATAAAATTAAAGTTGATCTAAATTGATGATGATCCTCCCTAAAAATACAATAGATTTGATTAATTTTGAAGGGAATACAACATTTATTGCCATTATTAATAAGTTTTTAAGAATATCTCTAGAATTATTTTGACAACTTTTATATAATAATTTTTATCATCAACTAATTTCAATAAAATATTGCTTTGTTATAACAAAGGTATTCGATAATTTGGTAAATTTGCTAATCTATAAGCTTATTAAATTTGTTCTTAATCATTGACATCTAGTTGCAGTTCATCTAGATCATTCATTAATATTGTAGATTGATGATAGCTGAGAGTTTCAAAAAGCTATTTTATTATTTGTGGTTCTTAATTTAAGGTTAAAACAATTGTAACACATTACTGCATTATATTTATTATCTCTGGATCTCTTTCTAATCTGAAATAGAAAATAAATTTATGACAGAAATCTGTAAATGAAAGCACAAGTGAAATTTGTGTAATTAATTAAAATTTTAATATTTGCAAATAAAATTTTCTATCAATTGGTATATTTGGCACTTCAAATAAGATACTCAAACTTGTTTCATAGAATTTGTTAAAAACTAATTTCAATTAAATTTGTTTTTCTGATAATTATTCAAATAAATCTTAATTATTTATTAGATTTTCATTCTTATCAAAATATACATCTCTTATAGAATTAATATAATCATATCCATGGGCAATTGTATTTATATTATTTATTATTTCATAAAGAGTATTTGATTAAAGATTATTAACTTTATCAAGAATATAAATCAAGTTTAGAGTGAATTTATAATGAATTTAACATAATTCTAAACTATTTTATTAAATACTTCCTGAATTCATAATTTCTTTATCTTCAATCAACCAAAATATCATGTAAATTATATAATTGATTTTATGATAGATTTCAACATATAATTGTGATTTAATAATAGTCATATTACGATTTTCATTGATCATAAGTTCATAAATAGTCTTAACTATTGTTATAAAATTTCTCAGATTTATTAATAAATAATCTAGGATTTTTGTTCCTTTTCCTCTTTTATAATTTATTTTTTTTTTATTCTAAGCTTTTTTATTTCTTCTACAAGATACCATTAAGATCTAAATATATTTTAAAATCTGTTCCAAACTTTCTTAATTTTATAAGATTGACTAAAATAATAAGATATATATATACCTCTTAAATGAAAAGCATAAAACCATATTTATTTTATTCCATTTTAGATGAATTTTTAATTGCAATATCGATTATTTATTAATATATTTATTCATTTTCAATGAACTATAATAGTTTTTGATCAAACTTTTTATAATATTGTTAATCTTTAATTTCTTATGTATAAAATTGAATAATTGAAGAATCAAATTGTATCCTTTATTCTTCATTAAACTCTGAATAATATCTACATAAATATGTTATAAACTATAATAATTGTTGAGTATTTAGATTATTGTCCTTCACAAATTCTTATAATTCATGAATGTGAATGGATAGGTATTTATTTAATAAATGAGTATTGTTAATATATAAAAGTTATTCTCCTACTAATTTATAATAATTTAATTTTGTTTCATTATTTTAATTTTTAATAATCTCATCAAAAATTTATTAATAACAGCATAATTTTGGATTAATCAATAACAAATTCAATAAATGACCAAAAACTCTTTAATTCTTTTATTTAATAAGAATTACAATTTATTGATTTCTTTTATTAATAATTTCTGGATGGAATTAAATTATATCTGGAAACTCAGATACTAAAATTAAATAACTGAAAATTAAGTAATAATGTATATCATTAAATTCTGTAATTTCTTCAATCCATTTTTATATTATTAAATCTATATGTTATTGATATTAAGTTTATTTATAATTCTATTTTAAAAACTAGAAATAAACTTACAAAAAAGTTTTTTCTTAAAATTGTTCAATATCACTTAATTCTTGTAGCTATTTAAAGTTTTATAGAAAACATTATTAAAATAACTTAAAAATCTCTATGAAATCTTAGTAACATATAACTTTTAAATAAGCAAAATATAGAACGTTTCCTAATAACATTTAATAAATAAAAGTAAGTATCTTTTGTTTATCGCTGAAATTTAAAGAAATGTTCAATTTCAAGAGCTTTTATAAATTAAAAAAGGCTATGATGTATTTTTATGATTGTATTTACTAATCGTTATTAAGCATCATATTCTTTAAATATATTGTAATATTTCCTCCAATCTAATAAAATACTTCAAAAAGGATTTATTTAACAATTGTATTTATTTCTGTTAATTTTTCATACTCTTGGAGTAGATGATGCATACAATCAATAATACTATCGATAGTAATTTATTATTATTATAAACAAGAAGTTTGTATTTTGGGTGTTAATTCACTTAACATATTATCAGTTTATGAATAATAATCTTTTATTATAGTACATATGAGTAAGTACGTTGAAAAGAAAGGAGATTCTTTCTCTTCAGTGAAAAAACTTTTATATTCTTATTGATTTTCAGTCTTTGTTTTAGATAACGAAAGGAACTTTGTTTCTAGAATAGATTGATTTTATAGAGTTTATTTTAGTTTGTCTCTAATTAAACTTGAAATATCATCACTGCATATTTATTCCCACTGGATGTGAAGTAATTTCAAAAATGAATTAAATTGTTTCATTTATAATAAATTAATAATCATACAAATCCAAAAGGTCCACTTATTCCTATAATTTAAAAATTTTATTAATCTCCTGTATATCCTCTAGTTCTTTTATTATTTAAATAATATATTTTTAAAGATCAAATCGTTTCCATGAACAACCTTAGATTTAATTTTACTAAATTATCTGTTATTTTTATATAAGTATTTCCCTATATCAGACTGGATTTATTCTAAATCATCCTTTTGTTTTTTTTAATCTTTTGAACCTACGTTTAATTTTAATAAAGGTCATAATGAAGTCCTGTAAAAATATATACTTCATTAAATTTACAAATTTATGAATGATCAATTCCATATCATCCATTTGACAACTTGTAATCTTTATCTATAGAATATCCATCTAATATCATTTTTTACCATTCGATAAACCCAAATTCTATTAATAGATTATATTATAGCTGTTGTATAAAGTTATTTATTTTGTATTCTTCTTTATGATTATATTATATATGTTAACGTCCCTCATGAACAATTCTTTTGCCTAAGTTAGCAAGATTAGTAACAAATAAATTTAAGAAAAATAATATTTTATAACTATTCAAAAATAACACTCAGTATTATCAAATATAAATTAACCTTTGTTAAAAAATTCTAAAAATCAAAATGGCTCCTAATATCAAAATAATTAAATTAAACCATAATAATTTTGATTTTGTCTTTGATTTTGTTATTGTCTTCAATTCAAATAATTATTGTTATGCCGGCTATAATTTTTGAGATTATTGAACTTAATAAATATTTTTTAAATATAAATACTTATGGAGATTCTTTTTTTTATAAATGGTTCAGAATGATCAGATTGATGCATCATTTTTTTTCTCTTAAGTACAATATCATCATGATCTTAATCTTTTTTACTTTATTCAGTGTCATTTGTTGATTAATACAATTCCATTATACTTTCTCCAGACTTTATTAATTTTTTTAATAAAATAGATTGAGAATTAAAAATTGATGATTTTAGGCTTTGACGTTTGCTAATATTTTCTAAATTTTGTAATTTTAATAACAAAAAATATTTTTTTAAAATTGTTTTTATTACTTAGTTGAGAAGACAAATGGCATTTAAGTTATTTTCAACAATTTCAAATCCTCCTGTTTTATTTGAGTTACCTTAATTAATTGAGATATCTCTTATAGAAAATTATTATAATTTGTCTGGTTCTGTTAATTTGATAAAAAATATAGATTAATATTACAATCTCTTATTATTAATGGATTTTATAATTAATGTAGTGCTAGCAAATTTGATTGCCATAATTTCTTTATTTTATATAATTGAATTGTTGTAATAATACTAGATGTTTTCTAAAAAGTTTTTTCCTTATTATGAGTATTATAAAATTTAGATTAGAGCAATGATTTTATGAAAATAAATTTGTTTAGAAATTCTATTAAATAATTAGCCAATTCTTTTTTTAATTAATAATTGATGGTTTAGATTAAGTAAAAAAGTTTTTTAAATTAAAACTGTATATTATTATAATTTATTAAGTCCTTGAAATATTTATAATTGGTTATCGATAATAATATCATATTTTTTCATAATTAGTTTAGTTTGATAATTTGATAGGTTTTGAAATAAAATTAATTTATAGGAGAGTATTTTAGTTGATCTAAATTTAGAAGTTAAGTTAAAGATTGATTAGATTGCTAGTGCAATTTTAATATGTGAATATTTAATATTAATTTGAGGATTATAATTGATTTAATGAAGAGTGTGGTATGCTAAAGCCATATCTGTATTGATATTCTTGTATTGATTTTAAATGATTACATGGGGTTTAATAGTATGATGGATGGAATTGATAATGTAATTCTCAGTAGGTTCAGTCTTAATTTTCTTTTTGAGATTCAGTGTTGAATGAATCATGTTAATTAAAATATAATAATCATATAAAACTGTAATATTAAGTACTTTTTTTGCGAGAACCGATCGAGGAAGTTCTAAATAAAAAATAAATAAGTACATCTTTCGACTATGAGATTTTCCGGTATGAATTCTAATAGGTTGAGTAGTATATGAAAAAAATTNTAAGTACAATATCATCATGATCTTAATCTTTTTTACTTTATTCAGTGTCATTTGTTGATTAATACAATTCCATTATACTTTCTCCAGACTTTATTAATTTTTTTAATAAAATAGATTGAGAATTAAAAATTGATGATTTTAGGCTTTGACGTTTGCTAATATTTTCTAAATTTTGTAATTTTAATAACAAAAAATATTTTTTTAAAATTGTTTTTATTACTTAGTTGAGAAGACAAATGGCATTTAAGTTATTTTCAACAATTTCAAATCCTCCTGTTTTATTTGAGTTACCTTAATTAATTGAGATATCTCTTATAGAAAATTATTATAATTTGTCTGGTTCTGTTAATTTGATAAAAAATATAGATTAATATTACAATCTCTTATTATTAATGGATTTTATAATTAATGTAGTGCTAGCAAATTTGATTGCCATAATTTCTTTATTTTATATAATTGAATTGTTGTAATAATACTAGATGTTTTCTAAAAAGTTTTTTCCTTATTATGAGTATTATAAAATTTAGATTAGAGCAATGATTTTATGAAAATAAATTTGTTTAGAAATTCTATTAAATAATTAGCCAATTCTTTTTTTAATTAATAATTGATGGTTTAGATTAAGTAAAAAAGTTTTTTAAATTAAAACTGTATATTATTATAATTTATTAAGTCCTTGAAATATTTATAATTGGTTATCGATAATAATATCATATTTTTTCATAATTAGTTTAGTTTGATAATTTGATAGGTTTTGAAATAAAATTAATTTATAGGAGAGTATTTTAGTTGATCTAAATTTAGAAGTTAAGTTAAAGATTGATTAGATTGCTAGTGCAATTTTAATATGTGAATATTTAATATTAATTTGAGGATTATAATTGATTTAATGAAGAGTGTGGTATGCTAAAGCCATATCTGTATTGATATTCTTGTATTGATTTTAAATGATTACATGGGGTTTAATAGTATGATGGATGGAATTGATAATGTAATTCTCAGTAGGTTCAGTCTTAATTTTCTTTTTGAGATTCAGTGTTGAATGAATCATGTTAATTAAAATATAATAATCATATAAAACTGTAATATTAAGTACTTTTTTTGCGAGAACCGATCGAGGAAGTTCTAAATAAAAAATAAATAAGTACATCTTTCGACTATGAGATTTTCCGGTATGAATTCTAATAGGTTGAGTAGTATATGAAAAAAATTCATCAGATTCAGTTTATTTAGTTGGAATAGTATTAGGACTAAACACACAACTCATAGTTTTACGCATTCTTGCTTTTAATTATTTCGTTAAAGGATTCCAAATTCTTTGAATTATAGGTATTGTTGTAGTTGAAGAAATATGAGCAATATTTTATGGAGAAATGAGATTTGGTTCTGAAGATGTTATTTATAAGACTGTGTCAAGATTATCAAATTTTTTTTATCTTTTTGATTTAGTACTTACTGCACTTTAAACTCTATTTATTAATATTTGATTATCATCTAATGATGTAGTTTTTATTCTTATTTTTTTATCAGCATTTGTTTATATTTTTCTTGAAACTCTATCTCTAATTTAATCAATTATTTCTTTATCAAGCATTAGAAATTTAGATTTTGGATCATTTGGAAGTTTTTTTTGATGATATATCATATTTTAATCTGTAATTTCAGATTATAGTAATAATTTTGGTTTTTATGATCTAACATCATTTTTATTCAGTCTTTCTTCAGGATTTTTAAATATTTCTTTAATAGTTTTTCTTTCCATTGTTTACATTTAAGGTTATATTATTTATTCTTTATCACGTTACTATTATAAAATTTAAATAATTTTAGCTTATCTATTAATCATATAATCTTAAATTAAATTACTTTTGTCTTTTAATAATTTAACAATTTCAGGAAAGTTTTTCTTTAAATTATTGAATTCACTAGATTCCATATAATAAGCAGTAGTGTTATCTAAAACTTGACATGAATATAATCTTTAAGGTAGACATTCTATAATCTCTTCTTAACCAACAAAAGCATTATCTGATAATTAACTTAATACTATTTTTTTATTTTTTTTTGTGGAAGATGTTTAATTTTTATCATTTATAATAAATCTATAGAGTTCAACTCTTCCTTTTTATATAAGAATATAAAACTTTGGTTCTTCTCCTTCTTTCCATAAAATAGTTTAAGATGGAAAATTAATTGTTCTTAAATTTTAAATGAATTTAGAAACAGTGAATTTAGATGCACCATTAAATAATTTCATAAAGTATTCAATTTTAACATTTTATTCTTGTATCTAATTATCACATATCAATTTATAATCATGTTTATTCATAGATATTAAATGTGCTTCATCAGAAACTACTATAATACTAGCAGATCTTGGTTAATCATGAATTAATGCTTAATCTCCAAAGCATTATCCAGAATAATATTACCATACTTTCTTAAATAATGCAATCCCATTATTAAAATACATACAATTCTCTATTAACATTTTCATAGCCAAATCATATCTGTTTAATTAAGGCATTTCAATACTTTTCTTTATCTTCTACTATTAATTACCACCAATATTTGTTTCACTACTTTACTAAGTGATGAAATCCATGTCCTATTACACATCTTCAATTGATCTTTTTATATAAACTCCAACTTCACCATGTAAAAGAATGTAAAATCTATCTCCATAATCTCCTTAATTCATTATAGCTTCACCAAAATTATAATGTTCATATCTAAAGAACTAAGCAGCATACATGGCAAAATCTCTCACTTTCATATTCTTATCACTTTATTTTTGAATAAATTCTATTGCTGTTAGACAATCAGCTACTTGTTCAGCTTAACCTGCAGTGTGCAATTAAGTATACATCTTATACACTTATATTGCAGGTTATAATATTATCTCATTCTGTCTTCTTATCAAATCATGATCTGGTTATTGATCCTATATTAATGATCTTTTATTTCTCATATAAATATTCTTATTATTAATACAATAAATATTTATACAATCCATAAATTATAATTATATATAATATCTATTTTA